ATACTACTCTTTCTGATGTGTAATTTCGTGCAGCGTTCGGACACACACCGGTCACAAAATGGCAGAGCAAAAGGACCCTGCCTCTCTGCCGGAATCTAGCCAACGTGACGAACAGTGACGCCCACAGAGTTCCGCTGACCCCGCCGTACAAGGAGCAGTGGAGCACTGGCGACCAGGGTTTACCTTATCGTTTGGGCCGAGATTACCACCACCCCGCGGTAGTGCGATAACCACGATAATCGCGTGATAATCGTCTAAAATCGCACAAAAATCACATCCAAAAATTCGAACTCAAAACTCGGTGGTTTCGCGGTTTCACCACGATAATCGCACGGTTTACCGCGATAACTGCGGTATTCGCACGGTTATCGCGGGCTATGTAACTGAAATCATATAAATGCAAAATAAATAGGGGAAAAAAATAAAAAATACGGTTGAATATATGTAGAAAACTAGAAATTGAGAATAATTGGAAGAATATGTAGGATACTTAAGGCCCAATATTCTCTTTCCTTTTCCAATTTGTAAACTATTCTCGGTTTGCCCTCAAATTTGAATATAGCTTACTCTGTTCAAAAAAATTCTTCACCATTGATAATTACAAATCAAGAACTACTTACATGATTTTTTTTTTAATTTTTTTCAATTTTTTTTATTTTTTCCGGGATTTTAAATTTAGTCAAAATTCATCCAAACCATATCGTCGATTTCTCCTACCGTACCCCACAATAAGCACGATAACCGCGATAATCGCGTGATTATCGTGCGATAAGTGAAACCTGCTCGCGACTCGCGACTCGCGCGAGAAACGAATCGCTCTCCGGCATCGACCGTAATTTGGTTACCGCACAACACGTCCTCGCGCTGCCACGCGCACGCGGGGGCCCCTACGTACGCGGCCTTGGGGCCTGGCCTCTCTGCGGCCGCGCGGGCGTGTGCGTGGGCGTGTGCGTGGTCGGTCGCTATGCCTAGGCGCGCGCCTCATCACACGACACGCGGGATCGCGCGGTTTTATACGGCGGCTTGGCTCATCGCATCGTCCTGCTGCTGCGGGCGGCTTCCGCACATGCCATGGGCTATATTACGCCGCGAATACCACTTTCCCGACCTCCTGTTTCGTGTCCGCGGTTTGCAGCTGCGCCTCAGCTCCTGCGCGCGCGGCCCAGCGTGCCGGGCGCAGAGCATCGATCGGAAACTTGGTTTTGGATCGGTCTACAGACTACTACAGGAGAGTGGATGCGTGGCCGGTGTCAATTAAGGACCCTCTGGTCTGGACGGAGAAGTGTCCGCTACAACTTCCACACCGATATGGAGCCAGATGCAGATCGAGTTGCAGGTTATGCAGCGTGGCACTGGCAGCGTCAGGTTATTCGAGCCAGCCGAATCATGAGGGTTACTGAATTGAATAATGAACGCGATCGAGCCGGTGTGTGTGTGTGTGAGGCGCCGACCGGTACGTCGCGTCATGCAAGCGATCGATCGATCGTATGTCGTGGTCGCCGTCGTCAATCATGCGATGGGTGCAATGGAGTAGTAAAAAAGACACAAGGAACGCACCAACGTTTCGGGTCAGTTTCCACCTTGGAATGATTCGTGTCATAATCTGTACGACGTAGGAGTACGCAGGTCGTCGTGCCCGTCGCTTCAAACATCAGGCATTGGCCTTATATCACACCACTTGTGCTACCTAGGACACGACAGAGCCGCGTCGTTCGATGATTGTTCGTCCCGGCATGGCTAGCTGAGCTCTGTGTGAACTGTGATCGATCCCATCATGGTCCATGGCTATGCACGCAATGCAACTAGTAGGTCGCACATACATACATGATTCGTGCAGGGATATTGCTCTCATACACAGCGCGACCGTGGTGATCCTTTCTTGTGTTCTGCGAAAGTGCTTATGTGCAGTGGACTCGTGAAACGCATTTACACTGCATATTCGTGGTTTCTCGCAGTAAGGTTATTCTGTTATGGCACGAAACCAATCGGCATTTCGTGGCGTGTTCCACTATGTTTCATATATACATGCATCAAGATCTCTATCACTATAAAGTCAGAAACGAACTTGATCATTGGACACAATTTGGAACGCAGCGGCTTGTTCTCCGGTTAGAAATGCTAGGCATTCAAGGAGGTACACGGCGTGATGGCGTTACAAGTTTAGGCCCATTTGCCCGGTGAACTCTGCATAGTAAGCATCAGCTTGATCAGATTTATTAGCAGCGATTGGTTTCCACCTAGCAGTTAAATATGGCTGTCACAACTCACACGCGGCAATATCCCTACTGTTATTTGGAATTTTTTTAGATAATGGAATAATTGTTATTTGGAATAAATCTATTTTGCTTCTATCTCTTGCACCCATTTTAATCATCTATCTTAACTACAAAATCGGGTATAACGCATTTGTCATCTTCAAAAACCGGTGTAAACTAACTCCTTCAGTAGTTTAGGAACTGGCTTTTCACTGAACCAGCAAGTAGGACCTACATGTTAGCGACTCTTCTATCTATCCTTCCTTTCTCTTTTTTCTTTTCCATCTATCCCCTAAGGCTGGTGGCACAAATCCTCTATCCCGCATCGTCCCTACGCCCGAGGGCCCAGGCCGAGGTCACCGACAATCTGGCTATGAGCTACTGTGATGGCAGCAGATCGGTGACGGAGCAACCCAAGCTGCTATGAAGGAGAAGCAAGGCAGCGGATGGGATAGAATACTTTCCCTACCGCCCTCAGGGAGAGATGAAAAAAAAGGAGAGATGAGACTTGAGAGTCCTAGACGTGCGGGTCTACATGCTTACTTAGCGGGTCAACGATGGTCAACGTGTCACATCGTTAAAAACCACTTCCTAAACATCAAAAAAGTCGATTTGCAACGGTTTGCTAAGATGAGGAAGACGATTCAATCAAGAGCAAAATATGAGGGAGGCCAAATAGTTTTTTTAGAAAAAAAAACTTGGCAAAAAATAGGTTATTCCCTGTTCTTTTGTTAACAGTTTTTATGCTCAGGCCGAAGGAGTTGTCATAATGTGCACAGAATGCGTGGGCCTTTACTTCATCTAAATATTTGCGCCAGTCAATACAGAGGCCCATTACTGCTAAACTTCTCCTACTTCTGTAACCTGATGGTATAAAGCAGGCCGGACACTCGATATTTCCAGGAATAAGTTCACTATAACTCCCTGAAATGAACACGGAAAACTAAATTGTATCCCTCATCCGCAGTACCAGACCCACAAACTGTCAAAACCGGTATAATTTGACTCCCTTAGTGGTTTTGTAGGACGGTTTCACTAACGTGACGCACACGTGGCAGTGTTGTCTTGGTCTTCGTCCCACGTGGCATTGATGTGGCGCTTTTGTGGCATTAAAATTAAAAAATACATGCGGGGCCCATTTGTCATTCACACAAAAAAAATTATGGGTCCCACATGTTATCTTCTCTCTCACTACCCTTTTTTCTTCCTCCTCTCTCCCATCTCTCTTTCTCTCTCTCGCCTTTCCCTCCTGAGCTCCTCATGCATGGCTGCACGATGCCGTCGACGGCACCACCACCATCGTGGTCCACCGCGACAAGCCACCGCCGCCAGCGCCGCCGCTCTCGCACCCGCTTGCCGCACATGGTCGAAGAGGTCATCGGTGACGATCGGCGGCGCAGTGGCGCCGGCCATGGCGCAGTCTATTGGGAGGAGGAAGCAAGCGAGGGGCGGATCTGGCCTCTGGGTCCGCAACTCCAGCGGCCGCCCGCTCGCCGATGCCGCTCCGTCCATCGCCTGCCACCGTTGCCGACGCCGATCCAGACGCCGCTCCACACGCACGAAGAGAAAGAGGGAGAGATAGAGAAGGGAGGAGAGGGAGGAAGAAGAAAGGATAAATAGAGGATGACATGTGGGACGCACATGTCAGTGGGTCCCATAATTTTTTTTTGTGTGAATGGCTCCCGCATATTTTTAAAAATTTAATGCTACATAAGCGCCACGTCAATGCCGCGTGGTACGAAGACCAGGTCAACATTGTCACGTGTGCGCCACGTCAGTGAAACCGCCCTCCAAAATCATCAAGGGAGTCAAATTGTATCGGTTTAGACAGTTCGGAGGTCAAGATTTCTAGTATTGCGGATAAGGTATACGATTTAGATTCCGTGTTCATTTCAGGGAGTCAAACTGTACTTATTCCATATTTCCAAGCCTAACTGAAACAGAATCAGCCCATTATGAAGCCCATAAAACAGGTAACAAATTCAGTGCGCTATTGTTCCAACTGATGTCTGCTTTTCTTTCTTTTCAGATTCATGCCAGCCATATTCACATTAACTCAAGGATTCAATGTCAATGACTAGCATTCTTTTTACAAGCATGCCTATTTGTTACTTTTGCTAATTGTGCAGCAGCAGTGACGAAACAACGCGAAGAGGTTATTCTAATTGATCTAGCGTACGTAACTTACGTGACATATAGACAAAGAATTGATCCAAGGCAACCACCACATGTCCACGTGATTGATGATTCATAATAGTAAACAACTGCGCATTATTGTTCGGTTAAAAGTTGACTGCTACAAATTTCATATGACCACGTCAAGCTTTATAAAATTATAAAAAGAAAACTTTCGGCGACGACCTCAGTGGTGGTTGCAAATATCGGAATTAGATTCAGTTTGTACAAGTTGTAAAAAAAAGAAGATTTGAGTTCGTACACATACAAAGTCGTTAGTCCACATGAGTCATCAAAACTCACAAAATACACAGTTTCAAAGCTTGTTCCTAGAACCGACAAGTAGAATGAACTGGTCATAATAATGCATCCCTAATCTATTTTTTTAACTAAATGCATCCCTAATCCAAGCATGGCGTCAGTAATCCCGAAGCTGACATGTAGGGATTGTAACGCGAGTGCATGCTACATGCTTGACATGGGCGGCAGGATAGGTCGGAAAGTGAAGAATACCCAGCCACACCAGGCGCCGTCCAATCGCTGCATATTGGCGACTTTTGGGCACTTTCCCGTCGTCTTTGTGATGGGTCGGGGGCACAAAACGTTGCGTGCAAAAGACAGCGGCATTGCTACTCGATGTACTGAACCCACAGTAAGTTCTTGTTGGCTAGGAATTTTCGGAGCCATCAGATCATTCATGATCACCGTACATGTAAGTTGTGCATATGGATTAGTACATTAACGACGTGTTGATTCTGTAACCAAGAGGTTTGTTGTTTGTTTGTTCAGATGGAACTCTGACCAAAATCCAGGCACGCGTGAAACGGTGACACGAAAAATGCTTCCAGCTGATTTCCACCGGCAACAGCCAGTGAGGGAGTCAGCGGCACCGCCCGCTCGTCCCCGCAGTCACTGACTGGTGGGGCCCACTCGCCACGCAGCCATCCCTGACGTCCGCGCGTTACACCATCCGCGTCGTAGTTAACACCTCCGTTACTCCATTCCTTCCAAAAGAAAACTCGAAACCTCCCCCTCTCCGGCCGCCGGCGAGCGGCTCATCCATCCACCCCACCTTGGCCGGAGACGGCGGCAATGGCTCACCGCCGGATCGCGCTCGCCGTCCTCGTGACGCTGCTCTTGTCGGCGTTCCGCCCTTGCCTGGCGCAACAGAGCAACGACGACACGAGCAAACACCACCGGAGCGCCACGGCCGGCGGGTTCACGCCGACCACCGTCGTCGTGCTCGTGGCTCTCATCACCGCCTTCGTCCTCCTCACCGTGTTCTCCGTCCTCATCAACCGCTGCGCCCAGGCGCGCGCTCCCCCGCGCCGGGCGTTCCGCAGCACGGCGTCCCATCAGCCCGTCGGCGGCGCCGCCGCCGCGTCCCGCGCCTCGCGTGGCCTCGACAAGGAGGTCGTGGAGGCGTTCCCCACGGCGGTCTACGGCGACGTGAAGGCGCGCATGGCGGCGAAGTCGGGGCCGCTCGAGTGCGCCGTGTGCCTCGCCGAGTTCGCGGACAGCGACGAGCTACGGGTGCTCCCGGCGTGCTGTCACGTGTTCCACCCGGACTGCATCGACCCCTGGCTCGCCGCCGCCGTCACGTGCCCGCTCTGCCGCGCCAACCTCACGGCGCCACCGGTGTCGCTCGCCGCCGCCGAGAGCTCCGACCTGACGGCGCCGGAGGAGGCGGTGCAGGAGGAAGAGTCGGAGGAGCTCGACGAGGCGTCCCTGATGGCCACCTTCACGCCGGAATCCGTCATCGACTTCGGCGCGACGCACGACCATGAATTCGACAGAGCAGGGTACCCTCACTACCGGAGGACGCAGTCGGCCATGGACGCCGCGCCGGACCGGCACACGCTGAGGCTACCGGAGCACGTCATGAAGGAGCTCGCCGCCGACCGCAGGCACCGGCGCGCCGCGAGCCTCGCCGGGTACCCGGACAGCGTGGAGAGGACGCCGAGGTGGCTGACGTCGCTCTGGCGATCGGTGTCGTGGCAGAGGCAGAGCCGGGCGGACTGGGACGCCGGAGAGGAGCACGGCGGCAGCAAAAGGGTTCACCCGGTCGCCGGAGCTCAGGACGAGACACCCAGCGGGTCCGGCTCCGATGGGAGCAAGGAGAACTCCGATTCTGACGCGTTAAACCGAGTTTGAATTTTGTTTTCTCCTCTTCTTTTTTTTTCTTGTGCTTCGTTCTAATTGTGCAGCGGTGTAGTAATACAAATTAACGATAAACTACCTTGCACAATTTTCTATTAGCAAACAAGTACTCTACTACTCTAGATCGTCGATTCTTGTTTGAGTTTATCGGGTACAAAGGTTTAATATTCCGGTAGATCATGAACATTTTAGGATATCCTTAACAGTACCTCTCAGATTAATGGGGATAATTAGTACTGATTAGTGATTAATTATGCTGGTCACTTGCCAGAAATGCTGCTCCACTGTGTGCTAGGCTTGCCAGTTGCAAAAATGGAATAAACGAAGAAGTGATATGATACACCGGCCGATGCACTCCGTGAATGTCAGTGACAGAGAATGTATCCAGTCAAAGAATACGTACGCACGCGATTGTTCGTATGCACCTTTCTATCCCGTTCTTCAATGTCAACTCTCATGCTGACATTATCCTTAGAGATACCAGTAGGATGATGGCGTCCTACATGGCAATTCGTCTTGAATACCAACGGTAGTTGAAAATTTTCTTTTTCAGGGCAGCTACGTCCACCAATACGGCGAGCATGCAGGGTAAAAATCCAAGATGAAGATTGTAGAAGGAATACGGTTGGTGAAATCACTTTAGATAAGATCGATTCAATCTTCACATGTCACCATTTGCCATACATACGTTACTTCACTCGGCCAGCCGAAATGGTAAATTCTCTTCGGTAGCCAGAAGACCAATACCATAAATTTGGACGCAACGAAGCCAATACTAGAGACCAACAAGAGCAGGTGATGAAGAATCGTCTTGTCCACTGTTCACCTATGCAGTTAATCAGCTCACTCGTCGCGACCATCTTGTCCTCTCGTATGGCAGAATCTGGTGACGAGCATATTAGCTCAGGAACGTGTGCGTCCTCTCCCATCACCGGACTTGCGACCACTTGTCCATGCGTGTGCTTGCGATCATGGCCTGCAAAATAACACAGCCAAAAAATGTCAAAATTTCAAGTCGCTACGGCATTTGATCGTTTTCTTGGGCTGTGTGGAGGGATTGATCGTTTTGTTCACCTCCTTGTCCCAGTCACAGCGGATGGTTATGATGGCCAGAATTAGCGTCTGCACTGCGGTTCCGCCGATCATACCCGCCCAAATTCCCTGCAAATTAAAGGTTTCACGAAAGAAATGGTCAGGCCGGAGATGGCTAACATTTTCACGGTTTAACTTGAACTGGTCAGAAATCAAGTAGCATAGTGGCATAGGTACCAGGACGCCAAGTTTGAAGAGCCATCCGAGGAGAATGCCCATGGGGATGCCGATGAGGTAGTAGGTGCCAATGTTGACGTAGGCCACCATGGATTGCCACCCAGACCCAACAGCCACACCTGCACGTATATGACCGGCCCATTTATGACCAGTTCAGCTGGGAACTGAAGGCCCATGTAGAAAAGGAAGGCCCAACGGCCCAGGTGTGTGTGTACTTTACCTGAGAGAACGGGCTGGATGCTGTTGAGGAGGATGGTGAAGGCGAGGAGGACGGAGAGGTTGTCGACGGCGTCGAGCACGACGTCGCTGGAGGTGAAGATGAGCGCGAACTTGTCGTGGAGGCCCACGATGAGCACCCAGAAGAAGAGCCCGATCACCAGCGACGTCACCGACGACACGATCGTCGCGAACCTCGCGCCCTTCCCGTTGCCGGCGCCCAGCTCGTTCGCCACCCGCACCCTGCAAACCACAACAAAAACACGTACGCCGCCACACGTGCTCTGCTTTAGTTCGGTATATTCGAGTTTCGTAAGCAAATCGAGTGAGAACTGAGAAGAAGGCAGTGCGTGCGTACGTACCCGGTTCCAGCGAAGAATGCCAGGGGAATCATCAGCTCCCATGCATTGATCGTCATGCTGTCCACGAGAAGACATAAAGGTTAGCTACAATCAGACGCATGTCAGATTGATTCAGGAACTTGGTACTGACTTACCAGATGGAGAGCGCGTCGACCGCAATAGCCGCGTTCTTGAGGTTACCGGTCAGCAAGATGAGGATTCTGTAGTACCAGTTCTCCAAGCTGCAAATTAAGCACACAAATTCTGTCAGCAACTGCAAAAAACGTACGAAACGTGAAATCAAACAGAAACCAAATCACACGAGAATTGAACGTTCTCGGTTTCACGTCGCGTACGTACCATAGCATGACACCCCGCGAACGCCTCGAGGGAGAGGCCGTTCCACGTCTCCGGGCATCCGCCGCAGGCGACGTAGGCGAAGAGCATGGCGGCGGTGGCCCACCACGAGAAGTTGAGGGTGAGCGCGATGCCGACGAGGCCGAACCGGAAGCGGGAGACGAGGAGCCAGCTGATGGCGACGTGGACGCACAGCGCGACGCCGGACGCCGCGGCGCTGGCGAAGTTCTTCATCTGGCACTGCAGGAATCGCTGCAGCGGGAAGAGGAAGGCGAAGGAGAGGTGCAGCGGGATGAACCAGACGGAGACGCGGCCGGCCATCGCCGACAGCTCCGGCGGCTGACCCGTCAGGAGCAGCACGTCCTCGGCGTAGATGTACATGGGCAGCAGCAGCACCGCGCACGCCAGCAGCACGATCCACGAACGCTGCATGTACACCCCCATCATGTGGTACTTCTTCGCGCCGAACGCCTGCCCGCACAGCGTCTCCAGCGCGCTCGCCATGCCAAGCTGCGTTCCACACGGCCAATTAATTCAGTGAATCAGTAATTGTGATTCAGTATTTCCGTACAGTTAGGGTGTGTTTAGTTCCACGCTAAATTGGAATTTTGATTGGAATTAGAACGATTTAACGGAAAAGCTAAAAATTTATATGTGTAGAAAAGTTCGATGTGACGTTTTTTGGTTCAGTGTTTGGAATTAAACTCGGCCTTAATTCAGAAGCAGCAATCGTACAAACTAGTATACAACAGTAGTATAAAGAAGTCATCACTGCTCAGGTAGCCAGGTACAATTATACAGTAAGAGAATCAGTAGTACCAATTGATTCAGTACAGCATAATTTTTTTTGAACAGGATTCAGTACAGCATAATAATTCAGTGGTTTTTCAAACTGATGCCATTTCAAATCTTGTCAATTTTTTAAAGTTGCCAACGATGCATACATTTAGTTTTATTACCAAACTTTCATAAATACATAAGAAATCCTATCAAAACTTGACAATATTACAAACTTACTAAAATTTTAGCAAATATCAAATTTTGATAAGGTTTATTTTACGGATTTGCTATCGATCGAACCTGAGACTTGCAGCTTGAATGCTCGTTCAACTAACCAATTGCTCCATCAATTTTTTCAGAGTTATTTCTTTAGTTACAGATGACTTATATTGTAGTTACACAGTAGTTACAATGTAATTACATTATAATTACATAGTAGTTACAATTGAAAGTTTTCTATTTAAAAAACTGTCGAATGTTGTATAGCTACTCCCTTATTTTATCTATAATCTTAACAGCCCCTATCGTACAAACCATACTACAGCAAGAAGTCACTGCTCAGGTAGTCGGGACTATCATACAGTGAGAAAAATCACTAAAGGCAAATCGGTTTTATGCTATGATCCCTCTGCGCCCATTTACTTGTTTAAAGTATAGTGAAAGATTTCATTAAACAACAAAAACTGTCCAATCTCTACACTAATAAAAAATGCACACGACCAAACTGCCACATCTTTTCGCTTATACTTATGTTTATCAGCCAAAATTTAAATTTTTAGCCTTAAATTTAGAATTGATTTTGGGGCATTTTTATCGTAGTTTATTTTTCAGTCTTTACTTTTAGATCGTTAAGAACATATATAAAAAATTTATTTATAAATTATTTTCATTTGCAAATATATTGTTTGACTTATTTCTCGAATAAGCCAACGATGGGGTTGCTAGATAACATGAACATGTGTATAATGTTGCCTTATAAGGATGTTCTCAACTAGAATAAGGAGGAGGGACTTTCAAGAATGCCCCATCATCTGTCTATTGTTGTCGTCGTACTCATTTACTTGTCACTATTAATTATCGGTATTTCAACTTTAATCATTAATAATTTTTAAATGATTGATTCATAATTAAAGAACGTTACATTGCTACGAGTAATCAAAATTAAAAAAACAAATATAATAAATAGTGATAAGTACTCGTATTTGGAAAGGGATCGGTGACATTTTTTTGACCGGCAAAGAGAAGCCGACCGGAATCTATTATATTATTAAAGGGATAGAAAAAGGAGCCACCACGTTCACTCTCATGATCTAGAAATTCTCATATTAATCAGAGAAAAAGAAAAATCAGATTCCATATAGAAATACAATTTAGAAATAGCTGAAATTCGGATTAAAAAATAAGGAATATTAGAATAGGAGACTAGAGTCCATATAGAAATACAATTTAGAAATAGTTGAAATTCGGAATTAAAAAATAAGGAATATTAGAAGAGGGGACTAGAGTCCATATAGAAATACAATTAGAAAATAACTAAAATTCGGAATTAAAAAATAAGGAATATTAGAAGAGGATACTAGAGTCCATATAGAAATACAATTAGGAAATAACTAAAATTCGGAATTAAAAATAAGGAATATTAGAAGTAGAGTATAGAGTCCATATAGAAATACAATTAGGAAATAACATAAATTTGGAATTAAAAATAAGAAATATTAGAGGTAGAGTATAGAGTCCAAATAGAAATACAATTAAGAAAAAAATAGTTGAAATTCGGAATTAAAAAATAAGGAATATTAGAATAGGAGACTAGAGTCCATATAGAAATACAATTAGGAAATAACTGAAATTTGGAATTAAAAAATAAGGAATATTAGAAGAGGAGACTAGAGTCCATATAGAAATACAATTAGAAAATAACTAAAATTCGGAATTAAAAAATAAGGAATATTAGAAGAGAAGATTAGAGTCCATATAGAATTACAATTAGGAAATAACATAAATTCGGAATTAAAAATAAGAAATATTAGAAGTAGAGTATAGAGTCTAAATAGAAATACAATTAAGAAAAAAAATAGTTGAAATTCTGAAAGTGCATCTAGACCCCTAATGATTTTGATGATTGATTACAATGCGATTAGAGAGGACTAACATTTTTATTCAAGCAAATGTGAAGGTTGTTAAGTCCTCAACGTGTTGTAATACAATGCATATCCCGTGAATGCGACATCGTGATGCAATGCGGCAATGATCAAATGGTATATTGTATCTTTTTCCTCGCATTGTGTCGTAGGAAAGCCATACTATTAAGGGGGATGATGCATAGACATATAAGGAGTGATGCGTGTGCTCAAAATCAATTTTACTTCGAAGCATTTCTCTTTTGGAGCGTTCTGGAAATTTTCGGAAGTTCCGAAAATACACCGAACCGTGTTTGGGCGTTCTGGAAATTTTCGGAAGTTCCGAAAATAATTTTCGGAAGTTCCGAAAATACACAGAAGCGTTCTGGAAATTTTCGAAAGTTCCGAAAATATTTTTCGGAAGTTCCGAAAATTGCGTTGACTTCGATTTTCCTCAGATCTGGAATTTTCGGAAGTTCCGAAAATCCCTTTTATTGCACTCCAACGGGCAGATTTGTGCTGTGGGTATAAATACCCACCTCCCCTCACTTGTGAGGGTTGCTGGTTCCATTCCAATTATTTGTGCCCTTGGCTTGCTCTCTCTCTCTAGTTCATTTGAGACTTGCTTCCTCGATTCATCTCTCCACCCGTGTTTGATTTTGATTTGGTGTGTGTGTGAGAGTGTGGATTCGAGCTTGTGTGGGTGCTTCTTGTGGTCTTTGTAAAGATTTGTGAGCACTTGCATCATCTCCGGGAGTTCTTTGCATCATCTTTTACTCTTGGAGGTTGAGGACTCCTAGACGGCTAGGTGTCACTCCCGAGCCACCGATCTCCTTGTGGTTGGCCGGGAAAAGTTTGTGAAGGCCGGATCTCGCCTCCGCAAGGGAAGAGATACCTCTTAGTGAAAGGAGGAGTGCTTAGTGCAACCTCTTGAGGAAAGTGTTAGCTAAGACCCGGCTCTTAGTGAGCTCCTCAACGGAGAGTAGAATCCCCTCAAGGATTTGAACTCTGGGGAACAACTTTGGGAGCTACATCTTGGTGATATTTCTTCCCTCTCCTCTAGCTTTGCTTGCTTGTACTGCTATTGGTCTAGTTGCTGATTGTGCCTTGTATTCCCTGTTATAGTCTTATAGATCTAGAGTTTTCATTTTGTGTGCGCTGCTCTGTGCATTTTCAGAAGTTCCGAAAATTCCTAGCCTAGCTCCGAAAATTACTGCTTTCGCATTTCTTAAGTTTTAAATTAGCCTATTCACCCCCCTCTAGGCCTAATTGACCCTTTCAAATTCGGAATTAAAAAATAAGGAATATTAGAAGAGGATACTAGAGTCCATACAGAAATACAATTAGGAAATAACTGAAATTCGGAATTAAAAAAAATAAGGAATATTACAAGAGAAGACTAGAGTCCATATAGAAATACAATTAGGAAATAACTAAAATTCGGAATTAAAAATAAGGAATATTAGAAGTATAGTATAGAGTCCATATAGAAGTACAATAAGGAAATAACTGAAATTCGGAATTAAAAAGAAGGAATATTAGAAGTAGAGTATAGAGACCATATAGAAATATAATTAGGAAATAATAGAAATTTGAAATTAAAAATAAGGAATATTAGAAGTAGAGTATAGAGTCCATATAGAAATATAATTAAGAAAAAAAATAGAAATTCGGAATTTAAAAATAAGGAATACTAGAAGTAGGGTATAGAGTCCATATAGGAATTTAAAACTAACTAAAATTTAGAATAAACACAATAAAATTAAAAGTAGAGTTTAAAATCTGTATAAAAATTCAATTTACAAATAACTAAAATTCGAAATTAAGAAAAACATAGGAAGAAGAGTTTAAGGTCAATATAGGAATACAATGTAGAAGTAACTTAAATTCAAAATGAAAAAATTAAAGAATATTGAAACATGAGTTTAGAGTCCACATAGAAATACAATTAGAAATAATAAAAATTCAGAAATAAAAATAAATAATATTGGAAGAAGAGCATAGAGTCTATATAGAAATACAATTTACAGAAAATTCGGAATTTAAAAAAATATTAAAAGACGAGTCTAGAATCTATATAGGAATATATATAATTTACAAATAACTAAAATTTGATATTAAAAATAATTAATAACTAACACATATATAAAATATAATATGAAAACTCAGAAATAAAAATATATATATCGGAAGAAGAGCATAGAGTCTATATAGAAATACAATTTACAGAAAATTCAGAATTAAAAAAAATATTAAAAGACGAGTCTAGAGTCCCTATAGAAATATATATAATTTACAAATAACTAAAATTTAATATTAAAAATAATTAATAAATAGCACGTATATAAAATATAATATGAATATTACACATTAGTAGTTTTGTAAAGTTATTGCAAAATTTTAAATTATGTTGTCATTTTAATATATTTGAATATAATGAGAAAACATATATGCTATTATATGAGAAAATATAATGATGCTAGCCGAAAATTGTGCGGGCCACCATGCTAGTTTATTTGATAACAGGAGAAGTTTTTTTTTTTCGGGGGATAACAGGAGAAGGTTAACGTTGCAGGTGACAAGTGACATCAATTTTGCTGAAAAGAAATTGCAAGCACGGCAAATAAGTCGGAATATATGCTGGAGATGAATAGATGCCACATGTATGTGTGCTTTGGTTGATAAAATCGACAGGTGGAACAGCGGAAGCGAGGAATTTATTCGAAGCTTCAGGAACAAAAGAGATGAAGCTTCTCAGAAGTACTAGAAGAAATGAAGAATTCACTCAAGAGGCCCAGCTCCTTCCGGTGCCTTCTCTGTATACTTTTTTTTTTGACACCGCCTTCTCTGTATACTGATGATAAGAAAACGTGGACACCAGATAAAACCCAAGTGTTTGCGGGCACAGAAGCGCCAGCCGTTGCATTCTGGATTATTGCATTTATGATTTTCCATTTTTCACAAACGAAATTAAAAAAAATATTCCGGACACGTGCATCTTTTTATATAAAAACAAACAGAAATTATACTGGCCTCAAGAAGTACCGAAATGTTTTTTAAAATAAAATTTTGGTACCTCTGACATCGAAAGTATTGAAAGTCAATAAATTATACAATAAAAATATATGGTTGCTTCTCATGTACCGTAAAATGATCCCTCGAATAGTAAATAAAATAATTTACCAATAAAATGTTTATATATATGTGTTTTTATTAATTTAAAAATATATAAAATAAAATATAATGAAAAACATAAAATCAAACTTCAAAATTAGAGAAGTTTTATTGTCATTGAGAAAGAATTTTAAGTTACCTAAATTTTACACTGAAAATTTTAATGACTCGAGAAATCTAGTACTTAAGTTATCAAGTTTTACACTAGAAAGTACGACGATTCTAGTATTTTTTAAGAATAGTAAAATTAGCTTTGAAGTTAAATTTAAATAATTTTAGCTTATAAACATAGACGAAGTAATGCGGCCTTAAATTTCACGATCAGCCTTTCAACTTCGCATGAATTCACGAAAAGGCAAGAGAGATTCCGCTCTCATGTCGTAAGTCGTAACTCTGACGCGAGGAAAAACAGTCATATCGCAGTCAAAGAAATACACATCCACTTGACTACTCACGATTCGGTTTGTCTTCACAAATTCCTAGTTGAACTCTTCAGGTGGGCTGTCTGCGATATGTACAGGGTTGCACGAGGATTTTGGCCGCTGAATTGAACAAATCCATCCACATTTACGTTTCAATTTTTTTCAAAAAAGGAAAAAAAACATTGGGCACGCATGCATGGATAGGAGCAAGTGTAACAAAAGGATACCCCACAAATGCTGCGATATGCATGCCAATTAACACGTCACACCTGTCCACACTAGCACCATGCATAAATGGACTTTACGATCATGGGTCATGGCAGCTTTGCAGTGATCGAACTCCAGAAGCGTAGCGTTCTTGCATGCTTGGCGCTAGCTAGCTGCTCTTGCAGTCTACTCCATCCGTTAAAGGTTATAAAATCAAACTACTTTAAATTTTATCAAGTTTATAGAAAAAATAGTGATATTTTCAATCCAAGATAAGTTTATTATAAAAATATATTTAATTATGAATTTAATAAAACTAATTTGGTAATATAAATATTATTATATTTATCTATAAATCTAGTTAAATTTGAAGCGGTTTGATTTTGACTAAAGTCAGAACATCTTATAATCTGAAATGCAGTAATTCACAGCACATTTTGTTCGAAATATTTACTGCTTAATGTTTATGTTTTTTTTCCTTGCTGGGATAATTAAAACCAATCCTAAGTTGCCAACCATATTGAGGAGATAGCACCCAAAGATAGCACGTACGAGCTAGCACGACGAATTAATTAACCAGCAAAAAAGGACGTGTTCAATCGGCCTACCATGAGGCCGAAGTTGAAGCCGACGACGACGGTGTTGGCGATGGAGATGGCGGCGAGCTCGAGGTCGCCGAGGTGGCCGGCGAACGCCTGCGTGATGACGTTCATGCTGTAGGTGACGACGCGGCTGAAGATGGCCGGCGCCACGATGACCCACAGCTTCCTCGACTCCTCCCACACCCTCCTCCTCAGCTTGCCGTCGCCGCCGGACACCACCTGCCAGCCCTCCTTCGCCGCGCCGCCGCCATTCAGCAGCGCCACCCTGCACTCCTCCTCATCCCCTCGCCCGTCACCCATCGCCGCCGACCGTGTCGTCCGAACGAACGAACAATCCAACCTCCTCTGCTTCGATTAATTCTTCGATTCCTCCTCTTGTGTTTTCCCCCGATGTCAATGAGGTGTCAAACCCAAATGGAACGAGCGACCGAGCGAGCAGAGGCAGGTGGAACGCCTTTTAATAGGAGAGGAGTTCCGTGGTGGTGTTGGCGAGTCCAAGCTACAGCTAGGCACGCACGAGAGGGCGACGAAAGCGCGGACGTCTGCCTTGCGTTTCGTGGCGCACGTATAGGGCGGCGCACGGGACGACGTCGCTGTTGGGCAAATCTGCCGCGCGCGCGCGCGCGCTGTGGTGTTTGGTGCCAACTAACCTCGCGTTAGCTCCCGTGTCCGTGGAGACGGATCGGATCATGCTGCGGCGCACGGCTTTCCCGTGTTCTCTCCTGCCTTTCCGGAAACGATCGGCTCGATCAAATCTGGCGCGTACGTGACGCGTGCACAGATCGCGCGCGAACAACCCTCGAGTTCGCGATCGAGTCCTCCTAGTCCGAACACGCGCGAATCCACTGTGTGTTGGAACTGGTGTGCACGTACGACTGATGGGAATATTAAATGAGATTGTTAAGTGAGATGTTGGTGTATATATTTTAGGCGCCTGTACCGCGTGTGAGATCTGCGGCCGTGTCAACACAAGATTCTTATACGTTGATCGTGATTGTGAATATTGGGGAGGACTACGTACGGAGAAGCTAGCTGTGCTGTTGACCAAACCAATTACCAACTCACTCTTTGAGTCCATCATGGCTCATGCAATGCATGTCGCAGATCGATCGATCGTTACCTGCCCGGGCTCCCAAAACCGGTCGTCTCTGCACTTGTGCAGTGGTTTGATATACCGCAGGCAGCTGTTGCGGCACACGGAGAGATTACTAGTCCGTATCCGTACACGTCGGCAGATTTGTGGCTATACATGCATATGCATCAACGTATGCGTTGGCTCTCTAAACTTGCACTTTAAAATCGCGTTTGTTGCTTGCTATCTTCTCATGAATCTCGTCAAAAAACTGGGGTTGGGGGGATCACTTGCTTTGGAAGTTCGGGTGATGATGACGTCGGATGGGGCCCATGAATAAGACTACTAACTAAAAAAAAATGCGCACGAGCCCTTTGTTTTCTGCCAAGTCTGTATACAATAAAACCTGACCCGAACCGAAACAAAATGGACATACGGAGTATATAATACCAGGAGGCATCGATCAGTTATAGTGAATATTGACGCGCGCTAGCTACGCTGTGGGTCATGCGTACTGCCGTAGAGGACACAGATACTCCCAAGCCATCGACAATAATGTGTATCTAGAAATCGATTGGTGTACATTGCCAACTAACCACAAAATAAAAAATAAAAATGACCACCATTAATACAATGGTAACAAGGTAGAGTCTCTCTACCTTTTGCGTCAAAAAAAAATAAAAAAATAAGAAAATAAAAATCAGACGAGTTACTGGTATCATGATGGCACACAACCGCTGGTGACATATGGGTGCCTACTTTTGCTCACATCTTCAAGAGATTCACACGCATATATAAGCACCCAATTTGTTGGGGGCGGCCACCTCCGTATAAGCTCAAAACTGGGCTTGCCAATGAGGGAGGCAAACCGAAAAAAGAACACAAGTAAACGCCCTTGAATGGGTAGGTAATCAGGGTTAAGAAAGCGAGAGCAAACTGTCAAACTGATTGCAACTCCGGATTGTTTACTACGGAGTACTCCAGTAGATAGAATGTCCAAATTAATTTCCAACGGGTCACTATCGTTCTGAGGTATGGACGCGATGGACAGCCACAAACAAAGTTCAGTTTTCCATTTTGCACAGCAAACGGGTCGTTGGCATTGCTGCTTCTCCATCGCCCACCCATAACATTGTAGCATCACACCACTCGTTGCGTTCGTCATTGCCCACGTCTTCCGGACCCCGTCTTTGGAACAAGCAAAGCTATAGCTCTTCGCCTGTTCGACATGGATAGATGCATGCCATTTTATTTTTATTTTCATTTTCTTTCTGATGAGATGATGCATGCATATGATTGTATAGTACTCCCTCCGTCCATAATATAAGGGATTTTGAGATTTTACTTGCAATGTTTGACCACTCGTCTTATTCAAAAATTTTTGAAATTATTATTTATTTTATTTGTGACTTACTTTATTATCTACACTTTAAGCACAATTTTTCGTTTTTTATATTTGCAAAAAAAAAAATTAAATAAGACGTGTGGTCAAACGTTGTAAACAAAAACTTAAAATCCCTTATATTGTGGGATAGAGGGAGTACTATTAAGTTCGATCTTATCCATGGGCCCGTGGCTGCGTTCGTCTGCCGATCATGTTCATGGCCGACGAAGTAGCAAAGGATGCAGCTGATCGATCAAACTGTTGTTAATCAATACTGGCATAGTAAAGGATACAGCTCTTGGCTACGATTAATAGCGACGTAGCTCTTGGCACCATGATGCATGTGGTTGTGAGTTGCGACGCGATGGTCACGGCAAAACTTAACGAGTCGTGGTTCACGCCTCGATGTGTAGCGACATGTGTTCCCTCTCGTAGTGTCGCAGGATACATACATTATATGTGGATGTAAATCATATAATCATGTTAATAATGCATGGATCTGTTTATGTTACGCACATGAAGCCCAGGCAGGACGTGATGCCCTCGTCGTGGTGCGGCGATCGAGAGGGGAATTTTGGATCGGTGCCTGTTGTCTCCATGGATGGCAGACAAACCGGTAGCTGTATGCAATGGTTTTGGAATTTTCGTACAGGTTTGAGTGATTAACTGATTATTATCACTGTATGGCCTGTGAATATGTGATTCTCTCGCCGACACAAAACCGAACTGAAGTGATCTGCTCCTCGCACGAAAACGCCAGCCCAGAGTAGACGTGCAAACACAAGAGGCCGGCCCTGTTTTTTGTACTGGGCCAGATGGAAATAGGACTCGTCCAAGTTGAGCGAGATGGGCCTTGGTGGGTTCAATCTCTCAGTTACCAGGCCACACGGCCGAAGGAGGAGTGGGCTGCCGGCCTGAGCGAGGCCGATCACAAGGCCGAACAGGATGGCCAATTAGCGCAGCTGCGTCTCACACTTTTGGTCCACAAATTTCACGTCAAAGTTTCATATGAGAAGTTTTCGAATGAAAATTTTCAGGTAATTTTTTTCAGATGATTTTTTTTTTGCAGATGAAAGTTTTACAAATAAAAGCTTTCAGATAATTGTTTCAAGAAAAATATGCGTTGATGAAAACGTAGCTACGCTAAATAGCAGTCCCCTAACCCCAAGACTTTTAAGACAGAGAATTCAGCTGCATTCTCTGCACCGTCGTGTGTCAACTTGACCCTTTCCACGGTGTCAACTAGGAAGCTGGGAGTAGGTGCGCCCGTTCGATTCGCCTGATGGATTAATGTTGGGTTAGTTAGTTAATCGGAACACGCATGCAGATTGTTAGACATGCAGGTTCCAAGCGACCTGCAAAGCGCGGCTGCGATCAGAAGAATAATGGTCACGGTCTCACGGATTAGTTGGGTTTCAGTTTGACCTTTATTTGATTGATCGACCAAGGTGGCACGTACGTCTCCGTACTCACATCTGATTATTTATTTATTTATTTTATTTAAATTACACAGTACAACGCAGACACTCACAACATACGCATAATCACCCCTATGAACACACGCACGTAAACCCAACCCATTTGAGCATCTTCGAAGACTGGGCTAGCAAATCTATCTTGGAGTCAAACCCAGGATCTAAGATGCTACTGAGGCTATTGTAACCACTAGGTTATATAAACTTTCGCTGATTATTTATATGTTTTGAGGGAAATACATCTGATTATATTAGTATGACAATTTCCAGCTTGCTGTCCTAAATAAGTTATACCTACTACGGAGTAGATGCTAACTAGATTGAACATATATAGTAAGCATGTTGTCTACTCGACTGCGTGCAGTACGCACCCAAGGAACCTGTGGATTTTTTTTCTTGAAACAAAGAAAAAGAAAAAACAGTTATCCGAGCTCTCAACATGCACAATCCCTTGGTCTTTTCCCGTGGTAGGTGAATGCACTTCAACTCTGACAAACAAGATCCATGAAACTGACAGAGAGCTTATATGTCTCCGCGCGCAGATCTCATGCATGATTCATACGGTGACTATTGACTATCGACTTTCTTATGAGCTAATAACATTCATACGAGATAGTCGCTGTTAATTACTACACACTTACCACCTACTAATAATCCCCTTCAAGACTTAGCACGCGTGCCTGTGCCTTCCCCTGCAAATCTCAAATCCTAATTACCTGAACCATCGGCGACCTCGAGAGATAACGTTCACACAAAAGCGGAACACTTTGATGGAATAACTGAATGATGGATCAGCTAGCTGCTAGTCGATGTCTCGCAGTTGGTGGAAATGGAATACGTTTTCAGCACCTGCTGGGATATCATTGAGAAACCAACTAACGCATTATGCATGGTGCCGTAAAGTTAAAACGAATGGAAACATAGCTGAACCTCTTTTCTCAGACAAGAGAATGAGATAGTGTGATAGCTTCAAGTTTTAACACATCATCTCATTAATTAAAAGTCAATATATACAACACATTTATACATTACTTCTAGGCTTCTAGCACTTTTATATCCTAATACACCATCATATATAATTTTTATTTTATTTTATTTGTTTGCTCTTAATTTATTGATCTATTTTTTTAAAATAAAATTAGAATTTGTGCACTCACTCTGAAAAAAAATCTAATCATTTGTCTAGATTTAAATTTAGAATTGGGTTTTTTTGGTACGGAATGAGTAGAGATGATCTCTTACCGATAGGTGACTCATGCTCTCTTCTCTTCTCCATCTTATCTACCGAGGAGTTTTCATGTATTTTTAGTCTCTATTATACTTTTCCACACCATATCGGAGTCGTTCCTGTCTGTGACTGTCACTTTTCTGAACTTACTGCCACCAACTTTTTACTGTGTCATGCAGCCATATCATCACCATCCATGATCAGTAAGGACACTAGCTAGGTAAAGTACTGGGGAATTCCATGTACTGGATATTGCATATGCCAAATTGCCAATCCACAAGAGTATTAATTAATTGCATATGCTGTTGGCTGTATATGCGGCAGATAAAATTTAAATTAATACTGGAACAACGGACTGGCGGTATGTACACCACAAATTACCACAATGTATACAGTTTAAACACATGCAGAGTCCAACCAGTCTTTAATTAACTCCAGGCACCAACAAATTAAGCTACACCAAACAGCGGAGGGGAACTAATCAAACGACTAGTAGTTTCTTCGGTTTGAACAGGGAAAAAGATCGAAGCAAAATTCTATTAGGTAAAATAATCCAAATCATCGATATATTTAGGATCGCTATATATAGTTGGAGAGCAAGATAGCACATGTGTTAATTACCCGGTCTTAACAGCCGCTTGAACCAAACGGAACAAGCAGGCACTTTCCACGGAGGCGCTTCTGCTTGTTTTGTCTCACTAAACAATGATCAATTAGCTAGTCTCCGTGTAGACGCATCACGGATGTGTGTGGATTATTGGGAAGAAAAAAGGACGTTAATTTGTTTCAGCTCAGTACTATATTTCACTATAGTACTATCTACTTGGACTAGACCCATGACACGTCAGGTCATCAGCTTAGCTAATCCTACGGAGATGCATGGTGGTTGGTTATGGATGCGAATGATTAGTACATGCACACACGGTGGGTCGTCAAACGCAGCAAGTCCAAGCACATGGAACGTTGAACATGTTTGCTCACAACAGGTTGCTATTACGAGTACTTGTGGTCAACGTACGATAGGCTTTACTCGGTCATAAACTTATATATACATTAAGCGTATGATTTGCTGAAATGATAACGGATAAGTTTTAGATTTGTGACATTTTGATGCACCTTATGGTCACGCGCGTATTCATACGAAAGTGATTTTGAGATATATATATATCAAGTTCCAAAAGAAAAATAAATTCATTTCAAGTTGAATTAGTCTGAACTAATTTCATGAGTACATCATGTCATCATGTATGGAATTATCACACCATTTCCTTTTTCTTTAGAAAATATCACACTATCAGAACTAGCTAGCCTTTCTCTACGCTAGCTACTCCATCAGTTCAAAAATATAACAACATATGATTGAACATGACATATCCTAATACGATTAGCTTCAAATAAAAAAACCAACGTTGGTTTTGTATTAATTTCTACTACTATATACGAAGGGGTACCCTTTTATTTTGTAGAAAAATCAGTATTAATTCATTGTACGCATGCAACAAGTGGAGTCCCTAGCTACTCCCTAGCCGTAGCGTGTAACAAGTGGAATAATAGTCCATTTACACTGTAGAGGTAGCTAAGGGACGATTTCTCAAGTATCTTCAGAACAAACATGTCTGTTGATTATTTTACTGTAATCCCTGTGTACTTCTTGTCTCCTTCCTTTTTGTTGACTCACCTACTCTGTTAATCTCTACGTTACTCCAAATCTCCAACATCTTCTCCTAGACCTTCACATCCTTCACACATCTATATAAACCCTAGAACACACCATGTCATCCAACACCCAAGCAGATTAAGCTAATTAACTACCATCAACACACCCTAATCCAAAGGTGCCAAGCTTGCAGGAAACAGTAAGCTAGCTAGCAGTCTAGCACTGCTTCATTTGATCATGGCCACCATTACTGCTGCTAGTCCCAGACCCAGTGCTGCTCCTGCAGCCATGGAAGAGACCAGCAAGGCGATGCCTACTAGCGAGTGGCCTGCCGCCAGCGGCGGCAATGCGTCGCCGCCGGCGAGGTCCCGGCCGTCGCTGCTGGTCATATTCAGCGCGTGCCTCGTCCTCCTCGGCGCCGGCGGGCCGCTCCTCCTCCGCGTCTACTTCGTGCACGGCGGGACCCGGCTGTGGCTGTCCGCCACGCTCCAGATCTCCGGCTGGCCGCTGCTGCTGCCGCCGCTGTGCGTGTCGCTCTACCGCGGCCGCAGGCACGGGATCGGCAACCTCCTCCTCCCGCGGCGCCTCGTCGGCGCCGCCGCCGTGCTCGGCGGGCTGTACGCCGTGTCGTGCTTCGTGTACGCGCTGGGGTCGCAGGCGCTGCCGCTGTCCACGTCGTCGCTGCTGCTGGCGACGCAGCTGGCCTTCACCGCCGTGTTCGCGTTCCTCTTCGTGGGCCTCCGGTTCACGCCGTTCTCGGCCAACGCCGTCGTGCTGCTCACCATCGGCCCGGCGGTGCTGGGCGTCGGGCCGTCGTCGGGGAAGCCGGCGGGGGAGTCCTCCAGGGCGTACTGGACGGGGTTCTGCGAGGCCATCGGCGCGGCGGCGCTAGCCGGGCTGGTGATCCCGCTCGTCGAGGTCGCCACGGCGAGGTACGGGCGCCGCACGGGGCCCGCGGCGAGGGTGCCGCCTCCCTACGCGACGGTGATGCAGATGCAGGCGGTGATGGGCGCGGCGGGCACGGCGGTGTGCGTGCTCGGCATGGCGATCAAGGGCGACTTCCAGGCGGTGGCGCGGGAAGCGGCGGCGTTCGGGCTCGGCGCGGCCAACTACTACCTCGTCCTCGCCTGGGACGCCGTGTCGTGGCAGCTGCTCAACCTGGGCATCATGGGGCTCATCACCTGCGCGTCGTCGCTGCTCGCCGGCATCATGATCGCCGTGCTCCTGCCGCTCTCGCAGGTCCTCGCCGTCATCTTCCTCCACGAGAAGTTCGACGGGACGAAGGGCATCGCGCTCGTGCTCTCGCTCTGGGGATTCGCCTCCTACCTCTACGGCGAGAAGGCGCAGAAGAAGAAGGAGGCGCAGAAGATGCGCGAGCGCGAGCAGGAGGTGGCGCTGGCACAGAAGACCGCAGACGTGGAGTCAGCGGCGCCTTAGTTTACAATGGGATTGTACGTGTCTACTTGGGTGGGTCGTATACATATTTACGGGTGTAGTGAACATGTTTCTCAGTGTAGTTTTACAGTACAGTGGCATGCATAAATTTTGTACGAGATTGTTTCAAATTCTGTATGACATTGTTTCATTATATGGTACTAGCACGCAGAAAAAGCAAGTGCTATAGTTGTATCAACAAAGAGAATACTAGCATATACATTCACAAGTTCTTCACTTCATGACTTCTTCCCAGTGCTGGTAAAACCTTTATACTACTAGCTAGTCTACAAGATAACAAGACAGAAGGGAAGATTGTAAGCCGCCATGAAGGGGTTGCATATTAAAATGCCATTTCACTTCATATAGAGCACACAGTTGCTTGGCAACATGCATGCCTGTGCAGAAGGAGCATGTGCTGATATGCACACCTGGAGCAGAAAAGAGGGATGGGACTACGGAAGCACAAGCATGCATGCAAGAAACGACAGGGATAAAATAGTTTCATAGTATAAAACTAGTAAAAAACAAAACAAACTAATCCCTCCAACTCCATGTCTCCATGCATGCTGGGCAGTGCATCTTGGCATGTGGCGACGGTCGCCGGCGTCGTGGTGGCCGACAGGCCGCCATCCGGTCCAACGGCCCAGCAATGACTTACAAGACCAAAGAGGGCATGGGCCCACAAGACCGTCACGCACGCATGCTACGGCACTGGATGATGGACCAACAAGGTGATCGCTGTCGTCGCCTGCACCAACACCAAGTTGAATCCGAATCCACTGCAATTTTTGGAGGCTGTGCGCTCATCCAGTCACCCTGAGCATAGATGACAAAAACGAACACACCAAAAGAAAAACAAATATGGGCCCAAACATCATGGAATATATTCACATTGTCATGGAATATGGAATTCTTGTACAAGATACAGGGGAATGACACTTTTTTTCACCAACTATCAACTTATTCTGCCGTAGTACTGTAACATGAACCTCAAAACACAGTGTCTGCCAACTGCCATTGACGGAGGTACCAACTAACATTTTACTCGATCTCTCCCTTTTGTCAGGTCTTGGTGCTTCATCATCTCCTAGAGAACTTGGACACGAGGTACACTAGAAAGAAGCAGACGAGAGCGAAGAGGATTACATGAAAAAGATGGTTCGAACCATTCTGTATGATTTTCTTGTTTATTCTCCTCATGTTATTCTTGACGCCTGCCTGGGCCTTTGTCAGAGTCATTTGCTGCAAACAAGTGCAATATGCACATTAGAGACCGAGCACAAAGCGTATTTCAAGTTTTCAACACAAACTAGTGTACATCTTATTGCAGATTCTAGTCTACACATGTTCTCGACAAACAGAGAAAGGAATATGCCAGACAAGTAATTTTGGATGATCTAGGGCATTTTATAGAGTAAAGCCTCATTTCGATGGACCTTAATCTGGGTCCATCAAATTCCTGGCCTATAGGTGTGCTAACATGGAAACTTCTCATGTATATGTGGCCTAGTCCCCTTTTCTTTTTCCAAAAACTATCGACCAACAAGATGACAATGGAGAGAAGATCAGAATGTGATTCCATTTAGGCACGAACATCCTGCTAAGCCTGAATGATGGTTATAGTGTACTTTTAGAGTTCTCGTACAAAGGTTTCAGATTTTAAAACGAGCAGACATCAAATTCCAAATAATCAATTATGATTAAATGTACGATTCTACAAGCACTTCACTTCCAGAAACTACTATTTTATGAAATTTTAACATGATGCCGCTACAGATAGACTAGACAAAGCTCACAATGTAAGTAATACCCAGGATACCAACATACAAGGCCGAATTCATGGTAACTTTTAGACATGCGTTAGTGCATAATGAATCAACTACAGTGCATGGGATGGGATGACTGAACATGACTGGTTAAGTGACAAGAGATTGAGGATCAGCAGATTGTGTTTGAAGAAACATTACACTAGGAACCTTGCGATCAGTGATAATCTATCTGCTAAAAAATGTCCATGTGAGGTACAATAGGCGTGCCATATCAACATTCCGATAACTCAATCTAAATGCTATTCAGGATTTGGCCCAAACTGTCTCGCAGACAAGTTACTTACCAGCTGAGAGATGAAATCATTTTGGTACTTGGCCTCTGTTTGGATCTCTTGGGCAACCTGCAGCACCAAATTAATGGCTTGTTTAGAATCGATTGAAAGAATATGAAAAAAGCTTATGAACATAAGTAGATCATGGTTCAATTACTCCCACATAGCATCACGCAATTTCACAACAACTCTAGCTCGCCACACCGGTTTCATTTAGACACCAAATTTTGACTACCTTCCACAACAGAGTTTGCTCATACAGATTCATAACAATACTTACCCCTCTTAGCTTACGGACTTGCCCACGAAGTCCGACAATATGGTCATCCAAATCAGCGGTAATTGGGTCGATCTGGAGCGAAATCTCGCTGGAGCTTGATGATGCAGCCGGCCTGGCCGTCAGCCCTTCCCTGCAGAACCGAACATTAGGATCAGGATAACCGAGACAAAATTGGAAAGTCCAAGAGGGAAAACGATAATTTGCACACACGAATCGACGGTTAATCAGAAATTCAGAATCAAGCCACGAAATTAGGGACTTGTCGATGGCTCAATCAACAACGAAATTTCATAGGGTACCAACAGGGGAAGCAGCGCAAGAACACAAATCGGGGGAAACGACCCCAGGTGTTCGTCAACCACGAGAAATCGAAATCAAAAGAACGACGCGTCCTGGCGAATCTAATCCCGCAATAAAAAAAATCGAAGGAATCGACGATTAGGACGGAAAACTAGGGGGGGGGGGGGGGAAGAAGAGGCGAACCTTGAACCGTAGGCGCCGCTCGCCATTGCGAGATCAGAAGAGGGAGACCACGAAAGATTGAGCCCGAGGAGATGGAGACCGATGCTGCTTTCCTCCTCCGGATCCGCGTCTTCCCGGGCGGAGATCGAGGCTGCAAATTTCCCAGCGACGCGGCTTGGATTGGAACGGAGAGGAGAGGACGAAGGAGAGAGGAAGGGAAGCGGAGTAGAGGGGGGAAAGTCCGAGGACGTGGCAGATCGGACGGCCCACGGTTCACGGATGACGCGTTGTCGAAGCAGCGGTGCCAGCGTGCAGCGAACAGCGGTTGCTTCTCTGTCAGGAAATCAGGTTAATCCTGCTTTAGTGACTGTTTTGGGAGTTTAAAATTCTGAAAAACAGCGGGTGAGAAGTTAGCCGATAAGAATTCGAAGAAACTATGTTTTTTTAGCTTCAGACTTCTAATTTATTTTCTAGATTCTTAAAATCTAGGTGAAAATCTAAGTGTTTTGAAAGTTTCTGACAGCTACAGCTTATAGGATGTCATAAGCTCCCCAAACATGCCCACATGGTTTTACCTGCTGCTTCGTGCATATGATGATGCTTTTTTATAAACTTGTATAGCACAAAGAGGATAGGTTTTCCATTCCATCAGGATTTTCCTATTAACGCTTTTTTTTATAAATTGTTAAATAGTGTGTTTCGTATAAAAACTTTTATAAGTTACTTTAAAATATTAAATAAATTTATTTTTAAGTTTATAATAATTAGAACTTAATTAATTATGTGTCAATAGCTTTCTCACTCTACGTACCTTATTTAATCTTAAGAGTATGTTCAATGGTAGAGACGATTATAGTCTCTTAAATAATAAAAGATTATTTAGAGACCGCGTCTTTACAATAGTTGAGACGACAAAGGCTCTAATCATTAACTCAAAAAAATATTCATTTTGTTAACATTCGTTCCATTTTTCTACCCTCATACAACCATATTTCCATATTATAGTGATTAAGAGTCGTTGTTATCCATAACAAGGATGTTTTGTCTCTCCTCTTTCTCTTTCTTCCATATCAACAAATATTCCTAATTAACAACGCTAAGAGACCACTGTGGATAAATATTCCTAATTAACAACGCTAAGGGACCACTGTTGACAATCATTGTACATGCCCTAATATTTATCTACCTCAAACTGACCCTTACTTCCTTACTTAATTACTTAATCTTAATCTTCATCTATTCAGGTGCCGCTACTGGATGGTCAGACAATGCAGCAGTAAAGGGAGAATATAAATGAGCAAAACTCATGGTTCAACCAACTCAATCATGTAGAAGAAAGTTATTTCATCATAGGCGTCACTTTGTAAACACTTCAAAATTGGTTTTTAATGCGAATTTCTTTCTATCAGCCTGGCACTATTATCGAACGTCAGAACAGACACTCGTTTGATATTGCAGGAAGCCAAATGAAATCCAGTCGGACAACAACAGAGAGTAACTATCGAGAGATCATGATGTCACATATCAAAAACCGTTTCAAGTCGGTACACATTGCAAGAAATGCCAACACCTATCCAACAAAATACAGACGACTGCCAATTTGATGAAACACAGAGTATATCACAAACTGTAATATGTTGGGCTTGCTATCCCCAATCTATGGACATCACTAAGCTCGTAGATTCTGAGCCTCCTGAAGTGCTTCCTGCAGATTCTTTACGGCGCTGTCATAGTACACGAAGCCCATGAACCAGAACTCATGATTATCAACGGAAACCACCTGGATGTATTTCTCAGATGCATTTGTTCTGCTCGTTGAAGGATTCACTGATCTCAGTTGGGTGTGGGGAATGACAACCTGTTGTTTCAGACAGAACAATGATAAGTTATGCACTTCTATAAAATGATTCACGCAAATGGAGAAATAACAGCAGGCTAATGGAAGAGAAAGAAATCTGCGACTAGTTTCATGAAGAAAAGTAAAAGGAAAGCACATAAACCAATTCACTACTTTGCTTTCTACACAGTACATTATGGTAAGATATCTTGCTTCAGGAGAAATTTGTCACACTGATTATCACCAGCGGTTGTATTGTGAAGCAGACTCGGTATGATCTCAATATATGATGAAAAACACATACAGGTAATCAGAATACCTTATAGTAGCTCCACTCATCTTTGTCTCCAACCTTGTAAGCAAGTGGATTATCGCTACAGAATGCCAGCTTTTTATTGGACAGGTATAGCACACCCATGACAGGACCAGCAGAGGTTGACAGATAACATGCATATGGTTTCTTCAGTTTCTCGTCAGGGAGGACATCAAATGTTTGATGGAAGATTTTATCATATCCACCTTCTGCTATGACTTTGGTGATCTGGGAAACCCTGCCCATTGCTGCATCTGTAATGCTTGGTCCAGTTTTCACTGTTTCAAGGCAAATTAAGATTCGTGTTATGACTATATTATCTCACGCTGCTCGAATTCAATTTAAGAAACTTATACCATATCATTTCAAGGGATCAACAGTACAATGAGCATGTGAACAAAGAAGGCTCAATGCATGAATACAACACCAAATCAGTGCAACTAGAAAATAAGGGAGAGGTAGCACAATGAGACATCTATCTGGAATGATCAGCATTATAAAACACTGCAAGAATTTAAAACATCTTTTTACTCTCTACATTGTTAAGACATATGGTTTACCTAACAAATTAATATGCATGAGCTATTCACTGCAAATAAATTGTGTTATGACTGATAGAATATACCCAGCATTTCTCCGTTGTCATCAACAACGCCAACTCCACATAAATCCAATTACATAGCCTAATAGCAACAGCACCACCCATAATCCATATGCGCTGGACCAATTCAAAGTTTCAAACAGACCAAAGAAGCCAATAGATAGTGAACCTTCTTCATTCAGCATTACTATAACCCACAGATCTCACCAGACAGCACAAATACCCAATCAAGCACTACTGTAATTCACAATTCTCACCAGGCCGCCTTTTTTTTTTCGAACTCATCAACACGAATTATCGTCAAATTCCATTAGCGCTAACTACCGATATAATACCCAGTTCCCCCACTTAATTTAATTACATGCTACTCATAACTCCAAAACGAAGATAATATGCAGAAAAACCAAGCATTGGTAAACTGATACAGAACAAAAACCAATAACTTCAGAATTGAAGCTTACAGTGTTGCCAGAAGTTGCCGGTGAGGGTCTCCGTCTTGCGAGCCGCCTCTCCAAACCTCTTCCCCATCTTGCCGAGAACATCCTTCACCGTATCCATTGTATCTGCAAAAGGGGAAATCCGAAACAGTTAAAAAAAAAAAACCCCGCAAGTTATCCTGCCAACAACGGAGGGCAGATTCGGCTGCAGGAACGCACTCTTGGAGGCGGGCGCGACGCCGCCGGCGGGTGAGGAGACGTAGGGGTTGCCCGAGTAGGGCGGCGCGGAGGAGGCGGCAGCGTGGTAGGACGGAGGGGGGGGCGGGGCCACGTCCTCCGGCGAGAGCCTCGGGTAGTGCGCGTAGTCCGACGCTGTTGCTGCGGCTGCGCCGGTCGCGGGGGCCGGCGCCGCCGTGGCGTGGTCTCCTCCGGCGGCGGCCGGCGGGTGCATGTCGACGGCGGGGAGGTGGGGCCTACTGGTCAGACGGTACAGCTGGGCGCCGCGTCGTGCTCGACGTAATTCCTGGACCCAACGGACGCTTCAGGTGGTTGCCTTTTTTTTCTTTTCTCCCCTTTTTTTCTTTTCGAGGATATCGTGACTGCCTGTCTCCGAAGCTGATGCGGTATATATACATAATCGAAATATTGAATTTTCCATTGCTTCAAAAAAAAATGCCACACTTAAATAACACGATGAGGTCATCGCTAAGGATTTCGAGTCTTCGGCGAACTTGTACCAACAAATGCTTAGCCACGAAGGTGCTTTCATAGCCCGCTCTGATCTGTCGTGTAACGCCCGAGGTCTCTCGGTCAGCGACGCGTTAATATTTAGCGGCCCACATGTCAGTCCTGTATAGGTGAGAATGAGATCGGATCCAACCAAGTGTTGCTCCTCCTCCTTCCAACCCGTTAATTCCGCTGCTTCGCGTAGTACTACAGCAGCAACGGTTCATTTCTGCCTTTCGGACCCCAAACTCTCCCAAGGCCCACCTCACGTGAGCCCTGTCGCTCCACCGCCCAACGAACGGCCCAGCCTGCGTTTCGACTCGCGCGGGTGCAGCACTGCAGCCGCGTCTCTCCGCTCGGCGCGTTGCACTCCGCAGCGAGCGGCGAGCGAAAAAAACTGGGCGGATTACGGGGAGAATCCGGGGAATCGCACGCGCGCACGAGGAGCGCACCGTGCGTGCGCCCACGGCCACGGGGCCCGGGTGGAAAAAACGCCCCCGTGTGCTGGGCCGTCCATCCGAACGCGTACACCACCGCGCGCGCGCGGCACGATGGGCCGCCGATCCTCTCGCCCGCCTCGCGTAGACGCGTACGTATACGGCGGCCCAAGCACTTGGGGGGGATCTTGGGGAATACTGGAAATTGGAAAAGAAATGGAGATACGGGGCTACGGATACCTACCTACTACTAGTGCCTAGTGGAGTAGTACCGTTTTTTGCACCTGAAAGCTGAGAGCCCCAGGCTGAACTCGCAACCTGCCACTAGCGGGAAAGACCAGCAGGGGGGCCACCTTTGGAGATGCACGAGGGGCATTGCCCAAAAGTTGGCCACTAATTGGGTTCTTTTTTTTTCCTCTCATAAACGACTAGCTTAGCACTGCTTTATTAGACTAACCGTGGATCTTTTTATGACCATTACTATATATCTATTTGCTTCATGGTCTCTTGTTCGGTTTTCAAAAGGCACCGTGCTTTCTCTTTGTGTGAGAAATAGAGGGAAAGGAACCTCCTTTCTCTTCATTAATTTTTGCTCATACGAATTGAAATGATTTCCCTTTTGTCCTTAACAAATGGGAATTTTCCTTATCATTGATTTTCAGCTAATGTTGTTACTCTTGTTAGCTTAGACCTGATCAATGATCCCACGAATATAGTATTTACTGTATAAGATTGATTCTAGCTCAACACAAAACTGGGAAATTCACTTCTGAGTTTGGTCTGAACAAAACAACAACCAGTCATGGACCAGGATATGGAGTTATCTCTTTACAATCTTAAAAAGAAGCGGATACCTTAAAGAAGACTATTCTTAGGTTTTGTGCTTGGCCCCGGATATCAAATCAAACGTCATTGTAGCTCCTCTCCTCTGATCCTCTCCCCTGTTGTGTCGAATAATAATAGACAGAGGCCTGAATGGGAGGAAGCTGAACCTTATAGATAAGACTTTACCTTTTTTGCTTCTCCCTTATCTCCATCTCCTTAGTTTTTATATACTACCTCCGTCCTACAATATAAGAGATTTTAAGTTTTTGTTTGGAACGTTTGACCACTCGTCTTATTCAAATTATTTAAAAAAAAGAAAAATTGTACTTAAAATAATATAGATAATAAATTAAGTCACAAATAAAATAAATAATAATTTTAAAAAAATTTGAATAATACGAGTGGTCAAACGTTACAAGCAAAAACTTAAAATTCCTTATATTATGGGACGGAGACGGAGGAAGTACTTATTATGGGGATATAATGACTGTAAATATGTGGGAGAAATATAGCTTAAAACACACGTGGCTGACATGCATACAACGGTAAATCACATGATGAAGCATGTAAATTTGGGGATCACAAGAGCACAGGTAAAGATGGTATCATTATGCCTAGTTAGTTAGCATGAAGGATCTCTGGACAAACTGGTAGATGGTTTGATTCCAGCTCTTGTAAACAAATGATAGAAAAGTACAGTGTTTGGTCAGCACTACATAAATAACAATTAACATGGGACAGATCAAAATGTATTCCACCATGAAATAAAATAATTTATCATAAGGAAGTACTCAGAAAATAATATGCCTTGCTGAACAGAAGTTGATATGGAGTCACATGGCACAGTGCAAGCCAGTTCTTTTTCCCTGAAAACAATTATTTGCAGCAACTATCACACGAAGAAGAGAATTTATTGGACAAAATTAGGAATGGACAACTGTATTTTTTTTCTTTTGTAAAAGAAGATAAATCACTGGCAATATCGTGAGGCCAGGGTGCAGTAAGTGCTTGAGTGGACAATCTGAGTTGTCTTTATCATCATCATCTCTTTCTTTCTTTCTTTCTTTTTTTTGAAACAAACTTTAGTACCATCTTTCTTGAAAGAAATTGACTTTCCTGCTTGTACAGATGGATCAATATCAGAAACGAATATTGCATCATGTACCTGTCAAAAGATCGAGAGGAAGCAGAATACTTACGTTTTCATTGCATGCATACAGCCCTTGAAACAAGGTAAGAACTAGTGCTCAAGATTTAGCAAGAAGCCACTATTAGATAAAAATACAATGAATGAGGATTGATGAACAATGTAGTTGTGTAGATGCACAGTTGTATGTGAAGGTCCACAAGTCCTTTCCTCTGAGAGTTTTTGAGTCGTAAATGATCAGTTCAACCAAAGAAAAAGGAGAATCGAGATGTGCAGGAAGTCCACTGAGAAAGTTGGCCACTTTTGCCTCTAGTTTTTATTTCTCCGTGCAGGTAAATGGATTATGTTATTGCAGGTCAAATAATAGTGCATGGCTTTTGGTGTTAGGAGATGTACAGCTCATCTGCAAATCACCAAAAAACAAAACGCAGTTACTCTGAAGTCGTAACAGCACAATCAACGACCTGGCCTTTTTGAAATCTCGTGCTAATTAATTAAGCAAGGATGTGAGAGCTAGCAGCACGTAAAGTAAAACTGCACTAATCGTTAAAAAAATGTTATTACAAGTAAACTAACCCAACACCCCACCGGCCAAGCGTGATGTGACAAATTAAAAGCATGTTGTGAAAAACTGTTATCTGAATAAGTCGTAGTACCACGTCACACTAATTGGAAAAAGGGTCATCAAATACCAATCAGTTTTGTTAACATTGTAAAAGATTGTGTTTTGCATGCGTGGCTGTTGCCTGTTCTCTGAAAGAATGTCCAATTATTATGTGGTGTTGTGAACAGCTTGTGCCTGAATTTGCATGGCATCTGAAGTCCTCAAAGAGTAGCAGCAAATCGCTAGACTGACAGAAAGGAAGAAGAGGCCTTGATGAGAGAATCTGAGATGACTGCAAGCACCGAATGCTCATTCTGTACACTTCTCAAGTTTCTGGAGCATCAAAGTGTGTTCTCTGCATTCCGTTCAAAAAGGAAAAAAGAGGAGCTCGATTTGGATCTTAGAAAGGTATTAACTGATCAGACACAGTAACAGAACCAACCAGCTTCAATCACACTCACAATGGTATCATGCATGGTTAATCCATGTCATGTACTTGGGCTTAGGGTTCTCTCCTCCTCCAAGGTCTTATCATATAAACCAACTGGCCAAATTTTGAATACAAGGCGCCTGCATAGATCGATCAAATTCGGAGAATATAAAAATTGGGACAGTATGAGCTGTGTTTCTTGTTTTCTAAAACTAAAGAAATAATTCTTTCGAAAAAAAATACATTGGAATTAAAGAACTGGGAGGGGGGTAAACAAGGGTGTGCGTAAACTACTGTCTGCACTAAGAATCCCAATGCCTTGACTGACAGCAATCCCTGCCTGAAAGGCCGACCAAGCACAATAAAAGATGTGGAAGGAAACAAAAACAAAGAACCTTTCCTTGGCCTATCTCTCGCCTCTTTACTGTTGCGTTTCTAAACAAAGTCCCTTGTGCATGTGGACTGGGGCAAGGGTGAAGGATTTGTTTTTTCGGATCATTTTCAAATGCCTTTCCGGATGGGCAAGGGGGCTCATCATCTGTGAGCATATGACAAGTTCAAAGGTTAGTAATGACCACCATGCTCCTACACCACATCACCAACTAAAAGAACAAACACGATATTTGTTTAAATTAGATTGATTGAAATTAAGGACCTTTCAAGGACTTTCTCCCATTCAGATGAACGGTTTTGGTCGCTATTCTTTGTATCCAATATATAAGGAAGTAGTAGTTGAGAGTTGAGACTAGACAGAAGTTATTCTGTAGCTAGAAAGTCTTTTGTTTGTCATGTATGCGAGTGTGAAAACACTTTCATATCTGGAATAATTTAACCAATTCCTCAGAAGCTATTTCCAATCATTATTCAGCTCCAGACCATCCTTAGGGGGGTTTTAACTTGAAATACCATCATCGCTTCAATAGAGAAGACAACTAGATATCCGAGTTGTTAATACTATAAGAGTAAAATCTTGTGCTAACAAGAAACTGAACAATTTCTTTCTTTACATAAGTTAGATCACACATTTTGATCTTATGAATCGCTTTAATGTCTACACATATATATGTCCTCCACTTTTCGTCTTTTCATGGCTAATGTCACTTCCACACTACCACTCATCTCATATCCATTCTCTCTCGCCATAGTCGCAAGCCATACTATCCTGTTTGCGTGCCTCATCCTATATCTCAGGTATAGATCTCAAAGGCTAGTGTGATCGAACAATTGTTTCACCATCGCGGTTGGTCCATTCTTTCAAAATGCATAACTCCACGTTCTTCCGTCTCTACGTTGCTACTTGTATTTACACGTATCTTCCTCCTCAGCTAGTAGCTATCAGTGACACTTTTTAGTACATATTACTCAAATCTATATAGATGATAGGACATATGTGACAACCGAAGACACTAAAATTTGATTTTGATAATAAACTGTAATTGAAATAACCATCTTCACTACCAGAACAAAGCATTCAAATAGCTTTCAACGAATCAAAACATGCCTAGCTGGAAGAGAGAAATTCAGGTGTCCAAAACTCCCCCCGTGCATACAATCTCTTTCACGCTTTCATCACACCATCTGAAAAAAGCACAAAGGCCGAGTTTAGTTCCAAATTTTTTCTTCAAACTTCAAACTTTTACATCACATCAAAACTTTCCTACACACATAAACTTTCAACTTTTTCATCACATCGTTCCAATTTTATTTTGACATGAACTAACCACACCTAAGCAAATAATGAGAGATGTTTACATCTATCCCAGCTTCCCTCTCTTTGCCTTTGCCAGTCCCACGGGGGGGGCGGGCACTGTGGTGGTGCCGCCGTGGTGTGTGCCGTTCTGTAGAGCACTGCGGCTCCCGGCCCAACCGCAGCAGCAGCAGCAAACATACAACACAACAACAAGTACACGCCTCCCTCCCACACACCACCCCCCCTCCACCCTCGATCTCACTCACGCACACCCACCTCCCCCCTCCCCCCCCTCCTCCGCCGCGGCGCGTCTCCACTCCACTCCACTCCTCGCCGGCCACCAACCAACCACGCGAGTGGTGGGGGGGTGGGTGGGGCCCACATGTCCGAGGAGGACGACGACCAGCCGCCGCCGCTGCCGGCGCAGAAGCGGCCGCGCGCGTCGCCGCCGCCGGACCAGGTGCTCGACAACGTCCTCGAGACGGTGCTCCAGTTCCTCGACTCGGCGCGGGACCGGTGCGCGGCGTCGCTGGTGTGCCGCTCGTGGAGCCGGGCCGAGTCCGCCACCCGCGCCTCCGTCGCCGTCCGCAACCTCCTCGCCGCGTCCCCGGCGCGCGTCGCGCGACGCTTCCCGGCCGCGCGGCGCGTCCTCCTCAAGGGCCGCCCGCGCTTCGCCGACTTCAACCTCCTCCCGCCAGGCTGGGCCGGCGCCGACTTCCGCCCCTGGGCAGCCGCCGTCGCCGCCGCCGCGTTCCCCGCGCTCGCCTCCCTCTTCCTCAAGCGCATCACCGTCACCGACGACGACCTGGACCTCGTCTCCCGCTCCCTCCCCGCCTCCTTCCGCGACCTCTCGCTCCTCCTCTGCGACGGCTTCTCCTCCGCTGGCCTCGCATCCATCGCTTCCCATTGCAGGTAATGCATCTCTCCATGGAACTTTCCAACTTCCAACTTACTAGTAGTAGTTGTTGTTCTTGTTGTTGTCTAGTCGTCCGTGGTAATGGCGGATTCGATGCGGTTTGCTCTCGCTCTGTTTCTTGCAGGGGGCTGCGAGTGCTCGATGTGGTTGACTGCGAGATGAACGACGACGACGACGAGGTGGTGGACTGGGTGGCGGCGTTCCCGCCGGGGACGACCGACCTCGAATCGCTCTCCTTCGAGTGCTACGTCCGGCCGGTGTCCTTCGCCGCGCTCGAGGCGCTCGTGGCGCGCTCGCCGCGCCTCACCCGCCTGGGCGTCAACGAGCACGTGTCGCTGGGGCAGCTGCGCCGGCTCATGGCGAACACGCCTCGCCTGACGCACCTCGGCACCGGAGCGTTCCGGCCGGGGGACGGCCCCGAGGATGTGGGGCTCGACATCGAGCAGATGGCGTCCGCGTTCGCGTCCGCTGGCCGGACGAACACGCTGGTTTCGCTGTCTGGCTTCCGCGAGTTCGAGCCGGAGTACCTGCCCACCATTGCCGCCGTGTCCGGCAACCTAACGAACCTCGACTTCAGCTATTGCCCGGTCACTCCCGATCAATTCCTGCCCTTCATCGGGCAATGCCACAACCTTGAGAGACTATATGTAATGCCTGGATTGCTTCATCAGCTTGGTTTCGACTGAACTGCGCGATTCTGCTTTTCTGACGATGATTTGTTTGCCAGGTGCTTGATTCGGTGCGTGACGAGGGGCTCCAGGCCACGGCGAGGACTTGCAAGAAGCTCCAGGTTCTCCATGTGCTTCCATTGAACGCACTTGAGGATGCCGATGAGCTGGTGTCGGAGGTCGGGCTTACTGCCATTGCTGAGGGCTGCCGAGGGCTCCGTTCGACGCTTTACTTCTGCCAGAGTATGACCAACGCTGCGGTGATCGCCATTTCTCAAAATTGCGTGGACCTTAAGGTATTCCGGTTATGCATAATGGGACGTCACCAGCCTGACCATGTGACTGGGGAGCCCATGGATGAAGGGTTTGGTGCCATTGTTAGGAACTGCAGCAAGCTTACTAGGCTCTCCACATCTGGACACCTGACTGATCGAGCTTTCGAGTACATTGGCAAGTATGCCAAGTCGCTCCGGACGCTCTCTGTTGCGTTCGCTGGAGACAGCAATCTGGCGTTGCAACACATCCTCCAGGGGTGCTCGAAGCTGGAGAAGCTGGAGATAAGGGATTGCCCATTTGGGGATGCTGGCCTCCTCTCCGGAATGCACCATTTCTATAACATGCGGTTCCTCTGGATGTCAGGTTGCAACCTTACGCTGCAAGGTTGCAAGGAGGTCGCACGGAGGCTACCAAGATTGGTGGTGGAGCTGATAAATAGCCAGCCTGAGAACGAAAGGACCGACAGCGTGGACATCTTATACATGTATCGGTCGCTTGAAGGGCCAAGAGAGGATGTACCACCATTCGTGAAGATCCTATAAGCTGCTTCTGCAGAGTGGCACTTGATACGCTGAATGCGGCCTAAGCAACAAGGGAAGGTAAGATAGCTGGAGTCAGGCGTATGATCATTTTTTGTATGCTTGAAGTTGGAAGGAGTTCTAAAGCCATCTATCAGAGCTGCAAATGGTTAAATTGTTGTACTACTAGTAGGGGGGGCATCGGTATATGCAAAATTTTCTACCGCAAGATCATAAGTGCATCAGAGCAGGCTTCTTCGAGGGGGCTTCATCCCCTCAGTTTTGTTTGCTGCTCTGATGGCCTTCTGTTTGAGGGGGGCAATCTATCTATGCCGGCACAACCACCATGGTTCCTCTAATTTTTTTCCCAACTGAAGCTTGTCATCAGATTAAATTCATTAACACATTTCCTGTTTCTTGCCTTTATAATTCCTTCTGTTTTCGCATTCGTATGTTGGAACTCAGAAAAACAGAAACCCTGCTGAATTGAGCTTATGTTTAAATTCCTACTACTATGTGCTCAAATTTTGGGTGATCTCTGGTTCAGGCTTGAAAAAAAAGTCTTTGAACTTGTCTTTTCGTTATCTCCTCTGAATCCTGCACTTTGTCTGTTGATATCATTACCTGGAGGTCCTACTCCTCACAACCTGAAAGCTCTATCCATGGGTTCCTTATTGGGAGGTCAGCAAAAGTTAGGCCCTAGTCCATCAAGTGATTATTGCTTGACAGCCCCCAGTTTCCGGCCTACGTGTTCTCCTTCCACGCCAGTGAAAACGACGGCCGGCAGCTGCCTCCGTCTCCGGTGATCCACCACCATTTTTTTTGCCCATCAGAAACATATCTCATGCTGATACTGTTGGAGAAAATAGTCGCCACAGCCTTTTTCTTTTCTTTTTTCTTTTTTTCCTTTGTTCTCTTGTGGCTGCATCTGCTTCTGCTGCTGCAGCTGGTCACTCACAGCTTCTTCTGAGAAAGAAAGAAAAGCTTTGTAGGATGGTGACCAATCCTACAAGGAAGCCTGGGTGCATCCAAGCCTGAGCTCAAAAAGATTGATAGTGAAGGGGTGGCAAATGATGAGGGAGTGATGACCGGTCGATCCATCCCTGATGGGGATTGATCGATCGTTTTGACTGATCCCCACGAGTCCCTGACTGTCCTCACCCCCCCCCCCCCCCCCCCCCAGCTGCAGCTGCTGCTGCTGCGACGAGCAGTCCACAGGTAGTAGGAGTAGTAGATGCCAACCCAAGTGGGGATCCATCCACAGTAAAAAACTCTGCAGCTGGTGAAAAGCCTTCCTCACCAAACTCATTGGCTCCCTTGACCATTTCTCCCTGTGTGTATCTCAAGATGAAGATGTGATGCTGTGCAATGTTATTCTGATGATTTTTTTTTTGGTTCTTTCTCTTTCGGTTTCTTGGGGTGTCTGTCCATTCTTTGGCCAAAGAAAAAAAAAGGGTGATAGGTTTCTCTGAAAGTGAGAGATGCAGCCACTCATTGTCAAAGCAAGATGTCCGAAATTTTTGTGCTTAAAATCAGGAGATCTCGACTGATATTTTTTTTTCTTTCTGATCATCCGAGGCTGAACTGAGCTTTTTTTGGTGATGGTACATTTGAGGCTATAGATGGATCTCCTCTTGCCCTTTGCCATCTCTGAAACATCTTGTCAAATAATTGGCTACTATTGCCACTCCGGCTTAAGAAAACGAAAGAACATTTTAGTTTCTTCAGATCTGGGAGGAATGCGGATCTCAATATCTCATATGCTCGCAACAAGCTGCGATCCGGCCACGGGATTGAATGAGACTGATGTGGAAGAAAGCGCAAAGCTTGGGCTGTTTCAAACGCAGGAGTAGTAATGAGGGGGACTGTGATTGATTCACCCAAGCAGAAAGCTGCAAGGGCTATACGCCATTTGGTACAGCGTTTTCATATGTGTAAACTTTATTACTGCCTCTACTACTATTTACATGAACAGAGCTATTACCAGTTTACCACTGGGGTAATAATTCAGGTTCAGACAAGAGACTTGTAATCAGGAGACAGTTCATGTCAAGAACTCAAGATTACTTGTGGCTTTAATACTGAAAACCTGGGGGGTTCTTCTTCTGGTTACACCCTCCTCTGAATCCATTTCCATTGCGTTTGCTTTTGCATTGTGTTTACCTAAACCTGCATTTGTGGTTCTATGTTGAGAGCCATATTTGGGAACTGCATCCATGGTCCACACATCTTCTCTTGCAGTGTTCTTTCAGGGTTGTCAATGATGATCCTGTCTTAGCTCTTGTCAAACACGACGTAAATTATAGCTTTTTTCAGACGCATTATGCTTGGCAAAGGAGAGAAATGATGGCACAAAGTTGATTCTTTTTTTTAACTGCTGACTTTTCCCTATTTCTACCAGTTCAGTGGCTCCAATCTTAGCAATAGGTGAAGAAGATACTCCTTTTCTATAGCCATCAAGACTGCATGCATGGGAACAGATCATTTTTCTGTGTGCATCAGGCAAAATCTCTTCTGAAAGTTAGGCGTGCGTTTCCATATGTGCAGAAACATTAGAGCAGTTTTTAATCAGATCTTGTCAGTTATAAGGTACAATACAACTGCATATGGCTGCTGGACTTGGGAAGCTTTTTAATCACTACTAGTTTGGTCAGGAAACCTTTTTCCTCTGATGATTATAGAACGATCAAGCACAAGTTTAACTGCTAACTACTTCCTCCAATGTGGGCCTATGGCAGTAGTAGGGCTTTGCAATCATCCAAGCTTGTGAACAGTGATAAGATTGGATTTATAGGCTTACTTTATGGTGTGTCAACACCTTGGTTTTATTTATTTTTTCTGTCACATCAACTTTTCTGATTGAAGTAGTAGTAGTGTCATGTTCCTAAATATCCAAGATTACATGAACAGAGTGTCCACATGTTGTATGAAATATGAAGGCCTCATAGAAGTGAAGTGCTCCACTAAATCCCAGAAAAGCTATTCACCCTCATTGCCTTCTCTCTATCTGATGTTTTGTACTGGGAATCATCTACTGCAAATGTCAAAGCTCTTGATGGAACGCTGTAAGCGCATCTTTTGTCAAAACATCAGCAAAGTATATTGCTTTATAGGAAAAAGGAAAAGCAAAGTGGCTTTGTATTTGTGAAAGATGGTTTGCAAGAACATATTCTGTAATCTGAACCATGACTTATACTTTTGGAAAATACCGGATTTACTCTCGCAGTAAATTAGTCAGTGATTTCTCGTACATCACTAGATTTTCTTGATAATAGAATAAATATCTCGTTATCTCGTACACATCATGAAATAGTTCTGGAAGAAGTTATACTCTTGATTTGTCCTTAGGCTTTGCTGATTAGATCGAACCTAGTTGTCAGTTGTGACTGGTGACTGATTTTGCTCGTTCATTTCCAAAACTTGAGATGAATTAAATTAAAAAAATCACCGACAATTCTTGAAACAGTTTATGAGTGATCGTAATAAACATCAAATGTCTTGTTGGGACAAGAAAGGGATTTTCAGTTCTTGCAAAAGACCATTATTCATCTTCTAGCCAACTACATTTCCCTGGCATGACTAGCATTTAAGTTGGCAAGATCTAATCTCATTAGCTTGACATTTCTGTCTGTTTGATGGAAACTCATACCTGACTGAAGCTTTTCTACTCTAAGGGCCCCTTTGAATCAAAGGATTTATGTAGGAATTTCATAGGATTCAAATCCTATAGGAAATTTTCCTATTTGGCCCTTTGATTCAAAGGATTGAAGCTTTCCAAATCCTATGAAATTCCTATGGAATGACACATTGCATGTAGATTTTGGAGGAAATTTAGCAAGAGCTCCAACCTCTTGGAAAATTTCCTTTGAGTCTATCTCTCTCATCCGATTCCTGCGTTTTTCCTGCGCTCGAATCAAACGACCATTCCTGTGTTTTTCCTGTGTTTTGCAATCCTCTGTTTTACACTTTAATTCCTGTCAGAATCCTATGTTTTTCCTATTCCTCCGTTTTTTCTACCCTGCGATTCAAAGGGGCCCTAAATATTCTCATTAGCCAACAGATGCCAAACGCATGACCCAAAGAAAATGTGCAGTGAACTGCTGGATGCAGAGAGTTGCATACACCAAGCACTCCTCAGGCAATGATCATCAAATTATATATAGAACAAATAAAGGAGTATTCAGCATTGCACAAAAAAATTATGGGCCATAATCTCAACACCAATGGACTCCTGTTCATCTGTCCTCTTTTTTTCCTCACTCTCTTTCTCATGTGGTGTTTGCAGTGGGTTAAGTGTGTGATCTGTGCATTAGCACTGTTCTTGCGGGGACAAGACAATCCACAAGTTGATGCTGCCCAAGTGACCAAACAAAGGAGAAGGACAACTCAAATGGGCGGCATCTCTGGATCTGGAGCTGCTGCTCTGAACCAATCCAGTGCTCACGAGGCACTAGGATGATGGATGAACAACAATTTATCAGCAAAGTGGCAGGTTAGGTTTGAGTTAAACAATGGGCCAAACGCCGTTTATTAATGCGTTGCAAACCTGCAGAACTACAACTACACAATGTGATTGTGCAGAAGGCCGGCCAAGTTGCTGTCATGCTAGGACAAGCACATGATTGGGGCTCCTCCTAGCTCAGAAAGATATGTAGTAATAAAGGCATCAATGTTTTGCACAGATCTACAGCAGGAGGGGGCTGCACTGCACTGCATGCTCCCATCTTGTGCAAATGCAATATTGCAATGTAATGCTATTGCTATGCATGCATGCACACACAGGTGACAGCCACTACACAAACACACAAAAGGTGATGAGGAGAAGAAAACAAGGAGTCTAGTTAAGATAGTAGCACAACAGGACAAGATTGAATCAATTCTTGCCCCCCCCCCCCCCCCCCCCGCCTCATCTTTATTTCACTTCAAAAAAAAAAAAACTCTGGCAATTTGATTGTTTGCATTATCTTTGCACAAGAGGCATTTGATCTTGTGGGGAGTATTCTATTTTACCTGATCCCAAGCTTGAGCTTTCTCTCTCTCTCTCTCTCTCTCTCTCTCTCTCTCTCACTCTCTTTTTCTCTCTTCTCTCTGAAAGATGTGTAGGGAATCTTCCTCATCATTTCAGTACCCAAGAACCATGGACTTCGTGGCTGGAGAGAACCACATGAAATTGTGACAGCCAATTTATCTCAGGATATTTGTGAAATGAGACAGTGACACACACATCCAGCCAAGGTAGAGAGGAAAAGAAGTGAAAAAAAAGCTGCCTCAAACTCACCAAACTAGCAACTTGCAGTGCATTCTACTAGGGTAAACCAATCCTCCTGACATTTTTTTTCATCTGGTGTACAGACTCAGAATCTTTTTGCCCACTTTTACTGAGCCCTCCTACATGCCACTACTGAACTAGTATCACTATCTTCTAAGTACACATATGATCTTTTGAGCTTATAAACTGATAAGCTACATCTGAATTAGGTAGAATAGGAGAGTGCCATTGGTGACAACAGCTGCATTCTGGGGTGGTTTGTGTCAAATGTTAGTGTTGTGGTTGTGTGGCACTGTAGGGTGGTCAAAATCCTCCCCTGATTCAAACCCCATTTGTGGGGTCTCCTCATTGCAAAGGCAAGGCAGTGTGTACCACTGTACTACTGCCCTAATCCAATTATTAGTTCATTGTGTTGCTGGGGCCAATGCATGGATCCCAACTTGCATTGCTCAAGGTGATGGATGGATGGATGGATCCATTTTGCTTCTGTGGTCTTGGAAAGGCTCAAGTGTTCACCAAAAAAAGGCAGCAGCAGCGGCAGCAGAGGAGGAGGAAGAGAGTTTAGCTAGTGATGCTGAGATGCTGCACAGTGATGAACAGAGCATGAAAAAGATGGGGCCCTGCTTGCCTCTTCCTTCGTAGATTGTGTCATTGTTGTGATGAAGAGGCACGCTTGATTTCGCCTCAAAAGAATGGGAGAGATGGCTCTCATCTCATCTCTTCTTGCTGCATATCACCTGTGAATCTGGCTGTGATGGGGTGCATGGATTGGTGGGTGTGCACATTTGCTATCTGGGCGTCCTCCCTTCCATCATTGCGATGCTCTCTCTGTATGTGTGTGTGCGCGCCATGGTAAAAAAGATGATAGCAATGGCAGAGCAGAGGTGTCCTTTTCTCCTATCTGCATTTCAGTTTTCATCCTTTTTTACCGCCCGGCTGGCTTTACTCTGAACAGATTTGGAACATTAGCATGGATTAATTAAGTTTTGGACATGTATCATGTTAATATGGTCAACATTTGCACGAATACATACACTGAGAGCAAGTGCCTGCATCTGCAATATGTTAACTGTTGCAGGTGCAGCAGGGATGTTCATGTCTCTGCCTTGCATTGCTCATAGGAGAGGACTGTGAATGAGAAACTGAAGCTCATGGTACCACAAGTCCACAACACAAGCACACGTTTTAAGGATGAGAAAAATGTGTGCTCATGCAACCAGGTCTCCAGTTGCATAGCAAATCGCTCACTCACACAAACAAGCAAGGGAGGGACAAAGAATCACCACGCTCTGTAGTTTGTTCATCATCTGATATGCAAATATGCAATGCACTCAATGAAATGAAGCTTGTCCTACATGGTAGGACATGCCCTGTTTGTTTCCAAGGTGACACAGGAATCAGACAAGCAGATACACATCTATCCAAAATTCCAGCAAAGTCTTGGGGTGACATCCTGACATGCTGTGTATCCATCAGGAGACCAGAAAATAAGGCGAGCTAGCTATTACATAGGCAAAGATAAGGTTCTGTGATTCTGTCGTGTTGGTTCAATGAATGCCATCCACTTGACAATCTCACGACGAAGTTATGCAGAACTCGACTGATTCCAAGCTTTAGTGAAGAATCCATGCAAAGGCAGGGATCAAACGATGCAATGAGGTTAAGTAGTAAGATTGACAGAATCTTAATTATTCAGTTGTCAAGCAGAAGAGTGATGAATGATCATGGAACTTTCAATCTGTCACTGCCTCAATTAAAATGGAATTGAAAATATTTCACGGCATGCTTAAGAGACATGTTAACTAATATTCTGAAAGATGCCATGCATCAAAGCTGGTTAGTGCAGAATGACAATACAGAAAGAACCTAGGAGAATGTAGCTTCTACTCTTCAGCCTCATTAAGAAATTTTATACAGTAGCTTAGGTACAGACTGCAGAGACTTCCACAACCTTATTACTTTCTGATTGCATATATGCTTTCATGTCCTCTCACAAGGACAGTGGCAATTGCATAGCAGTTGAACTACTGCCATCTGCCACTAATAAAGGCAGCATCTCTCGAAGTCAGCGTAGGATTTGCAAAGTAAACTATAGCTAATTTGACAGTAATTAATTAACAATCAGTAGAAGCTAGCTCCAATGGAAGAGAAGCATAGTGGTGAAAAAGTCATGTCGACCAACGAGCATCAGGATGGGAATTAGGAAGCTTGCACTACGGAACTAAACTATAATTAAGTCTACTTCATCATGCACTAAAAAGTGAACAAAACTGCTGGCTCGTAGTAGCTGGTTTCATTTGTGTGCACGCAGCACCTGCCACTGCAGGTATTGGAAGAAAGCTTAGCTGACTTCCTCCTTGACAGAAAATCTAGGTGAGAAGTTTCTCTCTTCTCTTTTCTTCAATTGTTCTTCTCGAAGCTTCTGAACATATTCTTCAATTACTAGTAACATGCATGTTTATTAATTACACTACAGATGATAATATATAGTTCAGGAGCTAAAACAGGAGAGAAATGGGGAGTGAGTTTGTGCCAAATGGATATATAGGAAGCAATATGATCATTCATATGCAGGTATATAGCTCACAACTGAGATCTGTTTGCTGAGTTGAAACAAGCATGGCATGCGGAATATGTTCAGAGGAATACAATTTCCTCCATATATAACTAAAATATCGGCTGATAGATCAGCATTCAGGCATGAATATATATATTGATCCTCTATACACACATTCCGCCTGCTGCAATACATAGCAGTACAGCAACAACGTTACAATAATAGCATGAAGACGTATACAGATTATTCACTTGTGCCGACGTCTAATATCTAATCGATCAAGCAGCATGCAACGTAATACGGCATTATTAAGGCCACGAATCACATTAAACGTAAGCTTAGGCTGTGTTTAGTTCCTTCCAAAGTTAAAAGTTTGGGTTGAAATTGGTACGATGTGACTGAAAAGTTGTGTGTGTATGACAGGTTGATGTGATGGAAAAAGTTGGAAGTTTGGATCCAAAGTTTGGATCTAAACACAGCCTTAGTATATAATGTATTGCAAACTTACTTATTATTACTAGTCTGCTTTCGTTGACAAGGCTAGGAAATTCCTGACATCATTGATCAGAGCCTTGTCAAAGAAAGTTAATTTGTGTTGTCTTAAAAAATAAAAAAGCCAGATATGTACATAGTTCATTATGTAGACTTATGTTACATAAGCTAGTAGGGCCCGGACGAGCCAAAGTGCAGACCTACGGAGCATGTCCTGGAAATAATATTGAACTTCTGCCTTTTTTAAAGACTAATGGTGAACTATGAGCAGGCAATGGCGTGTTCATTGCTATACATGATATGCACGCACGCAAAAATTTGGCTTAATTTGTTTATTAAATGTTTTCAATTCATTGGTTATGTATTGAGCACAGTATTAAATGACATGTCATTTCCTTATTAGCCTTGTGCATCCAATTTGTCATGGACTTATTATTTGCCCAAACTGTTCTGATTAATACATGTAACCATGTTGTTGACCATATATATAGCTCATACTTACTCCGTCCCAAATTATAAGACCTATATATTTTATATGGTTTTCAACGATATATTTGTACCGTTAATTCATTTCACATTATGTTCCCAACGAATATGAAACTAACACATGTGATTTAAAATATAAATCTAATAATATAATATACATAATATTTAGTATAGATATAATTAATATGATTAATACTTAAAAGTTGCCGAGTTTATTTTTTTAAAAAAAGTCATTTAATTTGGGATGGAGGGATTATTTAGTTCTATGACACAGAAATTCACGAGGGGAAAAGAGTAGGGAAACGTCTACACATGAAATAATGAAAATCCTCTTTAATTACTTTAATTTTGACTAAGCTCGAGACAGCGCAAGTGTTCATTATATTTAAGGGAAAAAAAAACTTTGTTCTCACGCATATATATATTCTTGCGCGCGCACACACTGAAATAATCAAAGAGATGCACATACACACACATATACTACGTACTCATCTCTCTGAAAGTCTGAACTCTCTTACTTTGATTAACCCATGATCAAGTGAAGAACTGAAGATGTTCTCCTGTACAGTAATTAAGGGGCATATTAACAGCTTAAACACAGTGCAGGTAGCTCTTGCTGCAATATGCTACTAGCTGTCTACACATAATACCGTGCATGCATCTATATATGCATGGCTGTTCCTCTCTCTCTATATATATACGGCTAGCTAGTAGTGATCACCTCTTCCAAGAGCTTGTACCTCCGAACCCTCGGCCTGCCCCTCGCGACGCCGGGCGACAGCGGCGGCGGCGCGTCGTGGTCGGCGCGGCGGACGCGGCCGCCCAGGTCCGACGCCGACCGCCGCAGCAGGATACGCCGCTGTGCCGGCGACGGCGGCGGCAGCGGCGCCGGCGCCGGCGGTGGCTTCTTGATGGGCTTGCTCAGGTCGGCAGCGAAGTGCCCGCGGGCGGCGACGACCTTCGCCGCCGCCGTCGATCTGCTGCTGGCAGCTGGATCGCCGCCGGCCGCTGCTCTGGCGCCGGTGGGCGGCCTCGCCATCGAGCTCGAGGCGGCGGCGGCGCCGCCGCCGCCGCCGTCGCTTCCTTGATCCGCCCTCAGGCACCAGTTGCACGTGCCGTACGACTCTGCCTTGGGGTATCGCTCCGAGCAGTATCTGGCAGTATCATACATGCGTATATACAGATCAGTTTAGCTGTAAATACGTGGAAAATGATTGCGTGATCTACGTTATTGCATGCATGTACGTTTCAGATAGACACTGACATGCAACACAAGTATATATATGTACATCCATGCACGGAGATAAACGAACCAACACAACAAAACTGGCGAATCCTGAATTATACTTATGTCTCGATCAATATTCATGCGTCTTTTTCAGAAAAAGAAAAGAACTCTTCATCAATTTGTCAAGATAAGATCGATGCATGCGTTCATTATATTTATAGTTATCCATATACTATACAGTTAGAGCTAGCGATCAAGCAAGTACAATAATGCTTTAAATCAACATTTATGCCCATAATTTTTCTTTAATCACGCAGATGTTTCAACAATATTCATATGGCCTAGCTGACATGCGCAGCCACTGTCAAGCGCTAGGGGAAAGAGAAAGAAAGCAGAATTAATTAACAAAGATCGAACTATTTGCAGACAGTGACCGTGTTATGTACTATATATTTCAGCCACGAACGCCCTACTTTGAATCAATTTGTTTGACAATTTCGCGCGGATCGCGCGAAAAGTCAGACAAAATTAGCTGGAAGGCGCGCTAAAAGTTACTACTCGGAGACACGCGCGCACGTCAAAAGCGCACGAACTGTGGCTTGTCATCGATCAGCTACATGCCAGTCAATAATCTTATAATCACAGCTAATTCGATCACTAGCTACGGTCTGGGGCCAATCCATGTAGATGGATTAGTCATTAGTTGAGAGGAATGTGTTACATGTGTAGCAGTGTTGAGCAGTTGTGGTTCAGAGATCGATGCATGATCAATTGAAACTATTGAAGTGGTTGCATGCTCGAACTGTGTGGTGCACATGCATATGTACGTCAGTGGATTATTCCGATGGCGAAAAAATTAAACAATCTGCATCGTGTGCCAGTTTGCTATTGATCTGAATAGTTAGTTTCTCAGATAAACAATCCACGATGGCTATTAACCTATGAACTCATCCAATTAAGAGTATCAGTTCATGTAAATCTTACAGTTAATTTATATAGAAGAATATATTGATTCCAAATTAAACTGATTCTATCCTGATCTGAGTATGTGCCCAGAAATCCAAATGAATCAATCTAGCATGTCTCTCATATTGGGTTGGGGGAGGTGTCAAAAATTATTTTCGTTAAGGAAAAAAAACACCCAAATCTGCAGTTGCGGACGAACACGAACAAATTAACAAATGAATTTTGACGAGAGAGCAAAACATACGTACGTGTGCTGGGAGCGGACGGCGCAGGCGGCGCAGCGGAACAGCTCCGGCAGGAGGCCACGGTCGCCGCACATGCAGCACACGGCCGCCGTGGCGGCGGCAACCGGCCGCGGCGGCGACGACGACGATCCGGCGGCTGACTTGTCAATCCCCATATATATCTCGGCAGATCGATCGATGAATCGGGCGGCTATCTCAAGCGCATCGATTGGTAAAGCTGCCGCATGAGATCGATCGATCGATGGGATGGGATGGGATTGGGAATGGATCGGATCGAAACTTCAAAAGGGAGCAGATTGGTTGCTGATGGCGAAGTCGAAGTCGAATGTGGTTTGGGAAGAGGAGGAATTGGAGGTGGTAATGCGGCGCCTGCCGACTTCACGCATCTCAAGATCTTGTAGAAGGAAGGAAGGAAGCTGCCCTCCTTTAATTTTGTCCTCCTCCTGCTGCTGCTGCTGCCATGGCTGTAAAGATTTGCTGCAGTTTTTTTTTATATTTTTAGTTTCTGAGATGGCTTTTGCGTTTTGGACCCTGAAGTTTGTGGCTTTATGTTACAAGTTCTTTTGTTGGCCTCCCAAGAAAAAGATCTTCTCTTGTACTATGAAGCAATTGAGGCATGTAGTTTATTTGTACGATGAATATCGAATGGCTAAGAATAGGTGATGAATCTAAGGGACTGGCTGTTCAGATTGATGTTATTTTCAACCATACCATTTTATAGTAAAATTGTCAAAAAAATGTCTACGTTTAGTTTATTGCCAAATTTGATAAATAAATAAGAAATTCTGCCAAAAATTTAGCAATATTGTTAACTTGCCAGATTTTAGCTACAATCTAAACAGACCCTAAGACTTAATAATCCTAGTACTAGTAGGCTCGCCGGTGAGCCACAACATTATGAATATTTGCGGTGCCTGGCATGCCACACACATGCTTATGTCTAGGCATTAGAAAAATTCCTTAGTTCATCAATGTCTTAAGTTTAAATCTAATTTAAGTATTTTTCTTTGGTCCTATGTGTACAAATTGTATTTAAATAATATAAGGTGGGTATATAGCTCTAACTTATAAACTTTTCAGTCTTAATCATTATGCACACGTGTTTATTTGAAAAGGTGTTATAGTTTTAGTCTTTTTTATTAGATGCACAAATTTTAATTGTCGAAACACAACAATGAAACAAAATAACCACCCACGCTCATGTGCAATTTCAATACGATTTTCATGATGCGCACGTATTTAATATGTAGCCTTTGAGACCGATGAGAAGTGATTGTTGTTGCTACAATTGCCGCTACCGCCCAATACCACAATTGCTAATTGAAAGTATGTATCGCTGCAATAGCTACAGCTGCAACCACAACAATCAGATCCGATTAAGCTCTTTATTTGTTGAGTATATACTCGAATATATATTAAAATATATATTCATGACATGTGTAAGTGGCAGCCGTGTACCCAATGCTTTATCTCTGTCTTAGTGAATCTTGATTCGACGTCTTCTAGGTAAAAAAAAAATAAACAAAGCGTGCAAGACAATAGACATGTCGGCTAGAGGCTACATACCAAAATACCACATATGACAGGGTTCAGAACGCAAAAATAACTGGAGTGAAAAAATAATTCGAGAGGCACCAACAGGTCCCTTTCATGGCAAAACTGTAGATAGTGAGACATCAAGGGGCAAACCCTTTCCCCCGAGGAATAATAGCGCAGCTGGGCGGATGGACTTCGTTGGACGGCCGTGCGGACGCAGGGGCCCACTTCGACGCTCCCTCCACCTACCACCCACCCACTGACACGTGGGGCCCACATAAAACCCCAGGCCCACCTATCAGTCACGGGCCTCGCGGGGAAGCGACCACCAAATCCGCCGGTGGCATCGGGCCGTAAATTCACGGGAAGCGCGGGGGTTGATTGGGCCGGAAGCGGGCCTTGGTCGGCGGTTTGACCCTGCATGCCGCGCTGGCCAATGGGAGACCGGCAGCGATGGCGTGGGGCCCACGTGCCGTGGCGGGTAGGTACTTTGGCGCATGTGGACGGGGGAGGCCGATGGATGGATCGGGCCCTGCGAGCGAGCCGACAAGGCAACGGAAATCTCGTGTGGTTTTCGCGGCTAAATTGAAGTACACTCTCGTGTGGTTGATTATGTTTTTTGATTAGAGCGATTTTTTGGATTAGGATGCCGTCATGCTGCGTGGCTGCGTGCGAGCGTGTGCGTGCATGGGGTTTAGCGTTTCGAGAGGTTAGGATTTGATCGGCTCTGTGGAACGTTGTAGAGATCGGGTGCGTGACGTGGTGATGGTGGTGGTGGTGGCCGGTCTTATCCTAGGTAGGTAGCTGGCCGAGAACGCGGCTTGTAGTCTCTGAATTAGCGCCTTAAGATATGCTCGTATGCTACCGATAGCTACATAATTTTATTAGTGTGAAGTACATATGTCCCAACATTAGAAAAATTGATAATAAAGTTATATCTACAGGTGGACGGGATTCTCCGGATAAAAGTTCTTACCTAAGACTTGATGGGCGACGGCGGCCTGTGATATCTATGAAGACGTCGTATAGGAGATCATGTTGATTTCCTTGCTCGCCTCCATTCAGGGTGGTGTGTGGCGACGTTCTTAGATGTTCTCGTCGGGTTACATGAGAAGCGAGTAGATCTTCTCTCTCGCCCTTCTCTCTACAACGTCCAAAAGTTTGAAAGCAATATTATGCTGTTTGAAAGCAATATTATGCTGGAGAAGAGCGAGGCGATAGGTATGTTCCTCTTCGAAGGGCTGACGACGATCGGGTACGCTTAGCGATGATCGGTTAGCATTAGTCCTATCCTCAATTCCGTTATTGGAGTCGCCAACGTGTAATGGTGTGTTTTTCTTTCTTTCTTTCCTGATCGTAGCCTCCCAGATAATAATCTTCGTATTTCTCCTTGCTATATCAGCATGAAACTTTGCACTATCTTAGGTGATGGTTGTTTCAATATATATATATATATATATATATATATATATATATATATATATATATATATATATATATATATATATGCATATGACTTCAAATCACTGGTGGAGAAAACCTTATTAGTCCCGGTTCGTAACCCCCTGTAGTTTCCGGTTTTTAAACCAAGACTACCAATCCGGGACTAAAGATAGCGAGATCGCTATCTTTCGTCCCGGGTGAAATAGCCGGGACTAAAGATCGATCTACTTTTTTTATATTTGCATGGCCCTGTTGCTGCATGGTTTATATATATAATATGCATATATATGTTTCAATACACTAATTTTGGTTTTCACTTACATATACACGGGCATTTTTTAGTATGATTTTAGTAAGATTCATACATTTACTTGTCTATATAAAACATTAATTTTTCAGGATTGTGTGCGCTAGTCACGAAAAAGGTGCATGGATTTTTCAGGATCAGATTGAAGCTTCGGGCGTGGGGTCTGCTTTGTTGAATCATAATATAGTTCACGTAATCACGCCTCGACAAATTTATGATAGGTACAGTAAACACAGGCACTCGTGCGCGTTCCTGGGATGATGATGGACCGGGGTTGCAGCTTGGTCGCTGTTGTACAACACCAGAGAAAGCTTCTTCCCTGCGTGCCATTGCCATTGCAGCTGGAGAAACGTAGTAGTACAGTGTTGATAGACTCTCCGTGCAACCAGAAAGTATGGCTGGTGCTACCAATTCAGCAGGCTGGCACAGCCTTACCATGTACTAGGCCGACAGGACATGCCAGCTGCCGGCAGCGACGTCGTCGTGCGCAAGAGCTCATGTTCATCACCGAATTGCTTGCCGCTAACCTTCCGGGAAGAAGGCGGCGTGTGCAGATGACGTAAGGCAGCACATGGTCGATGGTTCCGTCGCTCTCCCACTCGTGTACAGCCCTTTGGAAACTGGAACGAGCACATGCTTTCCACACACACAACGACAGAGACACTTCTTTGGCCTGTCTGCTGAAGGAAGCGGACAACTTACCTGTTTCGTGTTCTCAATATATATATATATATATATATATAGTAGTTTCGTTGAGCCTCTTGGCTTCTGGGATGAACCTGTTGCATTATTAAGGACCAAGTGGCGGCTCGATGAACAACGTTGCCATTCATCCGCGAGTACCACATCTCCAGCTGCATCTTTTTTATTACGGAATACATAGACGCAAGCATACACCCACATTATTACAATCAAAGAAAGGCAATATGAAGATTCACGTAGGGCCAAGTCCAGTTTTTACAAGTCAATTGCTGAACCATTTGGGAGCGGACGCATGCAAGGGCAACTGAACACAACCGGTCACGGCCACACAAAAAGTTGTGCTAGTGTAGGGAAATATATCCTATACGCAATACCGGATAATACGGGAACCGAAGCTTCCCGACCTGAAATGGCGTTGCCCTCCGGGCCAAAGAGAGGAACATTATGGCTTAAGCCTCTGCTATGGCTCTTCGATTGTTTGCCTCCCTACAATCTGTACAAGGGAATGGATATACATTGCGTACCAGAGATCAATCATTATACCCAACCAGCAGGCAACAGCATTTAGCTGTTTATTCTCATCTCAAGCAACAACACGCCTGCTTAGACACCGCATAAGGAGGTGTGCCAACATTAATCAATAATGCAAGCCTAAAACTGCAGCAAGGCCTTGCAGTTTCACTCCTATCAAAACATGAACAGCTTATCTCTTGGATGAAGTCACCTTCCATGCATTTCCTTCTTTTTCCCGTAAGCTGGGATGGAAAAGTAAACCAAATCCCAAAATCAGGTAACTACCAATAGAAGCATATGTACTATGCAGCAAGACAAAAGGCAAAGGTTTGACATAACTGCCTAACTGTATCCAAACATATATAGAACTTGTGTTTGAGCACCTATGCTGTAAAGTATTTAGGATGCCCTAAAATATCCAGTGAACACAGGTACCTCAGCAAAACTTAAGCAATAGGAAATCAGCTCTGTGCACACTCCAAAGGATGTAAACTTCCTTCACCAAACTCATGCATTCGAAATCGTTCCAAAAATTCGAAAGGTCTGCACAGAGAATATAACAGTTTATGAATGATAAGGGAAAGAAAATAATAAGGGCAAATATCATGCATGTTAAGGCAACCGGACTGGTTTCTCTCTAATTGGATTACCTCTTAGTATAATAAAAATAAAGTGGAACTGTTTCAAGATTCACTAAGCTTGAGTAAACTGGAAGCAACTAATAAAGCAATTTATTAACTGCATGTGACAGATTGACAACACACTATGGTAACACAAATAGACTCATTCGAAGAATAATCTGACAGCCATATTTTTTTTAATAGCATGACGCCAAACACCTTTAGTGATAACTTGATCCTAAACAGCAAAGTATGGTTTGATGCCAAGCAATTGGTCATGTTAGTTATGGCTTACAGCAAAATTTCACGGTTCCGGGAGAGCTTCCTCTGATTGTTTTCTATGACACTTGATACATCAATTTCGGGTCCAGCAATCATAGATGTAGCGTTCGCATCCGGTGTCCATAACTAATAAAGAAACAGATAAAATCAAATTGCATTCAAGTACTTCAAGTAAAATCATTAAAATATTTCTAAAAATATCAGATTACTTACCTTTATTGTGTTATCTATACCACTTGTTGCAACAGCACAGTCATATGGATGAGATTGTATACAGTTCACAACTGAAGAAAAATATGATGCATGAGAAACAGTATTCAAGGGACAGCAGCAGTGAAAAAAGGAAGTACCCTTACCGGCTCCATCCCCTGCAAGCATTTTAATCAACCTTCCAGTTCGTTTCTCCCATATGAACCATCTACCATCATCACTTCCGCTAGCAATAAACTCCCCTGTTGTAAGAGAAACGCAGCATAGATGTGTTTACGTTATTAAAATGAACCATTTTATTCCATGGATTTTAGAACTCAAATTAACCCAAGTGATTCTGTGTAACAGTTTTAGTCAGTTTTACGTAAAATCTAAAATTTAGTAAGCACTAAAAAGGTTCATAATTCCATGTAACAAACTCCACAAGGAAATATAGCCTTCAGGACAGGGGAGAGGAGATGAAGTGTCTGATAATCTAATGTTAAGTCAATATGCAAAGTAGTATGTTTTAATTAAAGGTCAGTGTATTTCTGTTACTAGAAAATTTGTCATTAAAAATGCAAGTGGCTCATGGAAGGACAAATACTTCAAGTACCACTAAGCAGGAACGCAAGAAGGAACAGCCTAACCTTGTTCACCGAGAAAGCTAGCTTGCTTTATATCTGTCCCCACATTGCAGTGTGCAACATATCTTTGCTTCATGTCAACGGCAACTTCTGGCTGCATTATATAATGGGAAGATGATGTTAAATCCATGTAATATCAGTGGAATACATATATGAACAGAAAAATATCCCATATTAGGAACTTCAGACAAAGCGGTGGCAGAAAAGAACAAACCTGATAGGCAGAATCACCATTCTGAGTGGACTCAGCTGATCCATTTTCACCAGAATGTTCGTCAGTTTGACTATCTCTTCTGTGAAATCTTAAACTTAAACTACCCCGGACAAAACCTGGATCACTATCACGGCTTTCATCACCTGATGCTGATGTTTCAAAGTCCAACTCCATTTCATCATCATAATCTGAATCTTCTCGACCCTCCTGTGATGACGAGCCACTGGCATCTGATCTAAACAGTAGATCACTTAATGAGCGTAACCGCCCATGTCGTGCATCAGTGTAGGTATTCCCTACTTGATCCTTTTTATTCTTCTCAAGTTCAGCTGTTCGAACAAAATAAACCCATCATATATTTTGGAAGTTACAATCAGTAAACCAACATAATAATGCATCTGGTGCATCAATGCAACCACCAAGCCTTAAATCTGCAATACAGGTCAATTTTAGTTTATGTGTTTTTTTGTGAGTTGCGACTTCATGACAACAACTATCTAACATGGGGGATTAATAGAGGGTAACTTAGCTCAGTGCAGGCATGGGAACCAATTTCTTCGTAACTATTTCACATTATGTTGTGTGTGGGAAAAAAATTGCCTGTGTCCGATATACTATGTGCTAACCTGCAAAAAGCTGCTCCTTTATATTTTCCACTTGCTTCACTGACTGAGAATAAGGTGGAACAATAGTATTTAATGCATCCACATATTCAGATGCCTCTTTCAGCCTTCCTAACTACAAATTCCCAACACATGTTCGTAAGAGAAAAATGAAAATCAACTGATTTCAGCACTTCATTTCAAAGGGCATTAGTCAATCCATGTTTCTATGAATTACTCAGCTTACCTGTAATAGTGCTTCTGCCATATACAGATGCGCCTGAAATGATCTGGAATCTATACACCTTGCACTGTTGCAATCCCTTATAGCCATGTATACATCATTTTTCCACCTCCTCTGTAGATCAATATTTAATGATCCGTACGTTTTACACAGATCAGATTTTCAACAACAGATAAACAAAAGCAGGCAAACCTTTAGATACAATCCTGCCCGAGTACACAAGCAATCATGCTTCATGTTATCATCAATATTATGGTCCACTGCCAGAAGTATTGTAGAGCATGCTTCAACCCCAAGCATCAAGTTAGTGCCCATCTCAAGAGATTTTGTTGCAACTTGCATAAGTTTCTTGAACGTATCTACCTGAAACGGGTGCCATTAAAGGCAAAGCGGTTCAACATGTCCAGCAGATCAAGCAAACAGTGTGGTCTGAATTGCAGAGAGAGAGAGAGAGAGCACAACTCACCCTACACACATTTCTTGAAGCTCTGTTTACAGGAAACTTCTGTTGTTTTGAAATTAACTTTGCTGGCTCTTTGTTAAAAGGGGGTAGACATAATTGCTCCTGTACATTGTCTGCTGTGTATCTCACAGAACTCGTATTTTCTGAACCAATAAACAAATTACCCCAATCATTATAATATAAAGATATGATAATACTGACAGGCTAAAACGTAACAAAGGTATCATGACCAAAAAGAGAGTTGAATGATCATACCTAGGTCAACATCAAATAGATATACATGTTCACCACTGTAGCTCAACAGAACCTCCTTACCATTTGGGCTGAACGCAACATGAGTTAGATGCAAATTTGACTTCCTCTGGTTACAACGTAGGCCAAATGTCAATTGATATTGAAGGAACGAGTTGCTTCAGAAATAACAAAATTCTTAAACTAGAACAAAATTGCCTACTCTAGCTTGAATGCTTTAAGCTTTATAGGCCAATTTTTCTGGGAAAAAATACAAATATTCCAGAAGTAGTAGTTTATGTTGAAAAGCACATTTAAAATTTATCCATGACCGTGCAATACAAGGTTATCCATAAAGCACATGTAACAAATCATAAAACTGCTCGCAATAACAGAATTATCAACACTGACTATTACATGAAAATTCTCATGCTAAAGAAAAACAGCCAAAAAAGCTTCATGTGTTCTATCAATCTCCTACCCTGAATTTTTAAACTTTAAATTCAAGATTTACATTTAATTTGGTCAACTTTGAGTCAGCATATAAAATGTATATAGCCAGCACAGCAAATCGCATATATATGGTATTGCATCCAGTAAAAAAATAAATGTTTTGGGGAACATGTGGTCGAACTTTATAAAATTTAGCTATCAAATTCACTTGTGTAGATTGGAAGTATGAAATTGATATCCTTGATTTGTCTTAAATTTTACTATGTTTCATAAAACCATATAACAGAAACTAGTTGTCAAATGTGTGTTTTGGAAACTGCGTTGATGGTACAAAATGCTACTCATTTTATGACACGAGGGAGTATACCCAGCAACAACTGCTACCATATTTACCATACACAGTTGGGACAATAACAATACACTCAAGAACAGGGAACTCACAGTATCAGCAAGGTGCATTGGACAGAACATTTTAATACATGGAGGTGGTTCCTTTTTTGTTTGGCATGTGCTCAATGGTGGAAGCATTCTCCTATCATACAGTCGTGCAAATGCATCACTGCATAAACATCAAGTTGTAAAGTAATGTTATTCAGGTTTAGAAAGCTTAGAATGGATCAATGTATAAGAGTAAGTTAGGTCACCTTCCACCAACAAGGAGCTGATGGGGACGAACAGTGCTGATATCACAAGACTTCAGTGCCAATGGCTGTCTGGGAATATCAGCTAAAGATTTCTTTGCTCCCCATCGTAGATCTAGCTGCCACACAGAAAACAAAAATAGAACCAAGCATGCAACTTAGCAACTATACCAGTCAATTTTATAGCCCGTGTTTACCTTAATACTCTATTTAGTTAATTATCCTTACAATTCCAGGATTCACAAAAACAAAAGGTACAGTGCAGTTACCAAGCCTAGAAGGTAAAAGTGGGAGCCACAACATGATCATCATAAGGCTGAAATGATTGTACAATCATAGTCCAACAAAAGGCAGCATTATGGGTTCATCCACATGGTAATAGGAAATGGTGTACAGATCAATCCTTAAAAAGTAAATCTCAATTGCATGCTGGCTCAAGAGTTCACGAAACAATAATGAGACACCATTTATATTTTTTGGTAAATATTTTCTTCTAGTCATTAAGGACCTCCACGTAATTATTTATAGTGCTAAAGATTACAGGTAGACTGCAATATGGAATCATACAAGGCTACTGAGTTGGGCTCTTATTAGATTATTCCTAGTGGTAACCAATAAATCTGTAACAGAATAACATTTAAACGAAATAACAAAAATACTCCCAAAGGTAAAATTTATCATGATATGAGGTTATTAAGGACCAAACAATTTATCAACCTAGACAAAGTTGCAATGTTAGACGTTATTAGTTGAACCAAATTTTGTCAAAGGGTGGATGACTCACAAGCACATTACGGCATTCCTGATTAGTAGATCTTGCACGAGGACAGGAACTGCACTCCCGAAAATCATGCTGTCTTAGAGTTCCATCCTCACTTGCACTCCAGACTATATTAGGGTTACCAATTTCAACCTGCATATAGCAAACAATACAAAAAATTAAATAATTGAAGACCAGGCAGAGGCTTATAATAATTGGGTAGAAATCTCAATCCACAAGAAACTAGAGCACATCTATATTTGTGTAAAGACTTAAGTGCAGAGCATCATTTTCTCCTTCTAAATCAAGATGATACAATGCAAATATAAACTTCTTTCATGCTCACTTAAGTGCAGAACATCATTCACAAATTACAAAAGACCTATGTCAAGATGATGCAATGCAAAGATAACACTTCTTTCATGCTCTAGAGATTCAAATTCCAAAGGTCATCTCAACATGGAATCTTACAGCTAATTTCTTGATCCTCCTTGAGTGGCATTGGTAAACTGCTGATGGTTCCATAGAAATTTCTACAGGCCTTTTTCCACTTAAACGGGACAAATTAAAAACACGAACCTGCAAAAGAATCAGCAACTCTCTCAGAAAAAGGATCCTAAAAATAACTGGTACCAGAATAGCAGACAGATGAGAACAACTTCTATAAAGATCATACCTCTGCATCTCCTGCTCCTGAGACTATTACTTCATCAGATGTTTCAGGGACAAATTTTGTGCAAAATATGTTTGCTGAATGACCCGTATCAATGTCATGCAACAACTCTCGATTAGCATAACTCCAGATGCCGATCTGCAGGTAGATGTTCATACAGCACTTAACTCAATCAAGCATAAAAGTGTCTGATTTTACTAATCCAAGCATATGCCAAAGAAAAGAGAAAGCCAGCCACAGAGGTTACTAACTACAAACTCGTGTCGCCTGCTGAGCAACACCCCTTTTGCAACAAAATTGTCTAATACAGTTCATATAATAATTCCCTATAGTTACAGCTTAACAAATAGTTTAACTTGATAGAAATAAAGGAAGACAAATCATTGCAAACCTCTTATGTTTGACAAACAACTAAAGAGTTCATGTGCTACCATATTCTTTGAGCCGAAAAGGTCTACTAGATGATGATTACCATAGCAATTTAGCCATATAAAGGTGGCACGACAGGGCATTCAGAAGCCAGAGAGAGAGAGAGAGAGAGAGAGAGAGAGAGAGAAGGGGTGCAAATATCTCAAAACAATGTTTAACATAGTGTTGGGGAGAATTAGAGTTCAAGTGCTAACTACTGAAGATAACATGACACAAGAATAAAGAATCTAGCAAAGTCAGACCCAACCATACTTAATTTTAGAAACTTACTCTAGTGTCATCTGAACCTGATAGCAGAAGTGAGCCCTTTGAATTCCATGCAATAGCATTGACACAACCTAGGTGACCCTGTTATATAGCATGGAGAAAACAGAGACGGTCAATGTAAAAAAAGCAAGAGAACTCTAGCACTTTTTCTTTTGAACAGCTATACAATTTCCAATACAGGAACAACAAGAGGGCCAAGTGCCAAATGTCCTTGTGTGAAAATCAGTAGAACAAGAAGAAAAAAGTAGTCGTGTACCTCCATTTCCTTCTCCAAAGCAAGCCTTTGTACTAGAGAAGAATGGAATTGCACTCTCTTATTAATGTCCTGGAAAAGAAGTCGTTACTAGCTTCTAAACATTTTAGCTACAGGCCTACAACACATATAGTGATACCATGATCAACATATGCATCACGCATCACAAAATGCAAGACCAAAGAAGAAACATTATTAATGCAAGAGGCCAAGTGCCAAAAGCTGGGTTGAAGGTCCTCAACTTCTCCACCGGGTCGCCTCCATGTTTTTCACCTCTGTTCACCCCTATTATACATCGACTCACTGGCAGGTCATTCACCTTAGAACTTCTCATCTATCCTAAATTCTCAACCAACGGAAGAAGCAATCAAGTGCACTCATAGCAGATGCAGATTACAACAACTCGAGCAATTGATAGCCCAAACCCCTTCCCCTGACGCTACGGATTTAATTCGCGCAACAAGCTACCAAAACAACAGAAGGCTCAAACAGCCACGGATATTACCCCCAATCCATAAACCCTTGAAACTCTCAAACGGGTCGAGGAACATAGCTCCAAAAAAACGCGAACCTAGAGCTCCAGCCTCCAGCCCTCGCGAACATACCACAAAACACCTCGCCACGCGTTCCTACTCGACCGATTCGTCCGCCCCCGCGAACCCCTCCACCGCACAGAGCACCCCCCAACGAATCGACCCCCAATTCGCCCCGTACCAAAAAGCTATCCACAAATGCAACGAACCCTAGCACGCGATAGGGGAGGGGGAGAGGCGTCCCGGGCCATCCCGAGGGTGAGGAGGGGGGGGGGGTGCTTACAGCGGTGCCGTGGAGACTTCGGGCTTGCAGGAGGTCGGTGACGCCGCCGTCCGAGAAGCGCCACCGCGCCTTCTCCGCCGCCGCGTGGTCCATCTCCATCTCCGTCGACCGGCGATCTAGCAGGGGAAGAAGGCCAGACCTCGCAGCCTCTTCGCCGCCGCCGGCTGCGCGCGCGCCCCCGATCGCCGTGGGCGGTTTTGGGGACGCTTCTGGAAGCTTTTTGCGCCTTTCAGCTTCCAAGGTACGGAATGGGGGTGGAGGTGTGCGGGGTCAGTGTTCCAGAGAGAGAGAGATGGAGAGAGGGGAAGGAGGGAGCCAGGGAGGTGTTGCTTTTGCCTCGCTGGCGTGGGGGTGTGGGGCCCACTGACGCGTGGAGCGAGAGGATGGATAGACGTGGCCTGTCAGGTGGGGCCAGACTATCGCACGGTCGCACCAGTGCTAATCCTTCTTTTTCATTGTGAAATTAGCCAGCCGAGGAATGGCTTTTCGCCAAATTCTTTTGAAATTCTTTAGGATTTTCTCAAGATATGGGAATTTAAAACAATTTTAACATGGGATTTAACCTGTTTTGACGAATTTCGTTGTGCCTCTCTTTTCTGATTTCTGAATTTTTATGTGATTAATCCAGACGATTGTTTCTAGAGTTTCCTGGTATTTTTCTAATCATAGAATTTATTATAGTAAAACGCACTTGAATCCTACTTTTTTTTTCTTTATGCGTTTCTAATGAATCCTTAGTATCTCAACTTTAAACCATCGGTTATTAGCTTATTATTATTAGTTTTTCATCTTTTAAAACTGCTTCATATTTCATATTTCATATTTATATTTTATTCTGATCCCAAGCCGGGATGGTGTTTTTGCATTTTAGTTAGCAATTTAAAATTAATCATAGGGTGCGTGAGAGAAGAGGAAAAATGAGACAAGGTAGGTATACTAGGCTGTAATAATTTCTTTGTGCTTTTGTTTATTATTTATTAATCATATATTGATGCCATCACCATTTTTGTCCATGTGTACTCCACGTAGGGACATCACATAGTCGAAAATCACCTTGGTTTGGGTTCAGAAACGAAATGTAAAAGGTGACCAATAGTGAACCATGTCATAGTTAAGGGGCGGAAATCGGATCAAGGTCATAATTATAAGAGACCAAATATAGTCTTTCCTTAATTGATTACAGTAGTAAGGTTCTGATATCAATTGTAATTATTAAAACCTGTCTGGCTCTGCTGCAAATTATAATCCAAAACTGATTTTGAATTTTAGAAGTAAACTTAAAGGTTTTCTACATCCCTTCTATTGCTTCTGTTTTCATGATAACTAATCCAGACTTCGTGGTACTTCCAGAGGTAGCGACAGCCGACAGAACTACAAAAAAGGCAGAAGGCAACCTGGTAAAAGAAACGGTGACGACCTCTAGAAGGGAGAAGAATGGCTTGGCTCAATCAAAAGCATTAGACCAACTCATTGCAAACAAATTAAGCAAACAGCTGCATGAGGAACACTATCCCTTGATTTATCTCACTTCAAAACTTCTCTATTTGATTCTGGTTCTGCAGATATGTACAGGGCAATGGGCTTTTTCAGTAGTTCAGTTGCGACACTGATAAGTTAATACAAAGGTAATGTACACAACGAAACATCGAGATGAGGGGAGAGACACCTCGCCCTTTTTACAACGGGAGAAGCAAAAGCATCTACAAAGGGAACCACCTGGTCACATTGCCAATCTACCTGCAAAATTGTGTTGTAACGCCGAATCGAATATTACCTCTGTTCCATGAGTTTAAGTTTTCGCCAGCTCAGGCTGTCAGGTGGTGAGGGTATGTTCTTAATATCTTGATCGTGTTCCACCATCATGATTGAAATTCAGCACAGGGGTCTACCGAACTATCAATTTCCTCAGCTTTCTTTCCACTAGTAAATGCCTTTGAATGAATATCTCAAGCTATGCACGTGCTTCTACAAAGGCAAGCTTAATGCCAAGGTCTCAGTTTCTTCAGAGTCGATGCTGTATGACAGCCTCTGGAAAGCAGTTGCAAATGCCCTGTATGACCATTAGAGTCAGTAATGAAGTCTGCGGTTGGTTCTTGGTAATGCACTCTAGGTAAAAAGATTACCACTTAGAAGTTAGAACTCAACTTACATGTTATGACGGTATAAGTACAACAGTTACTCATTTGAATAGCTGTCGGCGAAGTCTTTAATTCTTCTCTTGATAGTCTGGGGGAGGACAAGGAAATAGAAACAAAATCAGCATGGATACGTCAGAAACCCAAGTAAAAACAAATCAACACAAAGGCAAATGGCAGAGTTAACTACCGAAGGACACACACCTGCAACTCTTCGTGAAGCAGTGAAAAGACCTTCTTCATCAATTTATGCCTCTGTAGGATATATGGTCCACAATCAAACCAGGATAAACTTTATATTAATAGTAAAGTATCAAATAAAATTTCAGTAGATGATACATTCTTGATCAATTGCCTCCCCAATCTAACTAAAAGTTTAATATCAAACTGCGATGCAAGGAGAAATTTGAACATGGATATGCGAAGTGGAAGGGGTAACCCCTTTCAAATTGGTGGAGAAGAATAAATTGAAGTTAGGCATGTACTAACAATAATTGAGCTGTAATGATTATATAGGGAAAGGCAGGAAGAAGACATACTGTGCCCGATTCATGATACATGTCTCTGATTCTTTCCATAATGTTATAATACAGATCCTTATCTCTTTCTTTAGCGACATTAAGATCCTCCTGAACCTTTAGGAATTCAGATCTGTACAAAAAATATGTCAGTTACAGAAGGAGATTACATGAACAATTGAACAGACAACAATGGAGTACTGAGGGTACTTAAAATAAGAAAATTTACACCTAAGAAAATAATATTACGGGACTTTAAAATAAGAAAATTATTGCATACCGAGTTTTCTCAATCTGAATGTTTAAGTAGGAGTAAACTTTGTATTTCTCAGTGTACTCCTGAACATAATCTTTGTATCTGAAAAAGAAGATAATATGTTAGTTTTTTATTCACAAACAACAAAAGAAACAAAATTTCAAAAATCACACATTACTTATTGGCATGGAGTATCTACAACGGTTTACGGTATGCGATTTAGACAAAATTATCCATTACTTATTGGCATGGAGTATCTCTAGAATGCATATTCGACAAAATAACACTGCTCAAATGCGAAATTAATCGTACCACCTATAAACCTGTACAATTCCAGACAACAGATATGATGGGTCACTGGTCGTAAGCAGTCTGAAACAGTCAGTAAAATATTCATATGGACCTCAAATATCACCAGTAAAGTTCAAAGAAGGAAACTTAATGGACAATGGATGTGGGCTATAGACCAGGTAATCCATCATTTGAATACGAAATTTCATGGTTTGGCATTCTAACATCCTAGGCATAGAGGAACTGCTTCAATCCATTTTTGGTTGTTAAACAAAATTCAAGTAATAATACTGGCAAAATAATTATAATAAAAACAACAGCGGGAAGGATATTGTAACTTACTGTGAGAAATCTTTTATTGGACCTTTCAGTTCTGGTTCCTCTTTATCATACTTTGAGAAGAATAAATTATCTTCATCTGAAGAACTGTCCCTTCTCTTTCTACTTGCATCATTCTCAATCAAAGAGTTGTTCCTACTTCTTTCCTCATTTTCTGCTGGGGAAATTGATTTCTGTGTTCTAGAGCCTATGGCATTCCTACTACCATTCTGAGGAAGCTTGGGGGTAGTTTTCCCTATCTTCTTTGGACCTACTTGATCTAGCATTCCAACCTGAACCCTTGTTTCCCTTTTCCCGGGTTTTTCTCCTGGCTGATCTGGATGTAATATGACCACAGGAACTGGATTATCAGGTTTTGACAATTGCTGACTTTGTGGAACATTTCCTCTTTGTTGAGGCCTATTATTATCAAAATCATATCCAGATGCCTTCTTGGGGAATCCTTCCTGATTTATATTACCTCCAATACCAAATTCTCGAGGTGATGGTTTCCTCTGATCTTGAGAAGAGGATAGAGAACCCTTTCTGTTTGCCATACTGGGAATGGAGTTATCCACATTAGCTAATTTACCATCAAGTGATTTTGAAGAACTATTTCTTTCAAATTGCTTCTTTGCCCTCCCAGTCTCATTTTCCAGAGAAGCCTCACGAAATTCACCCAACTCGAGATCTGAAAGCTCTCTCTGGAGCACTTTTTTTCCATGAGGTGAACTCTCGGCATTATTTCTTTGCAAATTTGATGGCTGACCATTACTTTCATTGGAATCAGGAAACGGCATAACACCATCATATCCAACATTTCCTTTAGCACTTTTAGCTGAAACCATGGAATTCACGTCAATGTTAGCATCTTTGGAACGACTGAGCATTTTATCCTCAACTTGGGTTCCCCCATATCTAGCTTTTTTTCTTGTGGCAGAATCATCAGAGTCATCAAAATTGGCATATGGGTCTTCAGCGTGCGAAACTCTTCCAAGGTTACCATCCAAACTATTCCAAGGCTTCTGAACCTTATCTGCCTTTTTCTTAGAAATTGACTTCTCAACCTTATCTTGTGTTCTCTCAGAGTGCATTGCTTGGTTAAGTACATTTGGGCTTTGATTTATCTTTTGCAAATTTCCAGAAGCCAAATGTCTTACTTTCACAGCAGGGCTGCTATCATGTGCATGAAGATCACTATGTGCATCCCAGCTAACATTCCCTGTCTCCTTACTCAGCTTCTCATTCACATGTTTGTCAAGAGGTAAAGTTTGTCTCTGTTCTGATAATGAACTAGTAGTTCCTAAATAATCAGCCTTGGCCCTTTTGGCACTTCCAGACATTACACTCGAGTTCTCATTGGCAGAGCATCTTTTCAACTTGGGTTTGGCACCTTTCTCGTTGATCCTATCCTGACCATGATTTGATCCATCCTTTGATACTGACTTTCTCCTACTGCCATGATGTTTTGTAGATTGGCTGGTTTCTTCCTTGGGTAGGTTTTCACTACTTGGTGCTAAAGGGTCACCAAAAAGGTCCTCATAAGACATTTCATTTGCAGCGTACTTGCTATCAATTCTACTAGGATCTATGCTGGTATTTACCATGTTCTTGCTTCCAGGAATTTCTGGTGGCTTCTCTAAGTGGCTCGCATCGAAGCTATCAGTTGGTACAGCTGTGTATGCTGACTCATTATTGTTGTCATTAAAATTGTTCAAATCAATGTGTGGGGATGCGCTCTTATAATCCAGATTTGTTCCAATATCTATTAGCTCATCATCGCCATCTAGTGCAGTCAAATCTCTTGGCAATGAAGATAATTTAAGTTCATCTGCTGCTTTTCTGTGTGCTCCTCCTTTATCATCATCACTTGTAATATCCACAAATGCATCTGATCCTTCCTTGCTGCTTGAAGAAGCATCACTGTCACTGTCACTACTGCTCCCACTGCCACTTGCAGCGCTTCTGCTTTGGCTCCCACTGTCACTTCCACTGTCACTGCTTTCACTGTCACTATCACTACCGCTTCCACTCTCACTAGATGAGCCAGCTTTACCATCACTGTCATTATTGACTTTTTCATCTCGGGCAGCAGAAACTGGGGAGCCTCCAATGTCAATCCTCTCAAATATATCAGGATCATCCATTTTTAAGCTTGGACCAGCTTCCTCAGTGTTGTCATCAATAGATCTGTTACATACATCAACAGATGACTGTTAAGGTGCTTGGGAGAGATAATTACAAAAACACAGGAAAAATAATTGAACAAAACTAAGGAGAAATCTTCATTAAAACAATACCCATTTGTCACAGTAAAACAAGGAATTGAATTTGTAGGAGAAAAAAAATTTACATTCCACTGCAAGGTGCATACCTTTTAGAGCTTTCTGCCTCTAATCCAGGTTTGAGCAAATACCTCCCTGGCGCTTGGAAAATTGCAATCTGCAAGGATAATAGTGTATTAGGTATGCAACATAACATAGAGCTGATGTTTCGTTAATGGAGAAGATGTAGTGGTGAGTAATGTACTAATGTTTGCCACTCACATTCTTGATGATACTATCTATTTTCTTTGAAGCATTCGGAAATACATCTGCAACAGCTTTCTCCAGGCCCTGCATATATTTCAACAAATGTTGTAAATGATAATTGCTCATGGAGCAAACCTTTCTTAATTAAGTAAACATGTATACAAAACCAAGACATCTATCTGGCTATGAATATTCAAGAATATGATGTACAGAAATGAGACCAAGAACTATGAAATTTAAAAAGATCGACCAATAAATTAAAATGCCACTTAAAGCTTCAAAGAACTGAAGCTATCACTAATAGGGGGAAGGGGGGCGCTTTATTTTACTAGTGATACCCATATAAGTTTGGAAAAATCCGCTTGACTCAATTTTTCAACCACGTATAAAACCATTTAATCTTCACGCTTCCAATTCTCAACACCATTTGAAAAATACCCTCATAGACCAAAGGGAGTCACCATGGCACTGAGTGATGGGGTCACCAGCAATGGTGTCATCTTACCCAAGGATCACCACCAAAATTACCTCTTTGAACATCCCATCGCCATCTGTGTGTGATTGGAGACTTGGAATAACGATTAAAAATGGCATGAGTATGTAACAAATGAACCATATGGAAGCATGAGCTATTCACAGCATCCCTGCTACCCACTACAAAACTGCATCTGTGTGCTACAACAGTAGCAGCGGTGGCATGTAGCAAGTCACCACAGAGCCACAATTGTGCATAACACTATGCACGCACCACACACACACACAGGGGGAGAGAGAGAGAGTACCTTTAAATTCATTCCTTTTGGATTTTCTGAAAGTACAGATATCAAGAGACTTCGCAGCTCATTTGTATTATCATCAGTACTTGCAGAAACAACACTTGCTCGACGACTTGTTCCTTGAGACACCCTATTTGGGGTTGATTTCTCGACTTTACTATTTTCATCTTTATTCAAATCGAATGGTGTTATGACTTCATTATTTACATCTGATCCGGTAGGAACTGAAGGAATGCTCGGTCCAGGTTGCTCAGGAGAAAGCGCTGGTGAAGTGGAGAAATTTGCTTTTGGTACACTATTAGACAGCTTCACTTTGGAAACTGATTTGGTTGGAGCAATAACAGCAGCTGGAGTAGGCCAATGGAAAACATATGCCGTTAAATATTTGCTAATGCAAGGTTTTCTTAGCGGAAGAACATGCGTAGATGTAAAAAGAAATAAAACAATACAAATGAGAGGGTCAAACAAGACTCAAACCTGGATTCTTCTTGTAAAATTCTTTCTTCTGCTTCCAGTTCATCCTCCGCATATTACCTGAAAGAGATAATAACATTAGATTATATAGCCCAAGATCTAACAAAAAGTTTAGGCATTACAGACTCTAATTAACTTTAGGCAAAGAACAGAAAACAAGTTCAGAGCCATTGTAGGCTCATAGCTGTTGCACCTAAAGATATAAAGGATATTTACACCGTACAGAATACTGATCCAGTGCAAGTAATTGAGCTCAGTTATATACTGATGTGTACAAAATAGTTATATATACATATTTCAAATACAAATGCAAAATTGAGGTAGAAAATGAAATCATAATCCATGGTGAAAAGGAAACAAATAATAGTTCAAAGCAAGATCTAACAAAAAGTTTAGGCATTACAGACTCTAATTAACTTTAGGCAAAGAACAGAAAACAAGTTCAGAACCATTGTTGGCTCATAGCTGTTGCACCTAAAGATATAAAGGATATTTACACCATACAGAATACTGATCCAGTGCAAGTAATTGAGCTCAGTTATATACTGATGTGTACAAAATAGTTATATATACATATTTCAAATACATATGCAAAATAAAGGTAGAAAATGAAATCATAATCCATGGTGAAAAGGAAACAAATAATAGTTCAAAGCACAAACCTTCAACAGCAGCAGCAGCCATTGACTTGGCCTGACTCTTAACAGATGGATTTGCAGGGTCCAGCACAATCGATCTATAACAGGCAAAATCACAACATGTTAAAACCATACATAAAATCATAAAACAGAAACTTTGAGGGAAAAATCTATTTATCGGGTGATCATTAATCAGTAGACCAAGAGAGTTATTGAACAGGGAAAGCAGACAAACTTTCGAGATTTTGAGAGACGCTCAGCCTCCTCTGAGCGCATTTTCACAAGGTTCTTTGCTGATTCATCCAAAATACGCTGCACATTCACCTTGCGCCACGCAGAGCCACATTCAAGAAGCAATCCATTTCCATCCTCTCCACTCTGACGTTCTTCATAAATATCACATAATTCACCACGTTCAGAAGCCCATGTAAATTTAAATTCTTTGCCACCAACATCTATAATCTGGTAGGAAAAGAACCTGTCAATACTCAACTCAACAAATGAAATGGGCAACACTATTTGCCATATTGAAGCTATTTTACTCGATACATTAATTTAGTTGGGCTAATCTAGTACTCCCTCCAGGCTGATAATACTTGTCGTTTTAGACAACGGTGAGGAAAAACTTTAGAATCTTTGATTATGAATCATTTTTAAAATATTTGTCTTTCAAATATGGTGACTACATGTATATATTAGTCTTAAAAAGTACTTTAATAAGATCATATATTTGTTAACACTTCTATACATATTATAATGAAAAATAATGGTCAAAGTTGTTTTTTTTAGAAACCGTGTCCTTGTCCAAAACGACAAGTATTATCAACCCGGAGGGAGTATTGTTAAAAACCATACAACGGTTGCAAAACTCACTAGCGATTACCTTAGTATTCCCTTTGTATGCAGGAAATAAACATGCATCCATTTCATGAAACATGAATCACATTGTGCTAGTGCCAAATTAGTGAACCAGTATCTTCTCAACCAACTTTCAAAGCCTAAAAGGGTATAACTATTTTGAAATAGAAATAGCTAACAAATGTAAAACCATAAGCTTATCTTGTCAAAACAAGACAAAGATAGCAAAAGAAATTATTGATGTATCCAAGCAGCATGCTGGATTTTTTTTTTAGAAAACAAAGCAAAACAGTTGAACTAGGATCCATAAATGTCAGTGATGAGACGTAAAGCTACAGTTTCACTGGAGTAACATGTCATGTGAACAAGAAAGTTAGGAACACAAAGGGTCTTGACAGGAAAGGAGATTTGGAGTTTTGGAGTTCCTATTTGAGATTAGTGAACCCTACTGGAGCCAAATACATAGTTGGGTGATTCTACGCTTCTTTAGTACAAAACCAAGTAAATGGTTTTGAAGAAAAGAAATATATATAACTGCTCATTAGAAATTAAACAAAAAATAATAATTTGATATACCCAAAAAACAATCAAAGACCATAGATAAAAGATGTACATGAGCTTTATATGCCATTCCTAGCAGCTAACGGTTACAAAAGTAGGGCCCAACAATGCAATTCCACAAAATTAATACTTCCGCATGGATCATCATTCCCAAAGAACTTTGAGCAACCATAAACAGCATAAAATATCCAAATTCATCCTAGCCAAATAGTGGAAGCCTCAAATAATGATTTGCTCACAGTGATCTGACCAAAGAAATGCAAAATACACAAACAAAACTCCTTGCCATTGGTGCATATACCAAAAGAAATCATACGGTTTATTCCCATCAAGCCAAGGAGACATGTGCCCAAGTAAAACCAAACTAAAACATGAACTGCCAATTTATAAAATCACTCAATAATGAACAGGCAGGGGCTGGATTTGAACAATCCTATACAAAACTTGAAGGTAAAATGAATGGCATATCGACAGGACCAGAATAAGCAATGGACGAGCTCACACTCAAGAGAGTACCATAGAACATCACAAGTGAAATTTAAGTATTTAACGATCCTAACAACATTTGGGATAACACAGCATCATGCCAAAACGATTCAGAGCATCTCAAGCACCAGGCAGTAAAATTGAGCAAATATAAATGCAAATTACACAGTGAACTAACCTAAACTCAGGAACGATGTTACAGGAAAACCAAAAACTGGTATTCCAGATGAAAATAATCTCGAGTTATGAACTTAAGACACATATGCCATAACAAGCAAAATTTAGAAATCAGTTAGGTTTTAACTTCAGAAGAAACTCGCGGGGACAGAACTTGACGACGGAGTGAGATGGAGGGAGGGAGGGGAGGGAAGCTCACGTTCTCCGAGGAGTTGTACATGTTAGGGTTGAACTTGATGCGAGCGCCGCTGCCCGATTCCTCGGCACGCCGGATCTCGTCGACGAGGTCAGGGGTCAGCCTTATGATTGCCGCGAAGGCCGGCGGGCCACTGGACTCCAGGCTGAACGACTCCTCCCGCCCGGCCGCCTGCGCCGCCGCCGCCGCCGCCGCCGCGGCGGCGGCGGCCGCAGCGGCGCCGCGACCGCGGGGGGGCGCGGGCATGCCGCCGATAGAGGGGCCAGCCCCACGGCCGCGGCCGTGGGGGGCTGGCGGGCGCTTCGCGGCTCCGCCCCCGCCGCCGCGGCCGCCGCCACGGCCGCCGAGCTTGTACATCGTCCCCCGCGGCAAGCGGCGCCGCCGGCGGGGAGGGGGGGGGTCCTTTGGGGCTCGAAGGCGGAGAGTAGCGAAGACGCCGAAGAGGAGGGCGCAGAAATCGTATAAGTTTTCCTTTTCTATTTTTCCCGTTTTTAGTTTGGATTTTGGAGTATTTTTTATTTTCTATTTGTGTTTTGTTGTTTGGGTTGGATCCCCTTTTCCGTTTATAAGTTCAAGCACAATAGTACCAACTAGTATTACCAATTGTAAACTTTGACAGGACCAAAAGGGAAATCACTCGCAGTAAGTTAAATTACCATAGAGAAATCACGGTTGCACGACACTCTTCACCCCTTGAACACAAACCATACGACACATATACTCCCTCCTTCCCTAGATGTTTGACGACGTTGACTTTTTTAAATATGTTTGACCGTTCGTCTTATTCAAAAACTTTTGTAATATGTGTAAAACTATATGTATACATAAAAATATATTTAACAATAAATCAAATGATAGAAAAAGAATTAACAATTACTTAATTTTTTTGAATAAGACGAACGGTCAAACATTTTTAAAAAAGTCAACAGCGTCAAATATTTTAGGATGGAGGTAGTATATGTTTTATCCATTCTTAATGGATGATCAGTTGGATGACTAAAACGTAACTTTGTTTGGAAAAGTTTTTAGGGCTGTATTGGACATCAAGGGCTATGAACCTTTTCCCCGTTACATTACACGTAAAACAGAGTGATGAATAAGAACATAGTTCATCCGTTACATGTTAAGTGTTGTTGTGAATTTTTATTTTTAGCGTTTGACCGTCTATTTTATTTGAATTTTTTTATTATTAGTTTTTCTTATGCTATTAAGTATTAGTTACTTAAATTTTGATTAATATGATTATTTAAAGTAATATTTTAATATATTTTTTTAAAAAAACACACCATTTAACAATTTTAAAATCGTGTATGCGAAAAACAAGTAAGTAAGTAAAGATTGAGAAAGAGGAGAAAAAACTGTCCTAATATAAGCAAGACAAGCTACATTTATAAAGCCTTACATTTTTATATAGTCCAAAATCATACTCCAAATTTGACCAATAGTAAAACTCTACTCAATTTATTTCTCTTGGTTCTAAAATGAACAAATCACGTATAAGACGTGATATATCTTAAATCTGATACTACCTCACATGCCAATTTATTTATTTTTGGACCTTTCTCCATGTCTCATTAGTTGATGTCTCTCTAAATAAGGCCGCTGGGCCCAAAAAAGACCCAAGAGACACACACGGTAGAGCCACAAAAACACACGATCGACAGAACAGCACCCGCCGTGCGCCCCCAGAGCAGAGCAGCGGCACCGCTTCCCAGCGAATCGGCGATAGCGAGCCGGCATCGTCCGATGGTGCTCTCGGCCGGCGGAACACGCGACCAACACAGCGTGCAGGTAGGCAGGCAGATGGTGAATTTCCTTATCCACGCACCACGCACCCGCACACATGTCCGGGAGACATCATCCCGCACACGCATATTCTCGCCTCCGCGCGCCCCGTGCAACGTGCTGCATCCCAGAAAAGCAGCTCCAGCCTCCCGGATGAAAAGCTCCTCCTCCCCTTACTACTCACTTAGGCTCGTTTGAATAGCATGATTAAGAAAAACAAGAGACATGAAAAACAGAAGTACAAGTATACAGAAAATTACAAAACGTAGGAAAAATATATAAATGACCGTTTGATCGGACCGCAAGAAAAATACAGGAATTAGATGAGAAAGGTAAACTCAAAAGGAAATTTTTCAAGAGATTGTAGCTCTTGGTAAGTTTCCTCTAAAATCTATATACGATGAACCAGTAAGTTTTCTCTAAAATCTATGTACAATGAACCATTCCATAGGAGTTTCATAGGATTTGGAAAACCTCAATCTTTTGAATCAAATGATTATTAGGAAAATTCATATAGGATTTAAATCCTACGAAATTCCTTCGTAGGATTTTTGATTCAAATGGGCCATTGCTGATACCGTAAAGTAGTAGTAAAGCTACCGTCAAGAATCCAGCACTGCAACTAGCTAAGCTAGTAGTAGTAGCTGACGAGCAAGCAAGCAACAACCGGACAGCGGTAGTGCTGCTGCTGCTAGACTGCTAGTGCATTGGACCGGATATGTATTACTCCCAGAGGAGAAAGTGATGTTTCCTTTGTTTCAGCTCTATCCCACAGGAGAAAGTGGTCACTGGACCCTCACTACTTCGCCATTGATGCTCGCCCAACCGGGAGATGGCTTTATTATAGAGTAATCATCGACAAAAAAGGCCGTCAACCACCGGAGATGATGGCGGGAATATGCTTCCTGCCGTGGAGTTCAGTTCAGTCACAACTCACATAGGACTACAGCCTACAGGAGCGAGCTGAGCTGCACTTACATTGCTACTACTAGTATCAATGTATCATGTATACTTCCTGGCCGTATTGGAGCGTGCCAGATCGCATGAACTCACACAACCAATTCGCCGTGGTCCTCGTCTGTGCCCAGCAGCAGTGCCCAAAAACAACATTGGTGTGCACTTATCTCGCGATTTGCAAGTTGACCAAATGACCATCACAACTCACTAGTTTGTTCGAGCACACTGACATCGTTTTTACACCGGTGGTCTGGGCATGCGGTTCCCGTGGTTTCAGACCACAACTGAATTCCCGATCTTCCCAGAAAATACTGTAACTGACCGGTGACCGGTCAGCGGTCACAGACTATGTTCTGGTTTTATCACAAAAGCCGGATCAATATGATCATCACACAGAAAATGAGATGTCAAAACCAAACAAAACAAAATATGCCATGTGAAGACAAGTAGACAAATCGCTCAAACAGAATGCGGTGAAGATATGGGAAGACAGATCGGCGAGATCTTATCATAGTTGCACTTTCACAGTACACAAGTGAGTGGAGCATCAGTCCCTCTAGGAGAAGGCAGACAAACAAGCACATGTTGCCATGAATGCCTCAATCTTAAGGATTGGTATTAGGCATGCAAAAAATTTCGGGGTTTTATTGAGTCCTTTAGTTGCCTCTCCTACCCCGACCGCGGAAACCACGCCCGCCACCTCGGCCACCACCTCGTCCTCCTCCCCTACCTCCACCGCCCTTGAAGTGGCCACCACCCTTCTTGCCATTGGACTTATTGCCAATCTTCATGTCCTCCGGGAGAGGAAGTATGCTGTCAACGCACTTACGGAAGCTGAAATCATCAGAGGATCCATCAACTCGTCGAACGAAGAAACAGCGGCTCTGAAACACCGGGTGGTTGCGGATCTCAAATGCTTCAATTCCTGCTCCAATTTTCCTATCGGACTCAGCATGGCCTTTCTTCAGCAGGTCTTCCAACACCATATGCTCATACTGCAAAAGTTAAGCGATTCAGCAAACTCAAGTGTGACAGTAGCAATGACAATGCAAAAAGTAAAGTGACATCTGGATAGTTTGAACCAGACAAAGTACAGTACACAAGCACATAGGCATCTGGAAGTCACCACAATTGATTACTGTGAAACTATAGTCACTTCCAGCAATGAGCTTATTTTTCTCAAGGGCAACTAGAGATGAGCTTATTGTGGTAACATAAACATCCCACTGACAAATAGTTTTATCTTCCAATTCCAAACAACGATGAAGTAAAAGATGCAAGGCTCAAGTATGCGATTATTTTGATCACATGTAGATGAAGAATCATAGTGTATTTCTTTGTAACTCATATATGTGTCAGACAGTTCAATTTATGTGCAACATATCATAATTGCAGCCTTAATCCAATACAATTTTCTTATAAGAGTGATTAGCAAACCACCTAGAGACCTTGTTCATGTATGACAGAAAACAAAGTGATCTCTTTTACCTCTACTGTTGCATACTTGCTAAAAACAGGTAGGAATAAACCAACAATTTTCTTTGATAGAGAAAAAAATTGCTACTTATGGTCTAACTCAATTTTAACAGAAAATGTTGCGAAACACCAAAGGACCATTTGGAGGTCGCAAGCTAACCAGATTTAAATTGCAAGTCATAACATAACACTTCAAGTTAAACAAACATGCCTGAAGCCCCAAATAGAGTCTGTTCTCCTTGTGGTACAACCATCCTTAAGTAAAGAACCCAGTCCCAGTTCGTCAAACACTACATGGAAGAACTCATATGGAGTCCCAACATATGAAGGCAGTGCAGCTGAAAGAGTATTAAACGTCATATGCTATTCCGTAAATGAAACTTACCATGAGAACCTAAAAGAAAAGCTAAGTGAAAGAATTATACTGTTTAAGCACTAAATCACTGGTACTACTGAACTCAACCCAACATGTCCATTCACAAAGATCATTGGTTTAGAAGTAAAATCATTGGTCTAGAAGTACCTAATATACATACGAAATGCCTAAAGCAACCTCTCCAAGCTTAATAACATCCTTGACCATGACAGATCAACCCAATGAAACTGGGGGCTCTACGGAGTATTCAACGCCATATGCTATTCTGTAAATGAAACTTGCCCATGAGAACCTAAAGAAATGCTAGGTGAAAGAAGGATAATGTTTAAGTGCCAATCACTGGTGCTAACGAACTCAACCCAACAAAGATCATTGGTTTAGAAGTACCTACCATACATACGAAATGCATAAAGCAGCCTCTCCAAGCTTAAAAACATCCTTGACAGTGACAGATCAACTCAACGAATCTGGGGGCTCTATGGAGTTTCATGCAAACTTGGCTAAATACAAGGCGAACACTCAGATTATCATGTCGAATTATTTAGCCGATTGGATCACCGGTTTCAAAGGCAAAGTACTACCTAATACGGGCACCATTATACACCACTAAAGCTAATTAAATAACCTACCAGCTTATCACTACAGCTACAAGGATAAAACTTTTATCATACCAAAGTTTAGCTACAACAACACACATCGTGACTTCGCGAGTCATCAATAAAGCAAGAAACTTTTTTTCGCGGCCAAAAACAGCGAGAGGCCGGCCACGATTGACAACCGAATCGCAACCCTCACCTTGTTGATCTCGAGCTGCGGCGCCCACGAGTGGAGCAGGGCGAAGAAGTAGTCGAACATCTCGACGCCCGTGGCGAACTCCTTGGGTCCCAGCTTCACCGGCTTCGCCTCCTCTTCCTTCGCGCCCTCCTCTTCCTCCCCCTTCGCCTCATCCTCCGCTCCCTTCGCCTCCCCCTCCCCCTCCACCTTCTGCTTCTTGGCCGCAGCTCCCTCCGCCGCCTCCTCGCCAGCAGCGCCGGCGGCGGAGTCATCCCCCTCCTCCCTCTCCCTCTTCTGACTCGGATTCGCCGCAGCCGGCTCCGCCGCCTCGGCTTCCATCGCCTCCCCACCTGCGGCAACCACCACCTCGGGTTCAGCCATGGCCGGGAGCTCGAAGAATCCGCGGAGACGGAGGCGGAGGCGGAAGTAGGGTTTTGGAGGTGTTCCAAGCGAAGCGAGAGGGTTAAGTATCACGCGAGAGAACAAAAGCGAACTCGATGCGAGCCTAGCCCATGTGGGCCCACCAGAGGAAGGCCCGGCCCAAGAGCAAAGCATCGGGTTCGCGTCTTCGCGAGGGAGGAAGGAAGGAAGCAAAATGCTGACGTGTACATAAACCGCTCGTCGGGAAAAATGCCACTCCTCCCCGCGCCGTTCCGACCTCTCGCTCCCGCCGCCGCCGCGGCCTCCGCCGCACCGCGCCGCGCCACCGCCGGAGAGGGGGGCCGCTCGTCGCTCACCGGGGCGTTCTGTTCCTAAGCATCGGCGCCGCCAGCGCCGCCGCCGTCGCCTGCAGGACGGGGTGCGCCTTCTCCCGCCGCCGCTTCCCCTTCCTCGGGTAACCTTCTCTTTCCTCTTTGCTCTTAGATTTTGTGTGGAACCCGCGAAATTGCTAGGCACGTCCGAACATGCGGCTGCTAAAAAATTGAATCGCTGAAGTATGGTACAAGAGTGTAGTTTATCCATGTTATGACATTGATGGATGTGTGAACTTTGGAGGTTAACATTGCTACGCTTTTATCTAGTTTGAATTCTATCTTCTTGTAGTGATATCTGAATGCAAAATTTCTCAGGGTAAGAGGTCTCAGCTCTGCTCGGATGGAGTCCGCTTCCACCACCGTGCCATCCATTGTTGTGTATGTGACTGTTCCAAACAGGGAAGCAGGTAGTACTTTACTGTGTTTTTGTTCTTGTTATATTGTGTGCGCATTTCATTTGTGGAACTTGCTAGGCAATATATTTCATTTCCTCCAAGATAAAGCAGTTAGAGTTGAGATTGATCTTGCACTATTTGTCTTGTGAGCATCATGTTTCTCCTTTCAATATTGTTGTTTAGCGTTTATTTTTTTGTTAATTAATTTTAGCATCTATTTCTGCCTTTTGTTTAAGCAGTCTTTAAAAGCATCATGTTTCACATCTACTGCAGGGAAGAAGCTGTCACAGAGCATCATCAGTGAGAAACTAGCTGCTTGTGTCAATATAGTGCCTGGTTTGTCACTTTGCTCATCACTTCCGTTTCTCTGACACTATATGCCTATGAACCCAGATCATATGTCAGTGTTATTGGCCCTCTGTATTCCATAGAAAACATCTTTATTACCTTCAAAAAATTTAATGGAAACACTGAAAAGGTTTAGTAGAGGTGGCAGTGTAAACGAATTAGATCAAGAAAATCCATCATATGTGGGAACAAACCCTTTTAAAGCTTTGCTTACCTTACTTTGGACTGAAACAAGAACTCTGTTGAATCACGAAATATAATGGTGCTTTGGTTGTCCAATGATTGTTGCGCTGCCCTTCCTTATGCTGTTAGGCAACAGGTGCTGTGCCAAGATTCGCAATTAGCTTGTTTCATATTATCGTTTATACTGAATTATACTGAAGTTCTGTACATTTTTCAGGCATTGAATCTGTTTATTGGTGGGAGGGAAAGGTGCGTTGTGGAAATTTACCTATAGACTGAATAGATTATTAATAGTTCTCATCTTTGTAATTCAGTGGTTTATCATTCCTTCGGATGATGTATTTCCTGCTCCTTAGCAGACCTAGGATTTAGTGATCAATAATCTGCCTTCTTGCAGGTGCAAACTGATGCTGAAGAGTTACTCATAATCAAGACTAGAGAATCTCTTCTAGATGCCTTGACTGAACATGTCAAAGCTAACCATGAATACGAGTAAGCTTCATTCAGTTTATTGATCTTGCTGTACAATCTGTCTGTTTACTATAGTTTACTTGTAACTTTTCTCCCTGAAATCTTAATGTAATTTGGTTGGCCTATTCTTTCGGCCGGCCCGGGAGAAAAATGTTCCTGTCAGATTTACTGGTAACTTGTTCATGCAGTGTTCCTGAAGTTATCGCTCTTCCCATAACTGGTGGTAACACCAAGTACCTGGAGTGGATCAAGAACAGCACCAAGGCAAACTGATCTGGCATTCACCCTGTTGTATACGCGCGCTGCAGACCCGCAGCTCAAAAATATCCAACAACATGAAGTAACTGATCGGATGTTCTCTGTTTGGCCTATGTATCACAGTGACATTTGCTGCAAGGAATATATGTGTGGTTGCCATCTTGTGAGTTCTGATGAGTAACTTGGGTCTATAATTCTGCTCACATAAAAAATCGATTCAGTACTCATACTTGTGAATTGCTGCCCTTGATTTGGTATTCTCATATGAAGTTTTTCTAGCGATGCAAATGATGAAGATCTTTAAGATCGATGTAAACATACCAATTCACACTGGTAAAACCCTGAGTACGTACGTAATCACCTAGATATAGCCCTATTGGCACATACAGATGAGACAGGCGCCCGTGACCAAGTTTTGATGTCACGTATACCTTATTGCACAGATCGGAAAGCTACAAGCCCACAAGAGGACACCGTGATTTCAGAAAGGGAAAAGAAGAGAATACATAGACTGCACAAGCCGTTCTCGTGCATTTGCTAGCAGCAGCTTGGCTCTAGATGAGATAGCGGTAGATCATCTTAATTAATCTTAATTCTTAATTAGTTGCAGGACTCCTTGGCGAAGCCGACGCGGGAGTTGGCGACGTCGAAGACGACCCGGATGTTCTGCTGCTGCAGGTTGGCGATGACGTTGACGACGGAGTTGACGTTCTGCGGCGCCTCGGCCATGGCGAGGCAGGCCAGCGGCGTGGCGCTGCTGTGGATGAGCGTGTTCTCCATCGGCAGCGCCAGGTCCACGCCGCCGTCCATGTGCACCGTCACCGCGGGGGCTCCGCCGGCGGCCACCTCGTCGGTGTTGAAGCACGTGTCGAACGCGCCCAGCGACGTGTACCCGCTCGGCGCCGCTACCTGCCGCCGGAACTCCTCCCGCAGCGCCGCGTACACCGGCGCCGTCCACCGCGTGATCACCGTGCCGGAGTCCACCACCGTGCCGGCGCCGGTGGCGGCGTCGAACGCGAACGATCCCGCGGGGACCTTCACCCACGCGTGCCCCACGCTGAGCCCCGTCACGTTCACGTAGTAGAGAGACGACCTGTGCGGGTTCCTCAGCATCGGCGTGTACCGGACGCTCCTCGGCTGCCCGCCGCCGGCGCCCAGCCGGAGCGAGCCGGAGAAGTAGTATGACCTGTAGCTCGGGAGGCAGTAGGAGAAGACGCCATTGTACAAGCTCCCGGCCTGGGAGAGCAGCGCCATGGGGCCACGCCCGAGGCCGAGCAGCCCTTGCCTTGGCATGTTCGTCGTCGGCCCCGTCACCGAGCTCACGCACCCGAACGTGTAGTTCGGGATGGCGTCCTTGCCCAGCCTCAGCGTGTCGCTGGCGAGCGCCGCCTGGAACGACGCGTCGGCGAACGGCTTGGAGAAGGCGCACGTCGGCAGCGTCGCCGGCGGCGGCGCCGCGTCGCCGCCGCCCTGCGGCGCCGGGCACGCCTGGCCCTGGAACAGCGGGCACCACGACGAGGAGCACGGGAGGGAGGCGTAGGAGGAGGAGTTGGCCGGGGCGAAGAGGCTGCTGCTCGGGCACGTGCCGCACGGCGAGCAGTGCGCCCACGTCGCGTCGGCGCTGGTGTCGAGCGCCAGCAGCAGCTGCTGCGACGGCGAGCCGAGGCCGGCCCGGACGACGTAGGACGGGGGGGCCTGGCCGGAGGCGACGGGGGCGGAGGAGACGCCGGCGGTGGCTGCCTTGGAGGAGAGGAAGAGGAGGCGGGCGTCGTCGTCGCGGGCGAGCGCGATGATGGACTCGAGCGGGGACGGCGACGAGGGGTGCACGTTGTGGTACACGGAGAGCTCGGCGGCGGCGGCGGCGACGGTGGCGGCCAGGAGGAGGAGGAGGAGAGGGATGGTGGTGGTGGCCGCCATGGCAATGGAGCTCTCCTGGCTAAGCTAGCTTGCTTGCTAAGAGAGTGTCACTGAGGGGAGTGAGGATTGTGACTGAGCGAGCTGGGTTTATATAGGGTTTCTGGCTGTTGATCCTGTAGTCTTTGGCGCCGATCGATTGAATGGTTTGAGCTTAATTACGGCGGCACGGACAACATGACGGGCTAATAGCGCACATTCAAATCATTAAGTACTACTCTAGTACTCTGTCCAAAAGAAAAATAAAATCTCTAACATAAGTAGTATCTAGGTTCGTAGTTAGAATTGGACTTGTTTTTGTTTTTAGAGACGAATGGGTATTTTAAAAATTTTGAAATATATTTATTTTTTGACAATGAACTTTCGTAAATAGTTTCTGTAAAAACAGATTATTTATTGGCTTGAAAAAACGTGCTCACGAAAAAGAGAGATACCATAAGCTAATAAGTTCATCATTATTAAGGTCTCCTTTGATTCAAAAAAAATTCATAAAAATTTTAGAGGATTTCATCCCTGTAGAAATTTTTCCTATATAGCCATTTGAATCAAATGAGTGAAATCTTTTGGAATCCTATAAAATTCCTATAGAATGTCTAATGCCACGTAAATTTTGGAGGAAATCTAACACGAGGTTCTACCTCATGGAAATCGTCCTTTGAGTTTTTATCTCTCCTCTAATTCCTGCGTTTTTTCTGCGGTCCAATCAAACGGTCATTACTGTGTTTTTCTTATGTTTTGCAATCATCTATTTTACTCTTACATTCATATCAAATTTTTGTGTTTTTTCTATTATTACATTTTCTCAATCATGCGATTTAAAGGGGCCTTAAGCTTTTAGGACCATTTATATATTAATTTGAGTTAATAGTATCGCCGATGATTTTTACAGAACACGTTAATTTGAAAAAGAAATAAGTCTTTAGGATTAACTTGCTTATACTCTTATAGACATATAGTTGTTTCTTAAGTTTAATTGTTTTTCGAAGGTTATAGTTTAATTAACCGTTTGACCAAGCACATACGGACACCATCTTGGCATCTTTTGACTAACCTAACACATGCTCAAAGAATGTGAACTTTGGTCGTTGGTATTATGCCCTCACAACTCCACCGCCGTACAGTTCGATGCTTTACTATTTACCTCAATCATCATCTCATGGTGGTAGTAAATAAATTATGATAAGGTCTTGATTTTTGAACAATGTTCTGCTTCTCCCTTGGAGTAGAAAGATTATTTGGGATAAGAATCTCTCACTAGACAAAAATTGTCACAAGAACAATGATTAATTATGGAGAAGCAAAATACTGGCTTATCACATGCAAAATTGTAGTGGAGTGAGATGCACAGAACCAAATTGACCCTTTTAATTACTTAGTTAAGCTGAGACAGCGAGGAAGACAGATTAAGGAAGTTAAACACGCCTAGGAGTGCGACCAAAAGTCACAAAGATGGGCAAGAATATTGTACCACATCCTGTCAAAGTTTTTGTCCGGCCACTGCAGGTAAAACCTGACGAAATCCTTGATTCCTGACACGTCCTGAGACAGCTTCTTCACGGGTCAACAAGGACAAGGATCATCACACCCTGTCGACGAATCACCAGGTGTGTCTTAGCTTAGTTATCAACCAATCAACAACCGTTGAGTGTCTGTTAATAATTACTGTTAATTTGCATTATTCTCTGGGTCATTGGCTGTGACCGGCGATCAGGTTAACTTGTTTAATTATTAACTTGGATGTGTACAAATAACATCAACGTAGATGCTCGCATCCTGGTATTTTCTGCAGTCTGCAGAAACATGTGATCCGAATGATTTGTTCAAGGACCACGATCCATTGGTGAGTAACGCATGCTTGTACGTGTTGATAACCACACTTCCTATAGAGGGGTATCTTAGAAAGATATTTAAGGCTTTTTTTAGGAGGAGCTTTTAGCTTTTTTATCCATATTTTTTATAGCTGTATTAGTTACATAATTAAAAGGATAACTTTGTATAATTCAGAAAATTTATAAGAAATTAGAAGTTGGTTTTCCAATTTCTTCATATTCTCGTCCGCTGCTTCTCAAGATATAAAACGTAACCTACATGCCTATTCCTCCTACAAAGTAACATATGCATGTCTGCCATGTCCGACTCTCTGACTCTCATCCTGTAGTATATGTAATTGAGATGCACTTGATAGTGTAATAGTAGTCGGCGTGTGGTTTCAACTCTGAGGTTTTATGTTCAATCCCTAGCCCTCTCACAATTTCACATCCCTCCAAATCTCTTTTTTTTTTCTCTCTTTCAGTACATGTATTTGCTTCCTCACAATTAATCTCCTTTTATTTTCTTTCAGTACATGTATTTGCTTCCTCACTATTAACTAGCTAGGGAAATATTGATGTGGACTATGGATATTTTCTCGGTGAATCTATTGTGCTGTGACGCCTACAGATCCAAATGTGTACAAATCCCCGTTCCTCCACGCGTGATTCCGCGGCCTCCTTTCTTTGGGGGTTGGATTCTACTGCTCGTCTGTTCCTTCTTCACGAGCAGCCAGCGGCATCACGTCCCATCCCTTCCATCCAGCTCGGCATGCATTGCGTGCGCACGTAAAAAGTGTACTACGCAGCCGCGAGCGGATGGCCCGTGCATTGCTGTACTCAGCGCGCAGATGGCTAAGTAACCTTCTTCTCAATATAAATGCATCTGCGATAGAACTTGAGATATCCTACGATTACGAATCTGCATATAGTTATTTGTCCAGATTTGTATTTGTAGAACTATAAATCTAAATCTAAATAGTTGCTTGATCAGATTTATAGTCGTAAGATATAACACATCTCGCACTAGGTATATTTATATTGTAACAAAGGAAGTATTGACTTGCTAATTGATGAGAATCTAAAAATACACTTAGCTTTTTTTTCTTTACTTTTTTTTTTAGATTTTACAACTCAAGTATCTTAGAGGCTTCCATCGTTTGTCCTATAACTTATTAGCCGCTGCCACCTAAAAATTAATCTTAGAGTTCATTTTGATTTTCTTTTTCATTGTAGTTGTAGTTTATTTTTCAAAGTTGACTTTAAATTTATTAAGAATATATATATATATATATATATATATATATATATTAAATTTGTTTGGTGCTCCATGGTGCCCGGGCACCATTGTTGAAATTGAGTATATACCCAATTCAAATGAGTATGAAACTTTTTCAATTACTTAGGTATTAACATTAACTACTTTACTAACTAGTTCAAAGCATGTTTGTACTGAATTTGAACTTGTTTTTGTTAGATTTTGATTCTAGGTATATAGCATCCATACATATAATTAGTTAGGTATGTAATCATGGATTGTGAAATAAAGTTAAATTTGAGTTGTTTTGTTGATAGGTATAGATATGAATCGAATTATTATAACTAGGTATATACTCACAATTTGAAAATTTTGAAAAATTTGAGTGATTTTGTACATTAGATACCATGGTGCCCTATATATATATATATATATATATATATATATATATATATATATATATATAAAACTACCCATAATTTTTTTTGGCGAATCAGTGGTAACTAGCATTTATGTGAGAACTGCTTAGGAGAAATTAAAATTCTAGAACAAGCAGTTGTCCGAAAACTCTCCTATCGTCCTGGCAGAAGAGAGCACAGCTGACAAACGCAAATTGTACCTTCAAAAGTGCCTTGCAAGCAGGCAACATCAACAAGCCAGCCAGCCAAACGAACAAACCAGCAGTCAACGGTGCAGGACGCTACTGAAATTCAGCACGAAGATCGTCGTCCATCCGTGGCAAGCATCGTTCCCGGCCATGGCTATGTACAAGGTTTAGCCACTTATCAGCAAATTAATTAGCAGGAGAAGCAAGGATAAGGAACATAGACAGATCTTCCTACATCTATTAATGCATCTATCTCGTGATCGAATTGTCGGTGAGAGTAAGCCCAAAACCCTCCCCTGTTTCCTCCTAACACAAACAGAACAAATCTATACTCCATATATTAATCTAACACATATCTGCTAATCTTCGGGAGGCCAACTGTACGTCAGTTTGCTACTCCATTTTATATTACAAGTTATTTCAGGTTTGTCCTATGTTAAATATCAACTATATTTGTAGAAAAAAAAGTAGAATATCTATAGTACCAAATTATCTCATCAATTATAAACCTATAATTGAATAACATTTTTTAAGTAAGTTTGTTTCTTGCTGAAAATGCTTATACAATTTTTAAAATTTTAGTTAATTTGAAAGACGTTTGATTTAGAACAAATTTAAATGACTTGTAATACGAAACAGAGGGAGTACAGTTGGTTCCCTATGCTTCCAAAGGGAGCAGGTTCACGGGCACCTTGTTCCTTGCGGGTTGCGGCGAATTAGCGATGCACGCAGAGTTGCAGACAAAGCTCGCCTTGGATCGTTCTAATCCACGGCTAATAATGCAGTTTTGTTCTACGTGCGAGCCTCGCTTGCATGCGTCCATGCGGTCGCAGGGATCAGATCCAATCCCGTGCAAAAGCTCATGGGAGGATGCAGTTTTATCCAGATGTAGTACAGCTCATCTGAATTTCCTGCCACTTCATCTGCAGTGCAAATGGGTTCTGAACCCATAGGTTATGATGCTTTGAGCTTGCGGCAAATGGGTTGGAAAAGCCAATCGTTTTCTTCTTTTTTTTTTCATTCAGGAACTCTCAAATTCAATCAATCCTAGCTTTTTTTTTTTTTGAAATAAGCAAAAAGGAATGCCTGATATGACTATATGGAGCATGGAGCAGTTTTGTACGTACAAGATTTGCACAAGGCACAATCCTGGTTCGTGCTCAGATTTGAACACAAGATTTATATTTGTTTCCGTGTCTCTGACAGGTCAAAATGCTTCACTGGCGTTGGCACCAGCCAAATGATCATACATAAAATTCCATGATGCGAATACAATCGTATATCTACAAATGCAATCAAACCCTGACGTTTTCACAAGCCCTACAATATTAAGCGGCACTGATAAACAGCCAAGTGGACAGACACCACGACAGAATAGAATGATGGAGAAATGGGAAACTCATACAACAGGGTGTTCGTCCTACAGACGGCCGATGGATTTCAGCGAAGTGAGGTCTTGCCGGCGAGATGGAGCAACGCCTGCTTGTGGTAGGCGGCGCGGAGCTTTTTGTACTTCTGAACAAAGGTTGGGAGGTCAATGTCCTTCTCCAGGAACTTCTGGTGCAGCTCCTCCGACTCCTCGTCCAACTTTGCCATCGATTCTGAGCAAGCACCGAAGCAATTCATGAAAATGTCAGCGGTTGCGGTTGGGTGTTTGAAAAATTAAATTACATGGTTGGACTTCAAACAATGACAGAAGCATAAATCAAGGTTTCACGAAATGGAACTAACATAGACGCCACTATGACGCTAGTACCAGTCCTAGCCTGATCATTGGCCGGTTACAGAAGGGTAGTGCATTCATAGCAAACAATAGATACATACAAAACATGCCCATGATTCGGTGCACTAATTCACATAATGTATTCAACTACAAATAATAAAGCACAGACTCTTATTAAAATACACAGCAAAAATGATGCAGATGCAGCTGTTCAGAACCCTTACTTTGGAGCTTGTCGAGCAGTGCAGCAGGAGAATATGACCTCATAATCTCATCCTTTTGCCTTTCCAACTCAGCCAACCTATCTTGAGCAGCAGCTAGTTCTGTAGTTCTTATAATGGTGCACTGCACAATAATAAATGCGATTTGAATCTCAGGAAAAAAAATTGAAACGCAGACAAAATCCATTATTATAGCATTAACTGTATTTAAAGTTCGTTTAACAATGAACATCATGGCTACAGTAGCTTATAGTTTCTGAGATGGAGGTCACAGTACTAAACCTGATTCCTGAGCTCCAAGATCCGTTGCTCTTTTTCCAAATTTTCTCCTGTAAGTTCAGAAGATCCAACCATATTTGATTTAGAAACAGTAGTAACTAACAAGTTGTTTATATCTTTTTCATAGTTAAGACAATCCAATAAAAAAGCATTGCATGCCGATAACAGAAACACGAATAACTCACTTGCAAGTTGCACTGTCTCCTTTCTAAGCTCATCGCGTAACTGAACATTAAGAAAGAACAAGAAGTGAGCAAATTGACAAGAGGTCTAGCATTCAGACAAGTCAACTATCTAAGGTTAAAAGCAGCACCGAATATAAATTAAAGAATAATCACCCACATTAATGCCCAAATCACAGGAGATGTGCCACAGCCCAAAGCCTCAAATATGAGGCCAGAAAAAGAAAAAGAAAAATAATTGGAGCATATAGTTTGGAGTTTCCTGTGTATCTTTAACTACTGGAGGAAATACAGAAACATCTAAGTACAGCCACCAATACAAATTTCAAACACCTGTGTACTCAGCAACAAAACTTACGTTGTTCTGGGTTTTAACTTGATCGAGTGAATTGAAGAAAGCATTATATGCCTCTTTGTCTTTCAACAGCCTCTGCAACTCATCAACACTGCAGAAAAAAGGACAGTATTATATACAGCAGTTTTGCATTCCAAACAAGCATGCTCACAAGGAATAGTGTGAAAAACACATGTAGTAAAGGTGGCGATTATAAAAAGCAACCCAACCATACATAATCACTTCTTTTAGCATTTATATACATCCCTTCTGAATTGCACAAATTGTCGTGCCCTCTGAAAAGCTAGGGATTCTTCATTCATTACCAATTGATAGAATATAGAATATCAGCCATGATATCATTATTGCAATTAAAAATTCATTACTCTAATATTATTAGTTAGATTCTAGTGACTCTCTTTTAGTACTAATATAAACACTAGAATATGTAAAATACCATGGTAAAAAGTAACAAGGCTGTTGCAATTTTAACCCACAGTATAGATAAGATAAGGCATAATACAATGAAACTTCGTATACAGGAAGCTACAAGCAACTTATCAAAAAAAGGTTAGCTGCTGACCTTTTGTCCTTTAACCGAGCAATTATCCCTGCAGCCTCAGCTGGAGATGGTTGAGCACGCGATGAAGACTGGGAATTATCAGAAGCTCTTTGATGTGGACCAACATTGGAAGAGCTTGGTGTGGATGGATGTGAAGATGAACCAACTACAGACTGAGGGTACCAAGGTTGCGTAGGGTTGTCCTGGAAATTTGGATCAGGTTGCTGCTGCTGCGAGTTGCTGCTGGCAAGCATTCAGCAGAAACAAAGACAGTAAGCCAGAGGAGCTCGTTTTTCAGGAAAGCTTAAGGCAATAAGTGAATCATATTAAATAGCCACGTTAATTTACTTATGCTAAAAATTAAATTCAGCGTAACTGAAGACCCAACCATAAGAAATAACAGAGTAGCTGAGTGGTGGACACTGTTCGGATGATAAAATAAACTTTTGGAACAAAAGCAAAGCAATTTTTTGAGCATCAATATCTGAAGGCTTTTTAGTATAGAAAGAAACTAAGGATTACGAATCACATCAAGCCTGCTGGCTGGCACTGATCAACAAATACAATACTTTCTACCAAATAAAAGAGGAAGCTCAGTTTATAGAATACAAATGCTATGCGAGGAAAGGTTAGGAACAGACATAAGAAGAACAAACGAAAAAAGTATTGCTTTCAGTAAAAATAACATACCCAAAAAGAGGAAATCTCCAGCTCATTGTACTAGAGCAATCTGCATAAAAAGAAATAGCAGGTTACATATGTTCCAACAGTTGGTGGTAATCAATAAGCTGTACATGCATATAGATTCTAACGGAAAATAACTAGTAGATGGTAATCGCTAACGCCAATGCCAGACTAATTGTTGGTTGCATCAGAAAAATAAAAGGAAGAAGAATGGATCAAATCTAGAACAAATTGAAATCAAACCCCTCAACGCAGAGTTCCTATTGACTATTGTCAAAAAACGATATACTTGTGATAAGTCTCATGTTCGGTAGGACGCGTTTTCTACTCCAAAATTACTGCCTGCGTAATCAAATCAAAATGCCAAGCATTTGGATGGCAAAATGTTCTGTAGGCTACGGCTTGCTTCTACTCTCAAATTGCCTAGATACCGTAGAGCGGTTAATCCATCACTGAAGATTACCATGAGCTGCTGATAACTAACTAACTTGGGTGTGACTTTCAAGAAGTCATCAGAACAACAGCATAAAAACGTGTCCCCCACTCCCCCCCAAAAAATTCCTTGTAAAACCTGTCTTGCAAAACTAATTCCTCTACCTGAATCACAATCGCCGAACGGATTCGACAACTTTAACGGGATCGTGAAACAAACCACAGCACCGGTTTTGGATCGAGGGCAGACACAAACCTGCCGAGATCAGCCTCGAAACCGAGTTGCCGGTGCGGGCGGCGCTCAGGGACGGCCGGCGAGGGTCGCGGAGGCCTGGTCTCACCGCCGCGAGGTGGCGGGGAGGGGAGCGCGTCGCGTTCGCGTTGCTTCGGGTGGGAGCAAGCGAAGCAGCGATGGACGGTGGCCGGCTTGTCGAAGGAGAATAAGCAATTGGGATTTGGGGGAGAAGAAGAAGAGAGAGAGGAGGCGAGAGGCGACGCGGAGTCGGACGCGGACTGGGCCGTGGGGAGAGGATAGGTGGGCTTTCTGTTGGGCCGTGTAACCTCTGCGACTTGGGTTTTGTTTGTGTTTGCATCACTGGGCCCCGGATAGGAGAATGTGTAGGGAGAAGTGGTCCAAAACGTCGAGAACGGTAGCATTTGTTCGAAACGATTTTCGGTCAGTCGAACAATTGATCATATTAGCAATTTATTACTTCCTCTGTTACAAAATATTTGACGCCATTGACTTTTTATCATATGTTTGACCGTTCGTCTTATTCAAAAAATTTAAGTAATTATTAATTCTTTTCCTATCATTTGATTCATTGTTAAATATATTTTTATGTAGGCATATAATTTTACATATCTCACAGAAGTTTTTGAATAAGACGAACGGTTAAACATGTGCTAAAAAGTCAACGGTGTCAAACATTTCGAAACGGAGGGAGTATTACGATAGAAATATGGTGTTTAAAAGTGAATAGAAAAAACAAAATTTCTATTTGACTAAAAAAATCAAGAACATATATATTATTTATACGAAAAATGATGCTTGATCGGTAGAGAATTTCAGCGAATGTTTTCATTATTAAGAAAGTGTCGTCCAATCATCACTAGATGTGTGTTTATGACATGTTTATCAGGGATTTAGCTCAATCTGATCTCACGAGCATAGTCTAGATCGAGTGGAGTTGTGAAGCAGCTCGGAGATCGTTCAATCATGGTGATCTCGAAGAAGTTGAGTTGTGGGAAATCGTTCGATCAAGGTGATGTTGGAGTTGACGGCACAATCAAATATCGAGATCAAGGCTGAGGGGGAAGTGGGAAGTGAGTCGTAGTGCCCGGTGAGGGAGACAGCGTAGGTACGTAATTAGAGCTAGCTAGTAAGCTAAGTACGGCGCCGTCGATTAAACACCATAAAACCACGGCGGCACACGTACGACCGATCAATATTCGATCGATTTACCTTCATCTTGTAAGGACACGATAGGAGCATCAATTCCTCCGGAGACAATCTCAGATCGAAGGGGCGATCGTTAACGAAAGCGCGAGATTAATTTTATCAGCTCTCTAGTGTGATTCTCTCTGGTATATGCTGAGTATCATTCGTAAGTCGCAACCCACCGTAAGCTATGCAATCTTATAACTATACTAATTTTAGTGTTGATCCATGTTAATCATACAGGAACCACCTATATATTTATCGACAAATTTTCTTTTAAAAATTTGATAGATATAATTATAGTACAATCGCAATGTAATTACACTGTAACTTGCATGTAACTACAGTATAACTTGTATATAACTTTCACGTAATTTTGAATCATTAGATCTATTACAAGATTTGTTCTAGTGACGAACAAAAAGATCACAGTACACACGTATATGAAAGGATTTGTTCCCACGACCTCGATTTTACCGAAATAACATGTTACGGAGAGATTTTTGAAAGTTACATACAAGTTATATTATAGTTACAGTGTAATTACATACAAGTTACAGTATAATTACACTGCGATTGTACTGTAATTACATCTGTTAAATTTTTGGAAGAAAATTTGTCGACAAATATATAGCAAAATTGAATCATATATATCCTTCCTTCCTTATATAGTGTGGTTGCATCTCCACATTTTTCTTTTATTTTTCACCGGTCCATTGACTGTAACAGTAACCGCGTCGCCCTAGCACGATACGGCACCACCTTAGACTGTGGTCTTGACATGTGGGCCGACATGGCACGGTCCGATATAGGTGATGTGGCGTGTTAGGTTAAGCCACCCATTTGGCCTGCTATATAACAGGTGGGTGCTTGGTTACCAGGTCACAATTTACCACCCCTAAAATTAGGTGAGTTTAATTTTATTAGCAGTTGTTTGGTTGTGGTCGCAGTTAGTAGCGAGAGTATCTTTCAATAAATTGGATCTCACGCGTTATTAGTAACATAAAACGTGTATCAAGATCATGTTAGCCTTGCTAACATGTGATTAAGAATTTAATCATTTCAACTTAAATAAACGTGACGATAATATTTATTGATAAACGGTGACCTGAACGAACCACCTACTCCTAAATTTGTTTGCAACACTCCACCAACCCGTCTTCCAGGCTCCAACACGGCAACACCTCATCACACCGCCTAGCTACTGCATCGTCCACGCATCAATCCATCGGTCAGTACGTTGTCCCTCCTGACCTCCCTGTTCCTCGATTCCTTCCTCCATCCTCCCGAGAAAAACCACCCAAAACAGTTTCTTCGGCGAGAGCTCAAAATAGGATACTCCTACCCCTAGCTACTCTACAAAAGCTCATCAATTTCTGAACGATAGCAGGAGGCTTTGCCGTCATAGAAAGAAATGGACGGACGATGGACCGACTGATGCCAACGTACCCCTCTTCCACCCCCCCTTCCCCTCCTCTCTCCTCTCTCATGGCTATGTTTAGGGCATTTGACCGGATGTCAGAAGTCCTCTCTCCTCTCTCATGGCTATGTTTAGGGCATTTGACCGGATGTCAGAAGTCCTCTCTCCTCTCTCATGGCTATGTTTAGGGCATTTGACCGGATGTCAGAAGGAGTTTTCGGACACGAATAAAAAAACTAATTTTATAACTCGCCTGGAAACCGCGAGACGAATCTTTTAAGCCTAATTAATCTGTCATTACCACTTGTGGGTTACTGTAGCACTTATGGCTAATTATGGACTAATTAAACTCAAAAGATTCATCTCACGAATTCCTCCCTAACTGTGCAATTAGTTTTTTCATTTATCTATATTTAATACTTTATGCATGTGTCCAAAGATTCGATGTGATGTTTTTAGAAAAAAAATTTGGGAAACTAAACGGGCCTAATAGTTCCAAAGTTTTCTTTTTCCAAACTTCTAACTTTCCATCACATCAAACCTTTCATACACACACAACTACTGTTCTATCACATCGTACCAATTTCAACCAAACTTCCAAACTTCAGTGTGAACTAAACACAGCCTAAGAGTTGATTCTTTTAATCCCTCCATCCTAAAATAAATTTAATTTTCTACATATATCAATACTCCCTCCGTCCTAGAATATAAGGGGCTATTGAGTTCCTAAAAACATCACATCAAATCTTTAGACACATGTATGTAGCATTAAATATAGATAAAAAGAAAAACTAATTGCACAGTTTGCATGTAAATCTCGAGACGAATCTTTTAAGACTAATTAGTCCATGATTAGGCATAAAAGTGCTACAGTAACCCACGTGTACTAATGACGGCTTAATTAGGCTCAAAAGATTCGTCTCGCGGTCTCCAGACGAGTTACGAAATTAGTATTTTTATTCGTGTCCGAAAACCACTTCCAACATCCGGTCAAACATCCAATGTGACACCTAAAAATTTTTATTTCACCAACCAAACAGGTCCTAAGAAATTTTAGGGCTGGACACGGTTATTAAGAAAGTAGGTAGAAGTAAGTGGTTGAGGGTTGTGATTGGTTGGAAAGAGAATGTTGGTGCAGAAGTTGTTATATTTTGAGACAAATCCTGATGGCTAAAAATTGTTATATTTTGGGACGGAGGGAGTATAAAGCTTAAAACAGAATACCATATTTATTAAATCCTAATACAGTCATTTTCCAGTACTTTATCTGCTTCCGATATATTTTTTAATTTTCATGAATTTTGATGTAATGATTATTAAAAATAAACTTATTTTAAGATAAATGAATGAAACTTACTCCTAAATTTTATTATAGGACGAAGGGAGTTACTTTTATTCTTCAGTAGCTCATTTTGTAGATTACGGAGTTTTCGGTAGCTTATATTTTTTAGGACCGAACATTTCAGAAGAAACTCACTACTACAGGATTGATTATCCTGGACACCACCCCATTTTATTTCCATGCGGTCCGTAAGTCAGACTGCACGGAAAAATGGTGGGAGCGTCGCCCGCACACGAAAATCAATTTTTGTGTGCAGGTGACTTAACAGGCCCACACGTGAAAATAACCCTATTTTCGCGTGCGGGCCTCCTAATCCACCCGCACAGAAAAATAGTCGTCCCTCCCATCCTATTCAAAATTTTCCTCTCTCTCCCCGCGGCCCCTTCTCTCCTCTCTCTCCCTTATCTTCTCACCTTCCTTCTCCTCCACTCATTTTCCTCCCTCTTTCTCTCACCTTCTTCTTCAGTTGCCTCCTTCTCCACAACCCACAGGCGGGACGGCGGTGAGCTCGGCGGCGGCGGGCGGACGTGGGGAGGCGGCGGCTGGCGTAGACGGGATGGGCGGCCCGCAGCTCCTCCCCTCCCCTCCCCAGCAGCAACTCCGGCGCGCGGGCGGGCGATGACGGGCGAGGAGCCGCGGCTCCTCCCCTCCCCGGCGGCGACGGGAGCGCGCGGGCGGTGGATCCGGCGGACGGGAGGGCGATGACCGGCGGCCGCGGCTCCTCCCCTCCCCAGTGGCGACGGGAGCGCGCGGGCGGTGGATCCGGTGGGCGGGAGGGCGGGCAACGACGGGCGGCCCGCGGCTGTCCCTGCCCGGATCCGACGGCAGCGTTCCTCTCCTGCCCTTCCCCGCTCGAGGGCGACGACGACGAGGCGGGAGCGGCGGCGGCGACCACAATGACGACGATGACGACGACGAGGAGGGAGGGCTCTCCTCTCCCTACTTTCGCGAGGCGACGACCGGGCGGGTGCGGCGAGGCGGCGGCGGCGAGGGCCGACGGCAACCGGCCCCCACACGCCCGGATCCGGCGGCGGCGGCCGTCCCTCACGGCGGTGAGGGTCGGCGGCGGGCGCGACGATGTCGACGACGAGTTGCGGCGGCCGGTTCGCTTGCAGGCCGGCGGGCGGGCGACGATTTTTCTTTTTTTTTGGTTTTTTTTATTCCGTGTGGGTGGTATAGTATGACCGCACGGGATAATCGATTATCCCAAGCGGTCCTTCCGTCCGCACGCGAAAATACTGATTTTCACAGACAGCGGTGTGCAGGCGGGTCAAATGACCGCACGGAAAAATGGATATCCCCGTATGGCAAAATGAGTTACGTAGTAGTGACTGTAGCTGTCAAAGGATCTGTTTAATTTGAGGAGCCTCTGACAGCTACGATTTCTTCTAGGTTCTCACTCGTTACTTTTTAGAATTTGGAGAATTCTGTAATATATCTCTAGGCCCTTTAACAACTGTCAACTAAAATGTTGTAGTCGAGGAATATACAAAAGTACAACTAAAATCCAGAAGCCAGAAGCTATTTATTTTCAGCTCATCTCATCTTTTGTTTTTCAGAATCTACAAACATGCCATAGGCTGTGTTTAGTTCATCCCCAACTACCCCAAACTTTCAAGTTTCCATCACATCACATCACATTCAAAACTTTTCTACACACATAAATTTTCAACTTTTCCCAAACTTCCAACTTTTTTTAGAAACTAAACACATCCTATGGAGTGGGACAACTGCAGTTTCTTCTAAAATACTCCCCTTTTCTAAAATATAAGTATTTTTAGTACAGTGATAACCCAAACATTTTAAACTTTAACCATTAATAGAAAAAAGATCAATCATGAAAAAAAATGATGTTACTGGATTTATCATCAAACAGACTATCATAGTATGTAACTCTTTTTATTTAAATCATCTTACTTTTATAGATATTGTTGGCAAAGTAGCATCTCGAAAACCGTGTCAGGGTCCAAAAATGCTTATATTTTGAGGTGGATGGAGTAACAAGTTTCCCAAACAATTAAGCTTTTCGTCCAGATTCTAAGAAGTTGAAGTCAGAGTCTAAAAAACAAACTAGAAGTATAAGGTGTGAAACCTAGTTTTTTAGATTATCAGAAGATGACTATCAAATGCTCCCTCCGTCAAAAAAAAAAAGCAACCTAGAGCCACATCTCCTTCTAGTAGTACAACGAATCTGAACAACCCTCCTAGATCCACATCTCCTCCTAAATTGTCTTTTTTTTTGGACGAATCAGGGAGTACTCCATATGTCAAAAAAGAATTCAACTCTACGGATGAATCTGAACATATAGATTTTCTTTTAATAGAAAGAGTATAATTACTCCATCTGTAAAAAAAAAAACCACTAACTTAGTTAAACCTATTTGATGTGATTGATTTTTTTTAACGAAGTGAGGAGGGTGTTTGGGAAACAGAGACTTATTCCAAGTCTCTGTCACATCGAATGTTTGGATACTAATTTAGAGTATTAAACATACTGTAATTATAAAACCCATTCCATAACCTTGGACTAATTCGCGAGACGAATCTTTTGAGTCTAATTACGCCATGATTTGACAATGTGATGCTACAGTAAACTTTTCATAATTATGGATTAATTAGGCTTAAAAAATTCGTCTCGCATATTAGCTCTTATTTATGAAATTAGTTTTTTTTATTAGTCTATATTTAATACTCTAAATTAGCGTCAAACATCCGATATGACATGGACTAAAAAGTTTTAGCCTCACCTAAACACCCCTTAATTCTTAAAATTTTAAGCTCTTCGAAATAGTTCCGAAGGCTCTTGAACCCAGAACTATGTGACTTTTCAAAATGTCAAAAGTTGCAGGGGCAATGGCGTGGAGGGAGGGTACACTAGTCCCTGCGTCCCCAGGGGATGTTTAGATATACAGTTGTAAAGTTTTAGCGTGTCACATCGGATATTGTATTATGGTGTTGTATGGGTTGTTCGGGCTCTAATAAAGAAACTAATTACATAATCCGTCAATAAACCGCGAGATGAATTTATTAAACCTAATTAATCCATCATTAGCAAATGTTTACTGTAGTATCACATTATCAAATCATAGAGCAATTAGGCTTAAAATTTTCGTTTCACAAATTAGTCGTAATATGTACAATTAAATTTTTTTCTAAACCTATATTTAAAACTTTATAGAGATGTTCAAACGTTCGATATGATATGGTGAAAATTTTTAAGTTGAGATCTAGACGGGGCCTGAGTCCTAACCACCTCGTGGCGGACACCTGCCTCCGTCCCTGTGGCTCCACCACTTGAAAGCCTTTGCCATAAAAAGTAGGAGTCGTCCTACTCCTACCCCTACCCCTACCCCTGCTGCAGTGCTATAGGCTAGCCCTACCTCCCTGCTCCTGTTTCCTCTCTTTCTCTCTCGCCTCCTTCGCTTCGCTTCCATTGGTGGTGGTCTCCATTGCTCCCTTCCTCCCTGCCTTTTTCTTCCATAAGTAGTAGTAGTAGCGGGAGTGGCCGCCGCCGCAGCCATAGATCTGCGGCGCCGCGTATCTCGCGGCTGGTTTGGCTGGTGCGGTTAGCGGCTAGGGTTTTGGTTGTTTCGTCTGATCGATCCTCCCCGATTTTGCGGCGGCGGTGGTGAATTGGTGTGTGATCTGATATGGCTGGCGGCGGCGGTGGCGGGGGAAGGGGGGAGGGGGAGGGGAGGGCGGCGACGGGGAAGAGGGAGAGGATAGCAATACGGAGGATCGACAACCTGGCGGCGAGGCAGGTGACCTTCTCGAAGCGGAGGAGGGGGCTGTTCAAGAAGGCCGAGGAGCTCTCCATCCTCTGCGACGCCGAGGTCGGGCTCGTCGTCTTCTCCGCCACCGGCAAGCTCTTCCAATTCGCCAGCACCAGGTATGCATGTATATACAGTTATACACACACCAACACATATATGCTTCTCTCTTCCTCGCCGGCGTCTCCTTCGCTCGCTCGCAGTTATTTCTGTTTAATTTGCTTGCAATTAAATCTCGATCTGGGTGATGATCTCTCTGTCGGTTCTTGGAATATCGTACTATTGTTAGGGCTCTTTGTCGATCGATCAGGGTTTCTTTTTTCTTCTGAAATTTCCCTAATTGATTTGCCGGTAAGTTACGTTCTTCATTTTGGCGTGTTTAATTAGTATAAAATTTATCATAATAAACATAAAATTCTAGTTTATCGTGCTTCTAATTGAGTTGTTCAGTTGAGGAGTTGAGATTGAGGTCATGGCTTTCCAATTTCGGATTTTCGGTCAGCTCTTTTTTCTTGGATATACTCCATATACACAACAGTGATAGATGTGTATATTTTTTCTCATCATCGGCTCTTTCAATCTTAAAACAGTTTTGTCTTTGGTTTATATAGAATTCGCTAGTGTGTGTACTGTGTAAAATTCTTTCAATCCTACAACAGTTTTGTCTTTGTCTTTTGCTTTCTCTGATTCTACAAAATGCTTTTGATTGTTCGGCGCTTTGATTCATTTTCTTCTAGATGAGTAATGTAATATGTTCTTCTAGGGAATGTTCTTTAATTCCCAGGAAAAAAATGTCCCAGCTTCTTAAATAGAGCTCTCTGTATATGATGTTATTAATTATAGCTCCATAGTGCGCTTAATTTGAAATATTGTTTAGCACTTATGTCGTGTTCTCTTCTATCTTTCACTCGACCCATTTTTTATAATGAAAATGGTTAATTTACACCGATAGGCACACGGCTATATATATATAAGCATATATAGTTTTTTTTTTCACTCTTGAAGTCAGCAATCTTATTCAGTTAATTTAAGACCGTATGGAAGAGACTCGGCAGAGAGGGGTGTTTTCTCTCTTTTGGACTGGATGACCAGAGATAAATAGCAGATTTTCTTGGGAAAAAAAAACTAAAGTAGGACAGGTTTTGCATGCATGTGTGAAAGCACTCGTGGAAAACTTACCCTGTTCTCGCATGATTTGATGTGTAGTTGTTATACATATAGATAACCATATCTACATTATTGCTTCTGGTTGGATCTTCTCATAAAACTGCATCTTTCTCCATCTTTTTCTACAAGCTCAGTGGACTTCCAAGTATCTTCTCTGCTAATTTCTTGACACTGCCGTTCTTTCCACGTTTGTTACATTATTGCTTTTGACATCACTATTTTAATTAATTAGATCTTGTAGACAACACCCTGGACGCTTATCAGGAAACAGACTATATATCGTTCAAAGTTTTTTGTTGAAATTTTAACTCGTAAAAACCATCTGGTTTTAGTTAATCTCATCGATATTATTTTCTTCATTAAAGCAGGAATAAGAAGGCATGTAGTTTGTACATGCATATATATACTGAAATTAATTATTACAGCTTTCAGAGATCAGCAGCAGATTTGTCATGACAATTACATATTCTTCATGCATGAGTAATATATATATATATATATATATATATATATATATTCAATTCTGTTGCTTTTGTCACGAATAGTTGTTAGTTTTAACCGAGCGTGCTTAAACTGACCATTATTTTTAAGCAACTTCAAAATAAAAAGGTTTAAGTCCAACTCATTCATAAATTATTTTTTTATTACAAATCTAATGGTATAACTTTGATGCTAAATACTAACTAGATTTCTTAAAAATATTGTTGGTCAAACATAGCTAGGCAACTCAATGAAAACTAACAACTATTTAATTCAAATTATTTTTAATGGATATGGTATATATCGGTATACAGTCTAATTAATTTGTCAACTGAACTTGGGTTACTGATGGTTCTAACCATTGTGTATACATATATGCAAACAAATTTAGTCCTAATTATATGTCGTAACATGAGGGTACGTACTGTGTTGATCGTTTTGTGTTATGAACTAATCACATGGAAAGAAGTGCATATATATATCTAATGTCAAGAGTGTTGTTAACTGATACCCCACATATATATACCAGAATGTTTACAGTGTTAATTAACACATGGCAAAATCAAGCAAAAATACAACCAATCTAAACTTGTTAATTGTTCAATCTTTGTATTCGGGGTAACTAATTAAGCTAGAGCTGTCAAACGAAACGACCTCTGATAGTAGCACACATATATGGGATTCTCCAAAGTGATAGGTTTGCGACTGTTAATTGTTTGTTTTTTTTTTCTCCACAAGCGACGACAGAAAACTAGCTAGTCGATCTATTCTTTTCATGTACATCACTTACACTATTTGCCAGTGCATGACATGATCTATCAGCATGCATGGATATAGAGTGTGCATACCAATTGGCCTGGTAGCTAGAAAAAGATTGACCAATCCAATCAAATGGATCCCTGAGCTTACGTACCGCTATCAGAGTTTGTCCAAATATATTTTCAATTATAATATATAAAAATATAAGTAGATATTTAATTTTATTAAAGTACTTTTTAAAACTAATCTATGTTCCAGTGTTTTTTTAAGCTAAATATTTAAAATTGTTAAAGTTCTAGTCAAACATGATAATTATGGAATTAGAAGGAGTACGTACATAAGAGCAAGTATAATAAAACTCAAGATCGTGCTTATAAGACTCAAGTGTTGTCTTTTAACAGTGTTATGTTGCATTTGGTGATGAGTGTGGGGTAAGTGAGGAGAGAGAGAACGAACAATCTCTCAGTATAAAAAGCAGCCTCTACATAATTTAAAAAGTGCAAATACTAGTGTGATAGTAAACAAATAAATAACATTAGAGTTTGTGTATTATGGATGAGATATATTGTACTACCTTTGTCTCTAAATACAAAAGATTTTGCTTATGTAGATATATATATGGGCAAAATCTCTTAAGATGAAGGTAGTACACATGTTTTATATATATATATACACCTCCTGATCGAATCGATGAGGAGATATGAGGGATAAAATTAAAGGCGGTAGACATCTCTATTATTAAACTTGGCTAGCACTACTACTAGTCTACATGTATAAACATGAAACCATTAATCACACACACAGAGAGATAAAAGAAAAAAAACAAGAAAACAACAGAAATGACTGCTTAAATGGAGCATATATAGAAAAAACATAATATAATTATTGGAAGATAGATAGATGCAAAGAATATTTTCTAAAAGATTGGACCTCAAGTTAAAAGTTCTCTAATATCCCTATGATTCGAGCCAACCATAAGGAATTTCATAGGAATTTGGAATGACTATTCCTTCGTTCCGATTAGACATATATATAGGGTTTTCTCAACTTTATAAAATTTATTTAAATTTCCTTTGTTTGAAAAGAGCCATAAGATATAGTACTAGTTCATCATGTCATAATACATAACAAGAACCATAAGATATAGTCATGTGTCTTCGTCTTCTAGACTTCTACTATTCCTGCTGCCTGTGCCATGTCATGCATGCATGGTCCATGCATGAAATATTGATGGCCACAGAACAAGCTACGCGTGGCTTACCTCTTCACAGAAGCAATTGTATTTTCTTCTTCTCGTTCTCTGAAACAATCAATATGGTAGTTCAGAACATTCATATCCTTCCAATATGGTAGTTCAGAAGCAATTGTATTTTGAAGGGCCTAGAAGAACTACCTAACAATATTTGGTACTACTAGCATCTTGATGAAAACGTTTGGATTCAACATTACAAACCTTAGCTAGCTCTACAAACATCCAACTCTGTCTAACTTTGTTTTCTATATATACATTGATGAAGCATGGAACAGATTATTGACCGGTACAACTCGCATTCCAAGACACTTCAGAGAGCAGAACCTTCTCAACTCGACTTACAAGTAAGCTGAAAATACTTTCACTTGTATTACAAAAGAGAAATGCAACAGCTATATGTGATGTTGATGATCGATATACCCTCTCATATCACTCAACTTTCTAGAAAGAATTAGTGTGGACCTTAATTAATTAGTCAGTTCTTAAGAAACTGTTGCTAGTGGTACTTCTCTGAACATTTCATATCGTTTATCATCATACAAGCAAGAAATAGTACATGTATCCCTAACTGCATTTATTCATGTCATCTGGTAGGGGGAGGACAGCAGTACTTGTGCCAGACTAAAGGAGGAGCTTGCAGAAACTAGCCTTAGGCTGAGGTACATACTTATAACTATATATAGACTTTGTTCGGGAGCTGGAGATTCTGAGAAGCGGCTAGTAGCGAGCTGCTGAGAAAACTGGACTTCCTATAACTACATATTCTTAGAGAATCTGAGAATCTGAAATGAACTGCTTGGGGAGGTGGAGATTACGTGAAAACTATATATATACAGCTGTAAAAACTCCCCATACAGGACCTATATACAGTTACTGAGTACTATTACTTTTCAGAGAGAAATTAAATGCTACATAAGATTACACTATTTCAAGAGTTGTAGGTACTGTCTAATTCTGTGGATTCACAGGATGGTTCAGCTAGTATATGTGGCCATTAATTCCCTTGTGTGTTCCTGCAGGCAGATGAGAGGAGAGGAGCTGCACAGGCTGAATGTGGAACAGCTGCAGGAGCTAGAGAAGAGCCTCGAGTCCGGTCTAGGCTCTGTTCTCAAGACCAAGGTACGCGCAGCAACATGAGACTGTCCATTGGACGTACGTAGTTGCAATGTTGCACACCGTGATCTTTGATCATGTTCTTCTTCAGAGCAAGAAAATTCTGGATGAGATCGATGGACTGGAACGAAAGGTAAGAGCATGATATTTTGGCCAATCTCCAGCTTCAGTACACAGCTACAGAGCGAAACTGAAATGCAGCTGAAATTAATTATCTTCTGTTAGATCTTGATTTCTCTTTCTCATCACAAAACTGCTCCATTTGTGTGATCAAACAGAGGATGCAATTGATAGAGGAGAATTTAAGGCTGAAGGAGCAAGTAAGTACCCTTAATTTTATCTGCCCTGTCGAAACTCGACAGAGGCTCGGAGATGTGAACCATTTTCCATTATCTAAAAAGAAAACTTTCTCTCTATGCTTGCTCTGCTCGTTCATTTGATTAAACGACGATCTGAAGCTGCAGGTGTCCAGGATGTCAAGAATGGAGGAGATGCAGCCTGGGCCTGATTCAGAAATCGTGTACGAGGAAGGGCAGTCGTCTGAATCTGTCACCAATGCTTCTTACCCGCGACCTCCACCCGACAACGACTACAGCTCTGATACATCTCTCAGGCTCGGGTGAGTTCTCCCATACTTTCAGTTCCAACTCCTACCTGAATTTATGTGTCAAGAAACAACAGAGGTTAGTTCGATGATGAACATTCAGGTTCAGATGATGAGTTGTTTACTGATTGATTTTGCATGTGGCAGGTTGTCACTCTTCAGCTCCAAGTGATGGCTGGAAACTAAAACTGAGAGGAAACAGCTGGATGGCATGCCTGCATCGCCAAATGATCAGTGCATGCACTGCAAGACTGCAACAAATAACACAGTTTTAGATTGCCAGATGATGATGTGTGTGTGCTGAGAGTCACTGGCTATTATCGTACACATAATAACAATAGAACGAACAAGTTCTTCTGTTCTTGGATGTTACCTGAATTCTACTCCCATACATGTTGTCAATGGCTCTGTAATCGAGTGTCTGCAATTCCAGCTGAAAGCAACCGATTACAGGGAAATAAGCTATTTTTTCTTAAAGTTCTAGCTAGCTTGGTACAGTTCATAAGCCGTAGAAAAACAAAGGCAAATAGGACAATATATCAAAAGTCATTTTTAGGTAAAGCTTTTATATCTCCATTCTTACCGGTTTGAAAGCAAAGTCTGCAAAATAAGACTACGATGAATGTCACCAAGGGAGGAAAATCCACAAGCGAAGCATATCGCATCTAACTTTCAGGCTAATCTGCATGCATTATACAAAGAGCGATTTTTTTGGGAACTAATGAATTGACATGCATCGTCCATTAAAATAGAGGCCTGCATGCTTTGGGCGGGCAAGATATGTTCCATTGCGTCATATGGATTGGACTAAAAGTGAGATGTCAGCTTTAGAATCTTGAGCTGGAAACGCATTATCTGACAGTTGAATGTGCAAAGGTTGGAGCAAACTCATCTCGTCCACCGGGAAGACGATAAAATGCGTCCAGATCTCGCTCATGTACATAAAAATTTCAGATTGCGAAATTATCCCCAGGGTTAAAAGTTAGCACTAGTAAAGTACTTTTAGTTTAGGGCAATGATGCACAAGCCTTTAGCGTGCACTGGATCGGAAAATCAGTAAAGCTTTCAGTTTTGTTGATTCTGGCTGTCAGATTAAACAATGCAAGTAGTACTGAGATGAAAAAAAAAGTTAACTTTAGCCCTGCTTCGATTTTCTTTGGCCTTTTCAAATTTTAATCTTTCTGAAGAAGTTAGTGTAGGTTAGCAGAATGGCAGAGCAGAGGAATGTTCTAGTAGAGCGGAAATTCAGTAAAAAATTCAGTTTTGTTGAATGTGACTATCAGATTAAACATGTAGCCATCAGTACTGAGGTAAAAAAGTTAGCTTTAGCCTGCTTCGATTTTCTTTAGCCTTTGCAAGTTTTAAGCTACTGAAGAAGTTAGGGCATGCATGGTTAGCAGAACGGCAGAGCAGAGCAGATGAATGCAGGATGATGCAGAGGAGAGCCAGGGCCGAAATGTTTCAAACTTCTTAATTTATTCCATAACCAGATGCTACATCGGACGGCAGCGACCCGCGACCGCGGGTCACCGGAGGCGAAGAAGATGAAGATGAAGATGGAGATGGAGATGGCGGCTTCGTCACCAGGGCCTGGGGCTCCCTCGCGAAGAAGCTATTGGAGGCGCCTTCAGAAGCAGCAAACATCTTGTAGCATGGCGGCGCCACCTCCCTTGCCTTCCCCAGCAGATGGCCGGAGAAATGGTCCCCCCAGATGTCATATGTGAAGTCTTTCTTCCTCGTTGTTGTCGTCGTCGCGGCGCCCTCGGTTCTCTTCACAGCCTTATCTTTCATCAGGTTGGATCCAGGAGCGCGAGAACGAGGCGCGATCGGGGAAGGCGAGGACAACAATGGCGAGCGCCATGCATTGGTTGGTGCAGTAGGTGAAGGCGATGGCGACGGCGATGGATTTCCTGATGTTACTGAAGGTGGTGGAGCAGGTTGCTCTTTAGCAGTTTGCAACCAAGAACTCTTCTCATGGTTATTCCTAGCAGATGGTGGCCTTGCCTCAATGTCAGATCCATTCTCAAGTTTACTGCTGTGCTTCAGTTCTGATGGTGTGCCAGAGAAAGACCAGCTTTGTTTTGGGGTTGAACTAGGTGACAATGGCGAAGACGGTGTCGAATTCCCACTGTGGCTGCTAGAAACCTCAAACTTTGCTGCGAGTCCTGCGCCACCGACTTTCCTCTTTCTTCTCTTCCCTTTGTCTCTAGCAACTCTGATGGTTAGATTTCCACTAGTTTCTGGAGCTTCAATTGATACCTTGTCTTCCACAGTATTACTAGGGGGCAGAGACATAGTTGAAGTTGTATTCAGTTGTTCATCTGCATTGTTCTTGTCTTCTGTCCTCTTGGGGCTATTATGAATATCCGCAGGGTATTTATGAGTTTCTTTGTCTCTTTTGTGCTCCCTTGTTGACCTGTTTACATAGGCATAACCATACCGAATTATAAACCATGTAAAATTCAAAGAAAGCGAGAGCGGCCAGCATTAGTCTAAATTTTACCTGGAAGTTTTGCTGCTACACTGAAGGAAAGAGGGCTTAACAGGCTTGTCGATGGTACCTTTCCCATCATGAATCTTGATATAGCAATCTTGAGAGCCCCCTGACAAAGAAGTTGGGACACCTCTCGCGAACACCAGAACAAACACGGATACAGTTCCAAAAAGGAATATCAATGTTTTCCAATGGATGGATCTGAGGTACGACTTTCTGCACTGGTCAAGCATACAAACAGGAATGTTTGCAGTCATAGGGATTATGAAAATCCCGGTAGTCATAGCCAATTCAAGATCTCTCTGAACCATAGCTGAAGAGAAGTCAGCTTTAAAAGAAACAAGCATTCTTATTGATTCACTTGGCGCTAAGCTAAATCCCTTGCAGTTATCTACTGAAAATCCATCCACAGCACAATCAGCTCCAGAGATTTTAACCTTTGTCACTTGAAGAGGAAGGTCACCGCTATTTTTGACATGTATTTCTTTCGACAAATGTTGACCGCACAAAGGGCTGGTGAACTCTGATTTAGACAATGCTGACTTATTCTGAATATCGGAAATGAGGTTAAACTCTAGCTTCCAAACAGGTTCAGATTCCTCCAGAAGGACAATAGATTGCCGTCCGCCATGTGCTTGAAGAGGCAGCCACTCCATGCCTGAAATATTGCTTCTGATCAACACCATGCTTGACCACATGCACTGATTTGATGGACGGAAGATGATAGGACCAAGTAAAGCACTCTCCAAAGGACCAACAATGGCCTCAGTGATTGCTGCATCACTTAATGAGAAGCCAAATCTAGTCTCTGTTGAGTCAACTTCAGGGGACCTGCTCGAGAATGTATGTTCACATGCATCATTTATAGTTTTGCACTGACCAATAATTTCCTCAGAATTCAGAACCAGTTGCATGGATGCATGCTCTAGGCTTGGGTTATGGACGGTTATCCATTTAGAAAACTGTGATCCAACTTGGACAATAGGAAACAGCATTTTTTGATCTGTGAGAACAGAAATCCCAGTTCTTGTACCATGAGATCTCCATCTTCTAAGTACTGTATCATCAGCTTTATATGCCCTTGTAATTGTTGGCTGCAATTAAAAAAAAAAGAACATGAGAAGACTAACAGGGAAAATTTTGTAAGTGAAAAGGTGCTTGAGATAAGAAATCAATTCTTTTTAATTATATAAGCACAACAAGAAATTCAAGTGGAGAAATGTTTAAGAATACCGTCTTAGTGTTCCATTTTGATATGCACAACATAGTTATATGATCAATTCATTGTATAAGTGCATCGAAGTGATCACGAAGATATTATCCAGATACAGGTATCTATCTCAAGATCATACCAATTTAGGCCATAATGCAAATATAGGACCATTGGTAACTTGAATCAATGCATCAGAAATATTTTCCTTAATGATGTAACCAGCACACAATAGAAAACAATAAGCTTATTCCCATTAATGAAAAAAAGATTCTTTTCTAAAAAATAATGCCCAGGAGATTCTAAATGATGCCGCTTCCTGCTGATTAAGATATCATAGGAACAACAAATCGACAAAGGATGAGCTTTGTGGGACTGAAAATATAACGAAACAGCGCCGAAGCATGAAAGGTGCTACCATTATCAGCTTCCTATATCATATTCATATGCACTGAGTACATAATTTGGAGAAGTTATGTTAAACAAGGGAAAACAAAACTCGAAGTCCAATGCTGATAGAACAACAATATAAGATCAACTTAGACAACATAGGCTACTTATTGGCAAACTCAACAATGCAAAAGGGAATACCTTCATGTGTTGCAGGCCTTTTACTTCTACAATGCTGCCCAAAGATCCTGTCCTTGAGTTAGCAGATAACTCATCTTCAGAAAATGGCCCATCAGATTCAGTAACAGCGCTAGCCGTATAAGAAAGAGTTGCAGATATCACATCTCGGCAGGGTATCAGGATTGAACTACCAACAGAACTGTTCGTTTCTACCACTATATTGCAGTTGTCAAATGAGTTATCCGTTGGAACTGAAGTATATTTTATCAGCGCTATATCTGTTACAGTATCAGGAAAGAGTATCAGTCCATTCAGGTACTTAACCTCAAAATTATTTGATCCATCCCTGTTATCCTCAGTTACCCTTACAATCCTCAGTAACTTTGTTCCCTCATTCCTTAAAGAAAGGGAAATAATTGACCCAACTCCAGCACAAGATGATACACGCTCAAATGTGACCGAAACTAAGTTAGTGGGTTCATGGTAGGTACGTGCACGCACCTCTAACTCCATAGGTATAACAACAGTGTCTACTCTATCAGATGTGCAATTGCGTAATTTCATGCAGATAGCACCGAACACCATTCCTTCTGAAAGAGGTTGCAGTTTTAACTCTACAACAGTGCTGCTTTGTGTAGGAAGCACCTCCCATTGCTCACTAGGCCTGATATGGATCATCGGCAATCCAAATTCAGTACTACTTGCTGTATACCAGTTGCTACTCAAAGAAGTAAACTCCAACGACTCGTCAAAAGGGCCTAACTGACAAACTATATGAGAAGATTGTTTTGTGCCCTGGAATGAAGACATCCAAACAGCCACTTCCTCGACATAGAGAGAATCATCAAAAGGGTTGAATATCGACAAGTTCCTCTCCAGCCGTCCACCTGTTATGACATCCATCCCAGCTAGTGGCTCCAACTGATAAGGTGATCTGACAGCCATGCCCTTAGCCTGTATAATGAACCCACCGAAATTCGTCTGCAAAACCAAATGCGCCGATGAAGAGCCTAGCAACTTCGGCAAGAATATGAAGGTGACTGATGCATTCTCTCTAGGCTGCAGCACCAGATCATCATAACCATACACATAAAACTGCGGGTCGGTACTGAACGGCTCGTACACGCGCAAGGCACTGTCATTGTTCAAATTCACCACGGTCAGGGTGGCCATGGAAGCCACATACAAGCTACTCTTCCCCCAATCCAACACCGGCGGGCTAATCTCAACATCCAACGACGACGAACCGAAAATGCCATCGGTGCTGGCATCCGCGGCATCCAGCTCCGGCGTCGCGCCGGCCATCGCCCGCATCCAATTGTCAGGCACAAGGGGCGCCTGGCACGACGCCACATTATACCACCTCTCACCACCATCCTCCCGTCCCACCCCATTCCGGGAGGTGATCAGCGCGTCCGCCGCCGACGAGCACGTCACCACGCCGCGGTGGCCGGGCAACCGGAAGCCCAACGACGGTGGTGGTGGTGGTCCCCAGTCTCTCGACACCACCAAATCCATCTCCTTGACTCCATCATCCTCGCTTGCAAGCATGGACTCAACTGCCGAGGGCGAGAAGCACAGGGCGCTCCGGTCCGCGCAGCCATCCCGGAAACCGAGGCAGCCGCCGAGGTCGCCATCACTCCCCTCCGCACCATCCTCCGCCGCCGCCGCCGCCGACGACGAGACGAACAGCACAGCAACCACCAAGAGGCTGCAAAGAACAAGCAGCAACTCCCTGCAAGAAATCCAAAGAAAGAAGAAAAAAAAACACAGAAAAGAATCAGGAACAACTCCAGGTTGATCGCCAAATAGCCAAAAGTGGTTACTACTCACCACTAAAGCACCCAATAAACCTCCACAAAAACAACCACAAGAACCAAAAAACAAAAAAAAAAAAAACAAAACCCCAAAAAAATAATTCAAAGCTTTCCTATCTCTCCGCGCTCTCACCATGGATCAAGCTCGAGGTGAAGAGCAACATCAAACAAGATGGGGGTAAAACGGTTTCATTATTTGCTCCGGGGATAACCAGAAGCAAGAAACAAGGATAGAGTGGGTAGACTAACCGAGGAGCGGACAAGAACACCGAAGCCTTCGCCGCCGCCGGCGAAGAGGAGGAGGAGCCGCGGCGGCGGGTGGTCACGGCGGGGAGGGCATGCGGCGGCGGCGGCGGTGGCGGTGGCGGCGGCCGAGACTTCACTGTGGTGGCCATGGGAATCCACGGAAGAAAAAATGGGAAAAAAAACATAAAAAGGAGAGGAGGGGAGAGGCAAGAAAAAGAAGGGAGGGAGGGGAGAAAAGAAAAGGTAAGGAAAATGATGCGTTGGGTGTTGGTTGGTTTTGGTGTTGAAAAGAAATTCCCAAGGACATATTGAGGTTTGGGAAAAAAATTACCCTTATGCCCATGTGCTGCTGCTGCTGCTGTTGGGAATCACATGTTCTTTTTCCCAACTTGAAATCAACATTTTTGAGTGAGCCCACAAATAAGAATAGTATAAACTTTGCTAAAAGAAGAATGGAATAATAGGTGTCTGATAATTTTTTTATATTTAAAAGCTGATTTTGTGATTTGATCTTTAGCTAAAGTTTTATGTTTTTCTCCCTTTCTATACACGGCTAAACTCAATTTCCTACGTTAGCATCGCGCACCCCCTACACCTTCCTGTCCTACCATTCGTTTCCTCTCACCGCACCGCTCATGCTACCACCTACTAAAAGTAAGAACAAAACAAAGTTAGGGCAGATTCGTACGTGTTACTCACCCGTGCACCATTGAAAACACCACTTCCTGGACAACATTCAATGTCAAATTAGATGTATAATTATATACATATAGCATGACAAAACGTTGCAACCATCATCATTTGGCCATGAAAATTGAAATCAACAACCTCAATGGCTCACTTCCCTTCAAAGTTCTCAAGGAAACCAAATTGGAAAAATGAATGGTTTTGAAAGGGGAAAAACAAAATGTGATGAGTGTTGGTTGGTTTTAGTGCGGAAAAGAAATTCTAGGGCTTTGTATATATGTTCAAAAATATGTTGGTCTACCCTCCGGTGCTAACATTGGTAATCACATTTTTCTTTTCTACAAGAAATTCTTTTAATAGGAAGTCACATTTTTGTATGAGTCTAGAAGTATGAATATGGGTTGGGGATCACATTTTCTTCATAGCATAATACATTTTGAATGGAGTAATTAAAATACAAATTAACACAACCTTTTCTTATAGGGATATAATATATATCTTGAGCACCTTTTTTCATTAAGAAGCCAACTTTTGGACCGCTAGATACCCATTCATCGATCCTAATTCTCCCCCCTTATATACACCACCTTCCCATCCTTGACGCCGCCTCATGCACACTTTCGTGTGCCTCCCTCTACTAGACTACTACGGCATGCTTCCTCTGGCTACATTCACCAACAGCACCTCTATGGCATTGTCGGTCACTAAAGAAGGAGGGCAAATTTTATCTTGGTATAAATCTGATGAAGAGAATACGCTTGCAACCAATTAAGAAAACAAGAACCCCTCAACTTACGTATTATTGGACAAGCAACATGTGAAGTTGCATTTTAATTGATATACGCATCACGATGGTAGATTATAGTTTGGCGAGAATAAGAACATCACGAAAGTAAAAACATAGCTTAGCAAAAAAAAATGGCATAAAGCGCTGTCTAGCAAAAATAAGAAGTAAGGAGTAGTAGCAAACAAAAACTTCAGCTCTAATGTCAAATTAGATGCCTAATGCTATGGATAGCATGACAAAACGTTACAACCATAGTTACAAAAAAAATTGGATGATTCCTTAGTTGCTATTGGCAAATTCTTGGGATTCCTTACTTGCCCCTGGTATCTCTTACACATGGCTGAACCCGCACACCATTAATACAATCAGGGGCAAATAAGAGAACATGTAAACTTTTATGGGCAAATAAAGGCTTTAATCCATAAAAACTTGGAATCATTCGTCTCAATGGTTTGGTTTACTTCAAATATACCCAACAAACCATATTAGAAAACATCGACAAGATATTCATTTTTTTCCTAAAAGAAGGTATAAACCAGTTTCTTTTTCTAAAAAAGAAAAATATGTTACATTTCGGTTGTTTTTATGTGGGAAAGAAATCTGAGGGGTTTTTATATAATTAAAAAATTATTATTCTACCATTCGGGTGATGCGGGTTAGGAATCACATTTTTCTTTTCCATAGGAAATCACATTTTTATGTGATTTTTAGAAATATGGATGTTGTTGGAATCACATTTTTTTTCATATGAGACACATTTTGGAGTTTAGAAATATTAGTAGTATAATTTGAAACATAACTGAGCACAATTTTTCTTATAGAGATACATACATATATCTCAGGCACTTTTTTCCCGTAAGCCCTAGGACTTTAATTTGTATATAGTTGGAAAAAATGATTATATACTAAATATGTTACATACACAAGTTTGACCATCTATTGTTAGCTTAGTGTTTTGTTGATTTGCTGTACACTTTTTGTTAGCCATTACGCCTAAATGTGTCATGGACACGTTTTCTAGAAAAGGAACTTACCGTAAAAAAAAAAAGTTTCTGCTTGAATACAGGTAGTTTTTTTTTTCTTAATGGAATCTGAATGTGGTGCCCAAAATAGATTGAGCATTAATCTTGTCCCTAGTTGACAATAAATTATCCCACGCTAGTAGCTAGAACTACATATAATCACACTATATTGTCCTAATTAACCATCTACTCTAGCTAAAGACCTATATTCCATCGACAGTAGCTATCATTCGTATAGCAATGCTGTTAAAAAAAAACCAAAGAAACAAAAAAAAAAACAGTAGCATGAGTTGCATTTCATGCACTCTCCTCAAAGCAGAAGCATATATAGCTAGCTTATCAGGTTTGCATGCTAGCTTAATTAGCTCCATGCAGCATATCATCCAAATTGATAGATTTGGATGCCTTTGAAAGAGAGATATATAGCCCAGGGACCAATGCGTCCATTCTGGCAGGACCCAGAACCATGTAGTTGGATGTAAACGTACTCTCTACTACTACTTTCTCCATCGTCTTCTCCATGTATACATATAAGGCCAATTATTGCTGCAAAGCCATAGGTGTTTTGGTTTGTCCAATCGTATAAAAAATGTAGTAGTCAATGTCTGAAACAATAGACAAATTGTTTGTGAAACAATAGAGGCAGTACTTTGTAACAACTAGAGATGTTTTCTGATTGGAAATATTTATCCAACATAATTATACAGAAATAATTGGCCGTGTACATGTATATTCAATACATGTTCCTGATTATATTGAAATCGTCAATATATGCTTAATTAGGGCCTTTTCAACGGCGAAGAATTAATCGTCATGCATGTTCATGGTCATCAGGTAGAAGACCAATAATGCTTAAGGCCTTCAGGTTAGAAATTTAAATCATTTTGTCAAACCACGATTGATTAATTTCCCCCTTTTTTGGGCCCAAGAAGCATTTGCATCACGATCCGACACACAGTATTATTGAGCTTTTTGTGATATGCCACTGTATACCGATGGCCATATGCATCGTGCTCGCCACTAATCGCTGCTGCTTGCTTTAAAGTTTAATCTTCTTCCTAATTTGTTTAAGCATCATTGATCTGGCCTTGGTTAGAATACTACCATATTAAGAGTTCCAAGGATTACAATTGGTCAGGACAGATTCCCTGATCAGCATTAGCCAAGCAAAACCATGCTTCTTCTGGCTGTTCTATTAATTTAATTTTCACGTCAACTTTCATTGGAAGCCGGTTTATGTCATACGACATTGGCTCAAAACAAAAGAATATTATGTGTCTTTTTTTTTGTGTGTGTGGCATGAACCCTACTTCAAGCTGTTTTCTGTCATGCAAAATCGCTTTAAGAAACTACCCACATGAGACATGACCAATCATGCACATGTGCTTTCCCCATAGAGGTTTGTACTGTTTGTAATATACCTCCGCAGGACCCCCTTTTTTCTCCTCAGAACAATATATGTTTGCTATAAAAACATTTTGCAATTATTGTTTGTCCACTTTCTGGGACTAGGCATACCACAATATGTCAAATCGTAACCACATTGATAAATTGAGTTGTCCATCTTTCCTTCACATCTTAAATAAGTATATATATGTGAAAAGATATGCACAAAACTCTCCTCGCAAAAAAAAAAGTGAAACTCAATATAAGTTAGGGGAGGTCTCCCACCATGAGTTTAGAGCATTAACATTTATATAAAAAAATGTTAAACTGATGTCGTAGTTTTGGTGGACCCTACAAAATTGGCATTGAGTTGTAGCTGTTTCGAACCAACACTGTAGGTTTGGTGGATCCCACATGACATGGAACACGTGACAGGTAGGGGCGCTGAGTTGTAGTTGTTTTATACCAACACCGTGGAAGGTTTGGTGATCCCACTAAAACTGTAGTTGTGTTCGAATCGACGCCGTAGACTTCGTAGATCTTACATGTAAGGAGAGTGGTAAGCTGTATATTATTTTGAATGTGTTATTGGTGGACCTTACACATATAAGAGGTATATATAAGAGGTATTAAGTACGTTAGAGTTGTTTCCAACTGAAGATGGAGGTTTGGTGAACTCCACAGGTAAGGGGTTTGATTTGTAGCTATTTCAAACATACTCCATTGGTTCGGTGATCCTACGGTACATAAGGGTAGTTGAGTTTGTAACTGTTTTGAATTGATGCTATAGGTTTCATAAATCATGAACATACGGAGTTGCTAAGTTTGACGGATCCTAAGCATAAAGTTGCTAAGTTGTAACCATTTTGAATGATAACAATGGTTTGATGGACCATATAGATTTCAAATAAATATTGTAGGTTTGGAGGACCTTATACATTAAAAACTTTGGGCCTGTTCGGTAGCCCTATACAGCAGCTGCACATCCGTTGCAGCTGCAGCTGCTACTATTGATCTTCTATGTATTTCACTGTAGCAGCTGGCTGCCAAATAGAACTACTGAACAGGCTCTTTGAGTTATAAGCCATTTCAATCCAAAGGTCGTAGTTTTGGTGGACCTACATGTAAGAGGTAGGGCAAGTCCTCCTAAAATGGTGGAATCATACTTTAGCGGCGTGTTAAAAATTATTAACTTTTCCCCATTAACCGTGATTAATTAATATCGAAGGAAAACCTCTCAAAACAAAATTTAAAATAAGGCATTGAACAATGAGCTGAATTCCCATTCCGAAGTTTTGCATGATACTATCTCCCGTTCCAAGAGGCAGCATGACGACTCAAACGGCAGAATAGGAAAATAATTTAG